GATTGTGATAAAAGGATTCGTTTTTGTTGTTGTTACGCTTAGAAATAATTCAGAGTAACCGGCTGAATTTCCTGGATGCCCGGAAAAGTAAGTCCAGACTCTAGCATTGTTTGCAGATTGATATCTAAGGCCCTGGAGTACGGTGATATTTTCCCCCGACACTCCGAGAGGCCAGAAGACATGTTAGATTGTGCAGGCATAGTTATAGAAGGCCAACAGGTGGATGTTGGATTCTAAATGCAGTCCTCAAAAGAGGAAAGGAAGACGCCCTGAACTAATTTGGCAAAATATACCCAATCATGATGGATGTGATCCCACTTTGAACATTTCCTCAGGGGTTGCCATTCAAAAAAGGAACAGCCCACCATAGTAACTGGATGTGGACTCAACACTGGAAAAAAGGGATGCGGGTGGCGCTGTGGGTTAAACCACTGAGCCTAGGACTTGCCGATCAGAAGGTCGGCAGTTCGAATCCCCACGACGGGGTGAGCTCCTGTTGCTCGGTCCCTGCTCCTGCCAACCTAGCAGTTCGAAAGCATGTCAAAGTGCAAGTAGATAAATAGGTACCACTCCAGTGGGAAGGTAAAGGGTGTTTCTTTGTGCTGCTCTGATTCGCCAGAAGCGGCTTAGTCATGCTGGCCACATGACCCGGAAGCTGTATGCCGGCTCCCTCGGCCAATAAAGCGAGATGAGCGCCACAACCCCAGAGTCAGCCACGACTGGACCTAATGGTCAGGGGTCCCTTTACCTTACAACACTGGAAGGCTAAGGTAGCCTATTCTGTTTGCCCTTCAGCTTGAAAATGCTCTGCCCTCTTCAGAGGTCCTGTTCAATTCCCGCTACCCGCTCTGCTGGGACTCATTTTCCTCCATCAGCACTAATCCATAATAAATGAAGAGCAGTATAATCGGTTGTAAAGTGGAGCCTCCTAAAAGCTTAATGGGGATGGTTTTGTGGGGAACTGAGCACCGTCATTTGTAATCTTGCTACACACACACACACACACACACACACACACACGGGTTCCGTTCCAAGGGTTCCATGTATATGCAAAAATGCATACACTAGAACCGCGCCCCTCATATGAGCATCCTTATCTTTCTGCAGCTGGTGCTCCAAGTGGTCCTGGACCCCCAAGCAAGGCCTGCTCAGTACATGGGCTCTGGAATGCTCTTGGGAGATTTCGCAGAGCCCTCCAAATTCCCATGAGATCTCACGTAACCATTCCCAGGCTTCCAGAGCCGGTGTGCTGAGTGGGCCTTTCCAGGTAAGCGAGGCAGAGTGCTTAAAAACTTTTACCACACTGGGAAAACCCAGAGCAAAAAAGAGCTCTTAAGCTCTCTGCATTGTGCACATTTTAAGTGGTGCAATTTCAGACGGCTGGACTTCAACTGCACAAGTTAAACGAGCGTTAAGATGCTATCATATTCATATGCATGCACACATGCAATATCTACAACTTGAGCTGGTGAACACTTCATCCCATCCTAACTGCTGAGTCAGTTCCTCAAAACTTACCGAGTGGGTATGTTTGCAAATTCCATACTGTTTTACTAAATATATCAGGGGCAGCGAGTGCTATGATCTCCAGATGTCGATGGATTCCAAACCCATCGTCCCCATGGCCAATGGCTGGGGATGATGGGAGTTGTATTTCAGCACGTCATTGGCTGCCCCTGCAACATACCAATGGAAAGGTTGCTTCTGTGGATTGACGTCCTCAGGAGCCCACCCTGAGGTCCACCTGCAGCTCCTTTGTCCTGCCCCCAGCTAGAAGGAAGTTTGCAACTGAAATCAGAATCACCAATAGGAGCTAGAAGAGATTGCTCTCCATAAAATATGCACCTAATTGTGCTGTGCCCAGGTCAAGGCCAGCTCAAGACATTCTGCTACTCGAATAAGTTTCAACCACTCTGCGTTGCCCAGGCAATCCCAGAATAGGGATGGGGGGGTGGGCAGGGATACCACCCACTTTGCATTTAAAGGGAAGTTACCTAATCCTCACTTTCCAGAGCAGGATGTAAATTGTAGTGTCTTTCAAAAAAATCACACTTCTCTGATTTTGCAGTCCTCCAGCCAAGTAATGTGCACAAATACACACACATACACTGCAGAAAAGTATCTATAAAATGCACATATTAGTGGAAATAATATAACAAATGCATCATGTTAGGGAAAATTGCATTGCAAAAATGCGTTGGTTATATACATGCAATTTTTCTTATTAATATAAGTTCTCATGAAAATGCTGAATTTTTTTTTGAGGTTTGGGAGTTGGGAGTTGAGGCTTGGGGTTTGGGAGTTGAGGCTTGGGTGTTGGAGAAGGAAGAGGGTGGAATAGGCAGTGGGTTGGACGAGTTGTATTGTAAGAGAGTGAGAGGAATTGTTAGGGAGTTGGATAGATAGTTGGGAATAATTCAGTTTGAAGTTGTTAGGAACTAAGTGTAAGAAACTGAAGAGAAAAATAAACCGAAACCATACGCTTATTCCTGCAGTTAAAAATAAACTTGATTATTGGTTTATGTTAACAACTGTCTGGACTCCGTGTGTCCCCATGAGAAGCGGGGTGGTGGCAGCGAAGAAAGCAAGTGCAGTGGTGGCACAGGGTCAATAGACCGTAAAACGTCCGGGGGCCCTGTGTGATCGCCACAAAATTGGGCGATTTTGAGAATTTCTTTTAAAGAAAATGTAAAATGTAGCCCTCCTCCTCCATGAAGTCATCCAATCTTCTTTTAAAGGCATCTAGGTTGGTGGCCATGACTGTCTCCTTTGATAGAAAGTTTCATAGCTTTAAATATGTACTGCATGAAGGAATTCATCTGCCGCGAATCCTCCAACATTCAGCTTCACGGGATGTCCCCTGTTCTGGTGTTTGGAGGGAGAAAAACCTTTCTCTATTTACTTTCTCCATGCCACGTATCATTTTAGGAACTTCTATCATGTCAGCTTTTACTCACATTTTCTATAAACCATGATGTCCCAAACGCTGCAACCTTCCTCCATAGGGGAGTCTCTCTCCATCCTCTGGATCACTTCGTTTGCCCTTTTCCAAACCTTCTCCAACTCTGCCAGATCCCCAAACAGCCCAAGGGGGCTGAATCAGAGGCACTTAAGGTGGTATAGCTACCTTCCCAAACTTGGGTCCCCAGCTGTTTTCGGACTACAATTCCCATCATCCCTGACCACTGGTCCTGCTAGCTAGGTATGATGGGAGTTGTAGTCCAACAGCTGGAGACCCTGCTTTACACCATACCACTGCTCTAGTGCAGGACTTTACACTTATCTGAAGCGCCCTCTTATACGTGACACTGAAGTAATGTGACCTGCCACCCCATCAACCTCTCCCTGGCTCAGCTAAAAAAACGATGCACACCAGGGATTAATACGGTCACCCGCATTCTATTAAGGCCATCTTCCAGAAGGAGTGGATCTAGGAGAAGATCCTTCTCCAACTACCACTCCTTGATAGATCCCAAGTAAACCACTGAGAAGGCAGCATCTTTGAAGAGCACGTCATTGTACCTGGGGTAGGGAACTTGTGGTATTCTAGATGTCTGGGGTCTCTCTAGCCCCAGCAAGCATGGAAAGCAGTCACGAATGATGTGACCTGTAGTTCAACATCAGGAAGACCAGATGTCTCCATGTTTGGCGACCAACTGCTAATTTCAACATGGAAGTCATTCCTCCCTTAAGGCAAAGAAATGGTGCCTTTGGCATCTGTACACAGAAAACAGGTCCAAATAATCATGTATGGTCTGCAGCAACAGCCTGGGAAGTTACATCCTACAGCAGAAGGGGCAGGTGTGTGCTTAACTGACAATGTCTACATAGGACCTCTGCTATTACTTGCCTGTTGCCTCCTATGCTTCTCTTCTTTCTGGCCTACTTGCATGCCTTTGCACTCTACCGTTCCTGGCCCAGATTCCACCCTAAACTCAAATCTTGCCAGGACTTGCCTGCAAAATGCCAAGAGAGAGGGAGAAAAGGAAGTGGCTGCTTGCAAGCTGCAACAGAAAAATCCATTTTGTATCCAGAATACAACCCAGTCCAAAGATTCTGCAAAGGGTTGGACCCTGCTGGCTTTTGAAGAGTGTTCACAGGATTCCTCCATTAGGAAACGGATCTCCAGGCCCACAGCACAGAAGCTAGAGACCCACTGAAGGTGGGGGGTGGGATGGGGGAAGACATGGAAATCCAAGAGGTTCACAACACCCCAAGAATCCTCTTATAAAAGCAGGCCAGCTCCCTCAGATTCATTCTGCAGCAGGAGAGTCTCACTCAAGTATTATTTGATCTCCCGAGGGTTAATTATCCTGCTTGGTGAAAGAACACAAACAAACACAGAAAACGGCAAATGGCCAAAAGAACTACAGGCTGCATAAATTGGTGCTGGAACATCAGAGGCGTTTGGAGAGTGAAGGGGGTTGCAATTAATAATAATAATAATAATAATGATGATGATGATGATGATAGCAGCAGTGCCAGCCCAAAGTTCCGCATGATCAGATTAGGAGGTGCAGATTGAATTCCCCCCTTCAGAATCCACTGTTGACACACTTTGGGTGGATTAAGTAAAGAACAGTTCCCCCCCTCAAGTGATTTACAGTTACAAGCTCCTGTGCATTCAAGTCTTTTTGGGACTGAGCATTTGAATTGAGTTGCTATTAGCACGGCCAGCTCGACATCTTGCTTTCCAAATCTGAACAACCACAGGGTCCAAGGGACTAGGAAAGCAGAAAGCATTGGAGAAGCAGTTTGAAATGTTCCACCAGTGAAACCATTTTACTAGGTTTTGGAAGGCAGTGGCACTGCTATACAAGGGCAAGAAATGATTTGTTTTTTTAATGGTTCCCATTCAAAGTTGCATTAGGTTTTTTTTTTGGGGGGGTAGAGTAATAACCAATGATAAGGGAGATATTGGGAAGAGAGTCCCAAAACCATTTTGAACATTTAAAGAGCCAGGTAAGGGGGAACAAAAGTGTCAACTGGCAACATTTGTTATAAAATGCTTTAATAAATAGTTTTCTTCCGAAAGCTATCGAAGAACATGTCAAACAAAATGTACTGCACAGAAGTTCCTGCAAATTCCCGCATTCATGTACTGTATAAAATAAAAGTGGATTCAAAAAAACATTCAGGGTTACATTGAGTGGCCAAAACGTTGAGAGAGAAACATCAATTTTCTTTGCAATGATAGGATAGCTAAGTAACGTAGGGTTAAGTTTTCCCAGTAATTAAAATAAAGATATAGCTCATTTCTTTAATAATAAAGCTTTTTTTTTCTTTTTTAAAAAAAAATCATTAACAACCACCCCACAAATAATGCACAAGCCTTCCGTTATGAATAACCATTTCTTGCAAGGCATTCCACCTTCTGAGATGGAAACAGGCATTTTGACAGATGTTGTGCCGTGACCCCCGTTGGAGACATCTTGGGAGGACTGGCCAGGAGGAGGAGGAATGGGATGAGAGGGCAGAAAGGGGAGTCCCAGGGAGGCACTGGTCTAGGAGTTGGGGGAAAGAGCAGGCTAGGAGAGAGGAGGCCTTGCCTTGGTGACAGCAGATAACCCTGGCTGTCACAGGGAGCAGTCTGACTTGCCTCCTGCTGCTGTCTCTTGTCAGGGAAGCACTGCTTGCCTCCAGGGAGAGGGTTGAGACGAGAAGGGACAGCGAGGACACGGCAACATCTGCAGCAGCAGACTCAGCCTTCTTGCGGGAGTCCCCAATTGCTTGCCCAGACCCAAGGCTTGTGAAAACAACCGCATGGATGACTGGCCCGGTCTCCAAAAGCGGAACCTAGGGTGTGGTTCAAGTGTTGCGGCCTATTAGCTTACACCTAGCCACGCAGCTTAGAGCTCTGCAGCAACGGCAGGGGAAGACGCTCAGGCGTCTGGGGCAGGGCGCACCACGAAGCCGCCACGGTCTGCCTGCCTCCCCCAACTCAGCCGCCCTACAGCTGGGGGGGGGCAGCGGGAGGACCGTTTGGGGAACGCGGAGCCTGTGGGCGCCCAAGCCACTGTGTCTCTCCCAAGAGAGACACGTGGCTCCTGGCCCAGAAATGGAAGCAACAAGAACTCCCCACACTGGAAGATTGGCAAGTAAAGATGGTTGAATACATGGAGCTGGCGAAGCTGACAGGGAAGATTTGGAATTGCTGTGATGATTTGTTCCAAAAGGACTGGGGCAAATTTATACGCTATATGAAAGAAAATCGCAAACAGTTTTGAATATGTTTGTAGGTTTAAGTTGAAATGTTTGGTAATGGGAAATTAAGGAGCTGATTTACTTATAAGTAGGTGATTGTTAAAAAGATCGATTTAAGGTAAAAAAGTGAATTTAGGAATGTGGAGAAATTGGTAATGAGATATGGAAGTCTGTTAGAGGGAAGGAAGGAGGTCGGTGCTTTATTTAAGCAACGTCGTAAGTTATTTTTTGATACTGAAATGTAATAAAATATGGAAAACTTAATAAAAATTATATTAAAAAAAAAGAGAGACACGTGGCTTGGGCACGCTGCAGGCCCCGTGGTGAGTGCCACCTGGCATTTTGCCACCCCTCCCTCAGTGGTGATACCCGGGGCTGCCCACACCTACTGCATCCCCCTTCCTCTGGCCCTGCTCTGCAGTGACTTCTGAATCATGCAACCTGATCTAAGCTCAGGCGCTGCAGTGAATTCTGGAACAAAGCCGTTAATAATAACCAAGCCAAGAGTCCAGGTATGTGTAAGCCTGGGCATCACGGGGTCAAGAAGAGCAGTCCTGCGGACATCTAATTAATACACAAAAGGTGTGGCACGATGTGCTACAAGTTTCCCAACCCCTACTAGTAGCAGCCAATGAAGTGGAGCAGAGGCAGGGAAACTCGACGCGGTGGGGGCATTGTCATGTCAAAACATTCCGCATTGCTAGTTGCTATCAAAGGAAAGAGGGAGACAAAAGAGGTGCCAGGACTGCTGTTTTGGTGTCAGCGTTGGGATCTGCCAAAATGCCTGGCTCCAATCTGAGTTTGCCAGCCTTGTTCCACAGAGGTGAATAAGCAAAACAGAAACAAGAAATGAGAAAAAAAAAATATTGTTCCCTTCATTAGGCCTGTATTTAAAAAAAATAAAATGCAAAAAAGCAATACCACATGTAAGACATTCACGAAAGAAAGAAAAATATTGCCCTGTTTTTATACTGTACAGTATACTTACTCTGCGTTCTTGAGATGGGAGGAAACAGTCTGGATCTATTTACATGTGAAATGATGGTGATACATTGGAAAAGTACAAAAAAAAAGAAGTGATCAACAGATTCCCAACATTGATTGCATTAACATCACTTCCTAATATGGACATAATACCAAAATAAGTTTTATTTGTATTCTTTTTTCATTTTTTTTTAGAAACTGCCATAAAACTTCCCTTTCTGTGACATAAATTAAAAAGGAATGACGTTTAAAAAAAAGACCAAAAATATTTTAAGTTATTAACTCAAATATACAGAAATGATTCATTTAAATATGTACATATTTACAAAAACACACTCTCGTAATCTGAAAATAAACTGTTGTCAGTCTTGAGGATACCAAATATAGTATCCTCTTGTAGTAAACCTAGATGGGCATGGCAGTCTTTGACAGTTGCTATAGAAAAAGGAAGTTGAAATTTCAAGGCACTTGATGCGTGCTTCAATACTGCAATCCTAAGGTAATTAAAACAAATTTACATAGTCAAATTAAAAAGGCCACTTTTTCCAACCACAGTTTGAAAGATCTCTATAGGATTTTTTTGTTCCAAAAAAATAAGGCATTTTTTTTTGGGTGGGGGGAAACTTGCAGAACTTAAGTGCAGGGAGTGGTTTCTAAGTATGGATTCAAAAGAACAGTTCATGTGAGGTTTTTTTTACCCCTTAAGTCCAGTAACTTCCTCAACCAGGAGGTTTTTAAGCTACTGTTACAACAGGTAAAAAGAAACACGTTCTGTAAACAGTGTAGAGTCTTGGGTGATAAACTTTTATGAAATCGAAAATACAAACTTCCCTCCTCTGCCAACACAGCAAGTGTTCTCCACGTAAAGTTTACAAAAATAGCAACTATCAAAGATTACTCTATCATCTGACAGTCATTGAATAATTTATACAAGGCTAAAAGAAACAAAATAAAGTTTTTATCATTTTAACTTTTTTTTATTCAAAATAAAGTAACTATGAACATTTGACTCCAGACAATTAAGTCCTTGGTGCAAAGTGGAGACGCCAATTTCTCCAACTCTGTTCAACGTTGACAGCGCGGATATGGTCCGAACAAATATTTAGTCTCTTCCGCCTTCAAGGTTTGCTGTGTTCACATTTTTTACAGATCTGTTGTCCATTTTGGTTGTCTGAAGAGATTTCTTAATAGGACTATTCTCTAAGGAGTCCATTGCCTTTGCTGACAAAGGCTTAGAGTGTTTGTGAGAGAGGAATTTGTCCATTTCCATGACCTCTCTCTCTTCCTCCTCCTCCTCCTCCTCATACTCTGTGTACTCCTCTACTCCGTCGTAAGTTCTTTTTTGAGGAGCTATAAAATTTTTGGGTTCATAATGAATGCCTTTGCGGTTGCAAGGTCTCTCAATAGGATTCCATATGGGATTTAGAGGCGCCCATTGGTTATTTGCAGCCTCTTCTATGGATGGGCGATTTCTCTCTCTCTCTTTTCTTCTCTTTCGCGTCCACCACACACAGATAATTATACAGGTTAACCACACAATGCTAAAAACTACACAAAGGATTGGAACCAGGTAATCTAGAAAACACAAGCCAAACATACAGCTTAGTGAGCAACTGCTAAGCGAGACAGAATTGAAGGCATGTGCAAATAAAGTCTCCAAGAGGCGTGATAAATACCTGCTCCAAGGGGACATTAACAATCTAGCTGTTGTTCGACTGAAGTCTCATTCCACACTTCCTCTTGTCCTGCTGCTTTCTCCCAGGGGGAAACCTCTCTTTAGCGCTCAATTGGAGCAAAAAAATGGCAATTTGGGTTTTCTCTGGATTGACTGTTTGCTCCGATTCAGAGCAGGTTTTCCCTGAGAAAGAAGCAGGCCAAGGGGGAAACTGCTCGGATCTGGACCCATGCTTTCAAGGCACAGGACGAATAGGAGTGTGGACGATCCCTGAGGTTTTTGGTTTTTTCTTTAAGTTTTGCCCATTTTGGTCCTCCAAAAGCATTGTGTGGAAAACAGAAAGCAACAATGCAAACCCCTTGTCCCTACAGCTGTCCCATTTGGAACTTGCTTCCACGTAAAGCGCAATATGCCCAAGCAATGGTATCTGTTAGCCAGTAGGAAATAGAAGTGACATGGACGTAAAAACAACCACCCCTCAATAGCCAGCCTAGACTTCAACACTATTTTTTCTTTAAAAAAAGGGGGGGGGGAGAGGAAAGGCCAAATATGGTAGGTATCAAATCTGTTAGTATTTCAATTACAGTTGTACCTTGGTTTTCAAACAGCTTAGTTCTCAAACTAAGCTGGCTCCCAAACACAGCAAACCCGGAAGTGACTGTTCCAGTTTGCGAACTATTTTTGGAAGCCGAACGTCCGACGGGGCTTCCGCTAGGCTGCAGCAGCCAATCAGAAGCCGCGCTTTAGTTTCCGAACGTTTTGAAAATCGAACGGACTTCCGGAATGGATTCCGTTCGACTTCCAAGGTACGTCTGTACCAGTCAGCCACATTTGGCACAGCTAGCAAGAATAATCTTGCAGTGTTATGAAGGCCCTCTTCTGAATCACACGGCCCTTGTTCCAGAAAGGGGAGCGGGCTGAAATTGCATCTAACACTGCTCACTGCATGAATAAAAGTGAAGCATAATGCTATGCGTTATGATTCTTCATTGGTCTTCCTTGCCCACACCCCTTACACAACGCAGCCACTCAATTTGAGGTAGAAAACCAGCTGGAGTGGGGGAGAGTGGTGCTTCTTAAACCCTGCATTATTTTTCTGCTGATAATCTCCCCCCTCAGCTAATTTTACCCCTAATAGGGAAAAGACACAGGTATCTTTTTCCTAGTGGAGGTAAAAATAGCCTCCAGGAAACTATTTTTAGCGTGCAGGGGGTGGGGGTCGGACGGGGACTACGCAAGAGGCTCCTCCCCACTGGCCTTCCATTTCAAAGTTGCAATCTCAGCAGCTGCATTGTGTAAAAACGGAACAAAAACCGTCTCACAAAAGCCTCATGGAATGGCATGTGATGCACAGCTTAACTCTTGAGTTATGCCATCAAATAACCCAACACTTAAGACACACACAACTCACCTGATGAAGAATTCCCAACCACTATGGTCTCTATTTTGACTTCAGTTACTGCCAGCATAACTGTACTGTTTTGTCGCTTTGTAATGGTGTTTACTATAGTGTTGGCTGCATTCTGAATAAGGCTGTTATCGGTCTCCTCTTGATGCGAGATGAAAGACTGGGAACAGAGAAGACAGACAGGAAACTTAAGTTTACAATGAAGTATTTTTTTAAAAAATAGCCATGTTACCTTGTATTTAGGGGACCAGACTTAAGTCTGAGATCCTGAGAATCCCAGTTTGCTGCTAAAGGATGAGTGCTGGTTTGACGCCAGTATAGAAATATTATGCTAGCATTGTGCGCCCTGCCCATTAAGAGCAGTATGGGTAAGTTACACTGACAAACTTCCGTGTTACTTACACCTCTGAGCTAAACTTAGTCATCGTTTGGAGGCTTTTAAGGTATCCAACTAGGCATCTACGCTAATGATATGATCTGTTATATATAACTGTGCGCTTTCCAGTTTGCATCATAGCACAGAGTATTCTTTAGTTGCAGATGTAGCAGAGCAGCTAAGAATATCAGGCCAATACTACACTTTTTGGCGCGAGGACCTCTTTCCCTTGCCCTAATAACAAGGAAGGTGACAGCTAACAGCCTTCCGCCCTTAGGGAATCCAAGTTCATTCCCCTCTCCCAAGTTGAACTCACCTTACCTTTCTGCCAGAGGCATCAGAGGCAATTTCATGGTGACTTCACTAACCAATTTTTAAACAGAAGCAGTGCAGCAGGGGAAGTCTACAACCAAACTCTGAACTGCACAATTGTAGGTAACTGTTTATTTCCTAGGCAATTCATGTTGCAAGTAGAAAGAAACCAAGTTTAGGAGGGCAACCTCTAGCTTGCTCGCGTGTATATCCTATAATCGTTGCTCTTCCCTTCTCCAACCTATGAAGGCACTAAGGGCTGACAGAGACAAGCAGGATCTGTTATTTTCTGACCAGCTCCATGTATTGAGAGAGCCAACTATGTAGCTTTCCCAATGAGCCTACCAACTACTCATCAAATCCTGAAACAGATGTGGCACGAGGGATGCGTGCTTGGCTATCCCATCTGGTTTTTGTTTGTTGAAAACAGCTGTGGTGTGTATGTGTGTCAGAGCAGTTTTACCCGGGGAAGGGAGTAATTGAAGATATTCCCTTGTGCAAATTCCCCACAAGCTACTATTAATCCCACAAAAGCGGGGGTGGGGGAGGAAACAGAGGCTCACACAGTTTCCTCACCCTATGGCTAATTCTTTACAGGAAGGGTTAAATGCCTTCTTCCCTGGCACCACTGCCGCAATAAAAAAACCGGAGACTTCCACACCTGATTTTAAGTGTCTTTCTCTCTTGTGTGTGTGCGTGCATACACACACACGTAAACAAAATAGGATCTCCTCCATCAACAGCAGTCTTTGGTCCTAAGTCACTTTCCACTTTCAGAGAAACAGCGAGGACATAGAGCTGTGTTTGTAATCGTAACTGCTTTGCCACACGGAAAACAACGGGCCAGGATTTGTTACATTACTTGAAATGTTTTCCTTCTAAATAAAGAAAAGGTAGCAGCCTCTCTCTCAATTCACGCTTGACTCCAGCATTATATATATTTTATTATGTTTGTATATTTGTTGGAAGCAGCCTGGAGTAGCTAAGTCAGATGCACGAGGTACAAATAACCACCACTAACAACACACAAAACATGTATCCCATTGTTCCACCACCAAAAGAGGCATACACAGTAACTTAAATGTTACAATCAGTAAAACAATTCATAAAACAATTTGATGGCAGTTAAGAAAAGCAGCAGAGTGCTAGGAGTCACCCACACTTTTGCTTGACCCATATTGTGTAACCAATTAACCCCCCACCCAAAGGTCTGAGAGCTTTCCTTGTTTTGCCTTGCAAAAATCAGGTCGTACCTGCTGAATCAGATCGTATCATATGTGTGTAAAATTGGAAGAGATTTTGCTTTAAGCAAGCTTCAGTTCAGCAGGTCAGATGGGATTTTTGCAAGGCACAGCTATGATGAGAAAAGCTCTTGTACCCGGGGAACTGATTGGTACACAATCTGACCAAGATATGGGTTAAAAGTATGGATGGCTGAAGACAAATCTCAAGTACTTCTCTTCATTCTCTGATGCTTTTTTGTTTTGCTCAAGCAGTTGTCTTAGTGTAACCAGCAATGTTACAATGGAGTTCTGAAGCTGGCTCTGTACAGGGTAGCAGCAAAAGATCGCTTAGTGGAATGCTTTAATTTTTTTGTATAGTGGCTACCAGGTTAAACCCAGTCTTTCCCTGGCTTCTACCTACCCAAGACATCCGTTGCCCTCTTCCATAATTGCATTAACTGTGAACTGAAGGCCTTCTGCTCCTCTGTCCCTCACCCAAGGAAGGTCTCAACCCTATTGTCCTTCTGCCTCACGCACTCACACACCCAACACTTCTGCTCTTGTCATTATGCCAGTTTCTTTGATAGATTTGGCCGCATTTCAACAATGCATCTCAACATCTGTTTAGCTTTTGAATAGTTGCCATCTGAATTGACTATTGGTATTTTATTTTATTTAAGTGATGAAACCTTGTAATGATGTTTTGTTTCAGTGTATACTGCCTTGATATATTTTATGATATGGTGGTACAGAAATATTTTAATAAGTAAGTAAGTAAGTAAGTAAAGTCTTCAACTGGTTTCCTGATGAAGCTCATGGTAACTAGCTCAGGGTCTTGAGTCTTTCTGACACCTGCTTTCATCAAGGCTACTACAGACAACACATTTTTAACACTTAGAAAGAAGTTTAATACTTACAATAGCAACTTCCACGGCGTTTTCTATGGAGTACGATAGATCACACAACACCAGTAGCATTCTCTCACTAGAAACGGACCTAGTGGCTGGTAAATATCTGATTTCTGAGCAAATATTTTCAACAGTAGTGCCCTGTGAGAAAGAAAGCAAGACCAACTCTTCTAGAAAACCGGAGTATAAAAATTAAAGTACACACTAATTTCAGAACAATTTACAAATGATAAATTGATGTAACAGTAAAGTAGAAAAAAGTTTCGCTCCAAATCTCCCAGTATCATTTGATACACAGGCACACAAACAGGGGACTTAAAACATTAGAAGCACTGCTCCAATGTTCAGCATTCTCACTGGACCGTTTTGTATTCTCTTGGAGCCTTCTGGGAAGATAGGAAGGGAAATGAAGTTCGCCTTAAATCACAGGCGGTATTAATGAAGACCTGAACAAAAGGAATGGGGGGTTCACCTCCCAGGATGATCTCCCTCCCCCACAGAATTTATTCTCAAGGCTGGGAGGAAACAATCTGACACTACAAAAGTGTTTGTCCTGTGAATTCATAGGTAGAAAAGGTAAAGCATAACACTGGCTTACTTTACAGGTCAATCCAATGTGAAATGGTCTTTTGGTTACTTATCAAGTAACCTCAACTCCAAACTGCTGCACTGACTGATGACGGTGATGGATGGGAAAGTATAAAGGACAGTAATAAATAATTCCTATGGACTGGCATCCAAAGCTTTCCTAAAGTTGTGCTCGCTCTTTGGGATTGCTGCATTTCCTTTTCACTAGGAGCAGGAGGAATGGTAGCCCACTGAAGATGCCACTGGCAAGTCAGAGGACACCCAACATTCTCAACATCCTGCAGAAGACTCCATGGTGCAGATAAGGGCCTAACAAGCAAGGCAAGTTTTGAAAGACTGGAAAGCTGGTGACTTGTTTAAAAGACACTTTAAAAAGCAAATACAGGAAAAAGTCCAAGGTCCACAACACCTGTACCTAGCCTTCACAAAACTGGCTTGCGTCCTTGGATCATTCTGAAAGCTCTACACTGCAATCTATCACTGATGTTCGTTCTTTGGGGCAGTGCACTGAAACGCATTAGAGCATTTAAAACAAACAATTCACACCTTTCTTTAAATCCAAAGCTAACTCAAACCAAGACACAGGAGTCTCAATGGATTTTCCTAGGAGGAAAACAACTGCACCCTAATCTGCACCCACGCAAAGCCTTTATTTCAGAACTAACTAGTGCTGAGCAATTCTGGTGCTTAGAAGCAGCACTTCCCCTTCTCTGCTCAGTGGAGCTCAAAGGGGAAAGGGCTCAGCGGTACAGCAAATGCTTTGCACGCAGAAAGTCCTTAGGTTCAATCCCTGGGAAAGATTGTTATCTGAAAACTGAGAAAGCCAGGGCCAGTCAGTTATCAGCCCACTGGATGGACCAATGGGTCTAACTCAGTCTAAGGTACCTTCTTATGGATCACTCAGCTGAACTCCATGGCAGATGCCTGAAAAATCGAGGCAGCTGGAAGTGATAAAGCAGCACATTTTTCAAGCAAGATTTGTAGGTTTCAATGTTGTGCATTGCTTAGAAACTCTGTCAAGATGTTTGTAAGACTTTAAATTCTCACCTGGGGTACTTTGTCTCTGTTAAAAATCAGAGTGATTCTTGCACAGCTGTTGTCCAAGTAACCCGAATTGGGGGGACACTTGATGTTGACAGGAAGAGGTTCTGATTCACTGCATTCCCCCCAGTCAGCACAAGGAGGTTGGAAACATTTGGTGTACATTTTCTCTTGGCATTCTTGACCTCTGGAGCATTGGTGACTAGCATGGTCCCCATGTTTGGTCAACAAACAAGATTTTCTCCCACACCACACCTAGAATGTAGAAGATGTTTTTTTTTCAGCGTGTAACAATGGACAATCATGAAAATGAGGGATGTAGTAGCTTGTAGTTCAAACAAGGAGGCTTCTCTTCTAGCTAATCCAAGCCACAGAAGATTTGGGAGACTGTAATGCTCATCTCCTATCTCAGGTGATTATTACAAAGCACCGAGACTTGCACTTCTAGGCTCAGCAATGCCACTCAAATCAAACTGATTTCTTTACATTGTGCATACAATCATTACAGGGATTATTCCACTGCAGGGATTGCGCGGCGGGCCGGAGAGTGGGGGAGTGCGTGCCCATACACGTGCACACACACTATTTCCAGCGCACTTCCGGGTCAGAGAAGAACTAGAAATAGCTTGTGTGCATGTGCACAGGCCTCCTCCAACCCGGATGTGCACCAAAAATAATGCCTGCGCATGCGCACAAGCTATTTCCAGTGCTCCTCCAACCCGGAAGTGGGCAGCCGTGCAGCGCAGCACAGCACCAGTAAGAGCGGGCAGTGGGGGTTGCCGCGGGCCCGATAAACGAGTCTTTCGGGCCTTATCCGGCCCATGGGCCTTAGTTTGGGGACCCCTGTTCCACTGTCTCCTGAGCAAGAGGGATGTCAAGCCTAAGTTATAATAAGTATTAAGCGCATTAAGTGAATATCAGGTGAAACTTGGAGGGAGCAAAGGGATGGGGGAGTAGCAGTTCTCAATGCAACCATGTGCTGAAAATGTCACAGAAGTAAATTAATGAAGCTGACATGTGAGTGCGGTGGGGGTTGAAAAGTTTGAAGGAATAGGGAATTTAAATGATTTAGCTTTCAACTTCATGTAACTACCTTGGTGCAGTCAATGTGGCCATCCAGACAGTGGCAGTTGTTGCATTCTTGATCCCATCTGCTGCCATGGGGAAAGGATGTTCCTTTAAGCCAGCAAGACTTTCCAAATCCTATCACTTGGGGGGGGGGGGGAGAGAAAGAGAGAAAGAACAGGGAATAGTTTTCATTCTAAGTATTGGATCAAGCCAAAAGAGAATACCAAGTTCATGTAACAGATAAGCTATAGCACATGCTGCTGTGTAAGACACTGCAAAGTAGCATTTGATATTTATTGCTCTCAGTTTAAAGCATTAAGTTACCTTCTTGGCATCTAGTTCCAGCTCGCCCAGGGGGGCAAATGCACCTGTAGCCATTTATTTCATCAATACACGTAGAACCGTATGCACACGGAGAGGACTGGCATTCATCAATATCTGAAAGGGAAGAAAACAGGCTTTATACAGTATTACAGAATGCTAAAAAGTAAGAGGACTCATCTGTAGAAGCACTAGTCAGTATCATGTGTAACCTGTGGCTGTGCATGCTAGCTAACATTTATGTCCCGATGATCTAGCAACACTGCTGAGCATTCCAGGAATTAAGATGTTCTACTGGAGTTGCATTGCCGCTAAAAGATTCAGGATAGGTTACACCATTTTTAGTATGCATTCTTACAAAAGGAAGATATCAGAACATTACTATTTTTTCCAAGCAGCATATATTTAGCATGTGAAATGCATGTAAAGATACACTTCAAGGGGCAAGTCCTATTAAAAAAAATACCAATGCTTTGTTTATGGATACTGTCTAAAGGTTTCACTAAGGGCTGGGGTGTACAGCTTAAATACAGTTTTTGCCAAATCACTGTTAGTTGCATTTGTCAAATGAAGAAAGGAATTCTGTCCCAAAACAAAGCGGTCCCCATTCTTTACAAGGTAAGGGTCAGCATCTGTGAATAATTCAGTTAGCTTCTGCTTCATTATTTGGGATACAGATGACGAGTGCTTAATGCATCGAAACTCAAAGGGTACAATGCAACAAAGAGTTCAGGTCAATGGCACGACCTCCTTGGTCCTTTCCTTACGCAGGTACTTACTAATTCTGCAGTCTGGACCAGCAAACCCAGGTGCACATTCACAACGAAACCAATTCACACCATCAACACAGATGCCTCCATTGTAACTGTAACAATAAAAGACCTATCATTGCAATGAAGGCTGTCAGGGTAGTTTCACAAGCTGAGAGATAAGAACCTTTGGGTTTGTGTACATAATGGCCTGTTCAAATGCAAATTTCTTTTATTTGTATCAACAGACATTGTCTCACTATTCAGTCATGCAGGATTCAAGATGCTTAGTTAATTCATAACGTACGCCCATTTAATAAACCATCTGCATTGTCTTAACTTCTCCAATTAAACATTGTTAATTAAATAATCAGTGGCACAGAGGAGGGGGTCTATTCCCATTAAGAGAAGCAGCATATTAAGGGTAGCATTGAATCAGTTTTCATTCAAACCCCATATTTTTTAATAAAATGGAAAGACAATGGGACAGACATGCTTTAAAGAATACAAGGAGCAATATAGAATAATTCTTAGACCAATTGCTTTTTAAGCAAAGACACAGCTTTAGAAATGTGTACTCATTACAAAGCTAACTTGACATTTTAAAATCCACTTGCTTCATTACATTTAGATTACTGCATCAAAAAAGGTTGTCATGTTCCAGATTCCTATGACTGCAGAGCTTCTGAATGCAGTTATAGCAGGTTCCAGAAACTCTACAACCATCACGGGCCGGGAACAAGACTTGGAAGCTTTGCAACTTGTAGACAAAGTACAGTACACCAAAGTCTGAATTATTATACACAGGGCAGGAATACTGAAAGACAAAGAGGCACTGGAGAACTGTGCTGTTCAATAAGCAGATAGCAATCAGCTTTCCTGAGATTGTGGAAGGAACAATGTCCTTTTAAAAATGGCTGGATAAGGACTATAAAGAAGGGATAGAAATTATTTCTCTGAATAATTTGAAGGCTGCTTTGCACGTTACAAGGGGAAAGCATGTGTTGCCTTTGTATCTTCAACATGCATCCTTTTGGTAATATTTGACTGGAAAGAGTGGAGACGCAAACACATCAAAATTTAACATATGAAGTGAGCACTGGCCAGTTGCGGCTCACTCCCAGGAACATTCCCTAGATGTCTGCACTGTTTTGCTTCAAGACAAGCATGACTGAGATATGAGGACAACACTCTGTGGAAACGGGACCTGTATCCCCCAGCTATGGATGGACACAGGGGCAAAATCTGTGTCAGTCTGCTTCATAATGGGATGGGAATAAAGTCTCTTCTATTTCATTTCCAGGTGTGCCTTTGAGGACAAATCCATATAAATCCCTAAAACGGTGCAGATTTTTTAAACATACAAATTAAGAAAAAGATTACGAGGTGTCTGCCCATCTTCTGTTGTTTTTAAAAACATAATTTTGGCAGCCTAAGGTAAGCTAGTGGCAGTGTGAGGCTCCTACTGCTTCACATATTGAAATCAATGTAGCAAGTCGCCAGAGCAGAGAAGTTCTGATGATGCGCCTGGGCTCTCAGGAGAAATTTTATGTGCATTTTACATCCAATTCCCCCTTATAGAATATCAGGGGAAATTGAACATAAAGTTACCTGAGACCAACAGCATATCATCAAGACCAACTCCTCGCAGGTGGGCTTTCTACATTGATTTCAAAGTGAGAGGCGAGAGGAGCCCCATGTGCTAGCTAGCCACCCTTAGGCAGTTGAAATTACCTTTTTTAAAAACAGTGAAAGCTGACGACAGACAAGCAGCTGTCAGACCACCTCATGTGCAAATCTGCAGGAGGCTAGGAATCTGGCAAGTGTGGGCTTCAGAGTAATTGGGTAGGGTGTGTCCACTTTGGAGATACAGCTTTCTGGATTCTCTCCTCATCCCTAACATGAGCGAGGCAGCTTTTAAGAGGATGGGCAGCTGGTTCTTCACACTTAAGGGTCAACTAGCCACTCATATATGCTGCTGGGAATTCCTGCTGATTGGGTCAGACTGGATACTGAGCTAGCTAGCCTTTGAGACTTCTTCCAGAGCAGGCAGCTTTCTACCATCATCTGAAATGGTATGAACTATTTTTATGAAGCCTGATATGTCTAAGATCTTCTATCTGTAGCACACCGTCTCATTGATGACAATTAATTTACAACTTTACAACTTGGCTTCTAAAAATGTGGGGCAGAACAACGTTCAACCAGATGGCAGAGGTCCTTTTCAGCCCTTCAAATGCAAGGATTTAGTCAAAATGGGGACAGGAATCTTTCGTATACACTGTGTCCTCAAATGCTCAATTATAAAACCATTGGTATTATTTTCATGTCAATATTCATTATGGTTAACACTTATGCGCTTTCTGCTTTGTTACCGTCTTCCCACTTTAAACTCCTACTCTTGACACAAATGCCAAATACCTATAACTGAAGGAACCTAATAGCTTTAGTGTGATTTTTCAATTTTTATTTTTTTTAGGCTAATTTCATAGAACTTTTCAAACTACAAATCTCATATTACCACTACGGAGCAGAAACCAGGCTCCATAGGAGCATACGTATTGGCAGAGCTGCCAGTTAGCAAAGAAATACAGGAAGTTCATTGGAAAGACCAGCACAATAGTTAGAGTATAGGGCTTAAGTAGCCTTGATTAACAGAATTGTTCACATTCAGCCATTGTACTAGGACATTTTGAAAAAAGAATGATCATGAGTACTTACCATGGATGTGGATTACAGTCGTTAATATCTGAACAAAGAAAATTAAACTGAATCAGTGCACTGAATTATGTACACAGTATAAAAACTGCACCTTGATCTAGCAGGTCTATGTACACACAGTTTTCTTACATGCCACCCATATTAATTTATTGGCTCATTTAGAAACTATAGAGTTTTAAAACAGAATCCCTGGTCTGTAATAAACAACAACAACAACAACAACAACAACAATAATAATTTATTTCTACCCTGCCCATCTGGCTGGGTTTCCCCAGCTACTCTGGGCGGCTTTCAACAGAACATTAAAAACAGAATAAAACTTCACACATTAAAAATGTTAAACAGTGAATTGTTAAAAGTAAAACTAAACTCAGAAGTCTTCCTCTCATATGTAGAAGGAGAAGATGGACTGTACAGGAGGAAAATGGGAGAGCACGCAACTCCAAGGTTTTGCTTGGGCTCCTAGAAGCTTGCTGAGTACCACTAAACCACGGTTTTCTGTTGTGTGTGACCAATGTCATTACATGTGCTCTCATCACATGACAGCGCTATGGAAATGTCACATGACTGTTGCAGGTATAGGTGGCACACAAACATCAGTTACCAACCTCAAAAATGACACATTTTAGACAGTAAAGGCACCACTTCAACTCTTAAATGTGGCTATCAGCAATATAGGAGAATTGTATTGTAAGGTCCATCAAAATATAATGAGGGAAAACAAATGTATTTTTAAGAGGAGGCATGGGACCTCTGAATTCATTTCTCAATATATGCTGAGCAAGTACCAGCTTTTATGTCATTTCCCACTATATAAGGCTATGTATGTAAACCACACCTTGTAGAAGTAATCTGGGCTAGATCCCATATTTAGAACTTTGGGCTTGTAATTTGTGTAATGACCACTTAACACAAGACAATATTTGAATTAAGGATTTCCTTGCTTTCAACTAGATTCCACCTCCCACTGACCTTTCGACTACGCAGCTAAATTCCAGATTGAAGTGTGTTGAGGAAACTTCCTCTCCTATCTAATCAACTTGCAAAGTGCGTAAGGCAATAGTTTAAATAGCTCTAGAATAGTTGCTGAATGAAGAACAGCAAGAAGTCATTTCCAGGTATCACAGATTGCTCCCTCACATGGAGCCACTACCAGAACAGCTTCCCTCCCTCTCCTAGCCAGCTGTTTTAGGCATAAATAAATGGTAGCTCCATGCACCATAAACAGTGGCGAGGGCTAACAACTTAACCAAGACAGAGGCAATTAAATGTAATTTCAATGCAGGGTTGAAGTTTTTGACTAGGTATAACATTTTGTGCATGTTCCGACTTGAGCCACAAACTCAAACTGTGCCACACCTAAGCAAATCAGCATATTGGCATGCTAGTTAAAATCTCCCAAGGTAGTACTAAGGAAAATATTCCGACATGATTTATATAGTTCCGTCTCAAAAGCTAGTGATATGCAGGACTCCCAATCGTAAGAAATAATGAGCTTTCTGGATATTTTGAACAAGAGGTATTATTACTATATTATTATTAGTAGTAGTATTATTATTAGTATTATTATTAGTATACTGCCCTTCATTCAAAGATCACAGGGCAGTTCACAACATAAAAATACAAAGTAAGAACACAAAATACATAACAAAACAAAAACACAAACAAACCAAATAACCCCCTCCCCCCAAAAACCCCACTTTTAAAAGGTCAGAGAACCTGCCCAAGGCCGGGTTATAGAGAAATGCTTTCGCTTGGTGCCTAAAAATATGTACGAAAGCTACCAGGCAAGCCTCCCTGGGGAGAGCATTCCACAAACGTGGAGCCACCACAGAAAAGGCCGGTTCTCATGTTGTCATCCTCCGGACCTCTCATAGAGGAAGTACACAAAGAAGGGCCTCAGATGATTATTGCAGGGTCCAGGTTGGTCAATTGGGGGGGGTGAGGTCCTTGAGATACCACAGTCCATTTAGGGCTTTATCTGTAAAAGCCACTCACTCGCCGGATCGCCACCTTGTTGTGGTGAGTAGGCTTGCATGTTTCCAGGATCCTTGTGAGTGAAACCATTGGGAATTGGGCCCAAATCGGAATAATCTACAGCCATTAGAAGTGTCAGTCTTGACACAAAAGAGGAAAACACTTACTCTGTGTGCACGTACGTCCTTCCCAACCTTCTTTACAAATGCAAGAAAAGGAATCTCCACTGCCAACGCAGGTTCCACCATTTAAACAAGGGTTAGGAAGGCAGCTGCTGTTCTTAGCTTTAATGTTAAAAACAAAAAAAAATAGGAAATTAAAAATATGAAAGCATTCAGCCAAAAGTCCTAGTACTGCATCAGTCTTATGAAACGTATTTTAATCCCACCTTTTAGTTTTTAAACCCCAATGCTGGTTACATCGATACAATAGTCAATAACCTAACACTACAATTGTCAGCAAAAGCCTGCCAAAATGAAATGAGCTTTTGTAGGTTATTTAAAAGCCAGCATCAAAAAAAGGCAGGCGAGCCTCCCTCAGGGAGAATTCTGTAGTCCGGGCACTGCCCCCCTTGGCACCAACAAACCACACTTCTGACTCCATGTGTGTGCCATGTTTCAGTCCAATCCCCTGCAATGGAAGAATATGTAGTGATCCCTTATAGGCATTGAACCTGCAACCTTATATACTGTGGTACCTCGGTTTAAGAACAGCCCTGTTTACAAACTATTCGGTTTACGAACTCCGCAAAACCGGAAGTAGTGTTCCAGTTAGTGAACTTTACCTCGGTCTACAAACGGAAGCCGAACGGTGAAAGGGCACCAGCGGCGGGAGGCCTCATTAGGGAAAGCGCACCTCAGTTTAAGAACGACTTCGGTTTAAGAACGGACTTCAGGAACGGATTAAGTTCATAAACCGGGGTACCACTGTATTCTAAATGTGTCAACGATAGCTTGATGTTGCCAAAATATATTTTTACCCATATCTGTTCAGAGAAATGACGGTTCCTCCCACAGCTCTGGCTTCAAAATGGTTCTAGGGTAGCCAACTTGAAGAAGGCCACTTCTACTTCTTCTCCTGTGCAGTTATAGTCAAAACTGCCTGTAATTTTTGTGACGGAAGAGAGCTCGCTAAGCAAAAGCAAGACTAGTAAAGGGTTCCTGTTTACTATTATGTTCTAACCATGTTTTCCCCTGATCACTAATGAGATTGGGGAAGGGGGGAAAAAAGCACAGGCTGTTTATAGTTAGCTTCCTGAGCAAAGCAGACGTACATCCAATCTGAATATATTACTGAGCAGATTAAGCACTTACCAATGTTGCAAGTGCTTCCTTTCCATTCCGGAGGACAAGAGCACCGAAAAGTATCCCCGTCGTCGTAACACGTTCCTCCATTTGTGCAAGTATTCGCGTCACACTGGTACTCACCTAAAAATCCATGAAAACAAATTTAAGCAGCTAATCGCATGTCTAAGGTTTTTTTTTTTTTTTTTTTTTTTTGCTTTAGGAACCAGAGATGAATGTTTTGTTAGAGCCAGATACACTACTATGGAATCGTACAAGCAAAAATGTTTATAGCTTATTCTTTGGGGTGTTTGTTTTATGCACTAGAACTCAGGGGGTTTCAGGATGGCATGGGGCTAACAAACCTAAATGAGTAGATATGTATATAAATGATTCACTCATCCATGGAAATAATTGCTCCAAAAGACAGTTTGAAATTAGTTTTAATTTCATAAAATTATGCCACAAGCATTGGGCAGAGCTGCAGTTTTCATTTTGATATGACAGGATTCCAAACTTTCTTTCTTCAGCTTCAATATAGTGTGCCAATTTTTTTTTAAAAAAAACCTTAGTGGTTTCATTTGGGGAAAAGCAGACAGTGATTGGACTTGTTTGTACATGACTCTCTTCATCAAATCCCTTTCTGCAGTTCTTTAGAGTCCCTTCAAAGCTACTTCAGTTACTTTACAATACTTTCCTCTTTTAACTTCTGGGTTTGAGCTGAACTATACCATCTAAAGCACACTTACTTGAATGGCATGTTTTGCCTTTCCAGCCACTTGTACATTCACAATAGAAGTCATTCTCTAAATCAATGCATCGGCCTCCATTGTGACATGGATTTGGCAAGCAGTCATTGAAATCTAAAAAATTCCAAGGAAGAAGTACTTTAGCAAAAGAGGCAGAAATTAATTTTTGAAAAGAATACCAAAAGAGAGATGTCTATCTCAGTAACATGGCTTGTGCAGGAGCAATTAGACACTGTTTTCAGTATTAAATGACCTAAGAAGCCAAGATGAGATTAATAGAATCACAGAACTGCAGAGTTGGAAGGGAGGGTCATCTAGCCCAAACCCCTGCAATCCAGGAATCACTTGCCCAACTTGGGGCTCAAACCCACAACCCTGAGATTAAGACTCTCAGTATTTATATAGTACTATATTTTAATCAGAAGGCAAATCCTACTTTAAACCATAGACTAGGCTCTTTTGACTCCTGGGCACCAAACCAGAAAGTCTTTTGAATCAAACCACTGTTTGAAATCTCAGCACCTTACATCACCCCCTTTTCCCAACCCTGCTAATTCTATGGGAGGACCACAGATCAGTAAGACAAGTGTTTGCTTCACATCCAGAACCCCTGCCCTTTCCAGTTAAAGCATCTCATGCTGTAGAGCTGGAAAAGGAAACTCTGCCCGACACAGTAGACAGGCAATGCCAGTCAGCAGCCAACACTGGGCAACCCGGATTAGTAATCTGATTCGGTATAAAGGAGCTTCTTCATGTACTCACATCCATAAAGAATCTGATCAGTTTGGTCTAGACACAACACTTTATAGTGTTTAAAGTGGAACAGTAAAAATTAGGTCCCAGGCTTCTGCTCAAATGGTAATTATTTTATATGCTCCAGAATGAATTACGGTGTCATAACATATTGTTTAATTAACAGAAATCAAATCATTCTGATATAAAGGACAGTTCATATTTAGAAAGATACAAATGGTACTGTTAGCACTTAGGAGATGTTTTCTCTGAATTAACCTTTTCTATTTTGAGAGCTATCAAACAAGATCACAGAGACAAACTCTTCTTAAGAAAAATAGTCTGGATAAGTAGAGCCATTTTCCTCTTTCTGTAGGGGTGTGTGTGATTTTAAATTAGGCATGCACTCTGGAACTCTTGGTCAGATGAAAAACAAGTTTACCTGAGTTTAAGGCTATAATCTTAAATTTATTTTCCTGAAATAAGCTCCAGGAAACTTCTGAGTAAAACTTGGGCTGCAGGTAAGGGTCAGTCTCCTGGCTAGGCATGGACAAGGTTAACAGTTTTAGCTTCTCAAGGTTTCTCACTTTTCCAATCTTAAATTCAGTTCTCCAGTCAACATTCATCAGCATTATATTTAATGTTCCCTGATATACACATTTTGCAAGCAATTAATCCTAATGCATTTTTGTTATTTTCACCCACATATTTTTTAAATTTATTTTTTTACAATTAACAAAATTTACACACCACTTGTTTGTAGTAAACTGCATTTTAGGTACCTACCCTAAACTATGAGTTTTTGCACAGATTATCTGATTGCAGAATTGCAGTGTGTAAAATGTGGAGAAGTGTGAATTCTGAGGGACAGCTGTACTCCAGCTTGCATTTTTAGGACATGTGAATTAAGTAGATTTGCATTAAAATGTGAACCAAAACAAAATTCTGCCTCATCCCTACTCATGACTACTTCTGCTATTTAAACATTTTGTTGTACTCACTTATATCGCACAGTTTTCCTTCCCAGCCTGTCTGGCAGAAGCACCTGAAATCATTAACTTCATCTATGCAGGTCCCACCATTTTTGCATGGATTTCCAAGGCAGTCATTGATATCTAAGGAAGACAATGCACAATCACCACTGGAACCATTTTATTTGGTGTGACAAGCCACCACAAGAGTGTTCATCTATTGAGGAAAGTCATGATTGTTCCAGCTGGAAAAGGTGTGTCAGCTTGTAGAACAGAGATGGGAATAATTTTTAGGTACCAGGAGCTCAACTGGAGAAAGGTGTGAAGTTGTGGATCAGGGAACAAAGAACACAAAGGAAAAGGATGCTTCTGCGCACATGCTCAGTCCAGAATTTATTCAATGCCAGAACTAACCTCCAAGTTCTGCCACACAAAACTCCAGTCCTCTCCAAATTTTGTTTCAGCTGGTTTTGGGGGAGTTGCTATTTTAAAACATTTGAAAGCTGGAAACCCTTGCTAGTCTACTACAAATCTCCCCAAGATCTTCCTGTAGATTCTGATCTAAGGTAAAGGGACCCCTGACCATTAGGTCCAGTCCTGGGGTTGCGGCACTCATCTTGCTTTATTGGCCGAGGGAGCCGGCGTACAGCTTCCGGGTCACGTGGCCAGCATGACTAAGCCGCTTCTGGCGAACCAGAGCCGCGCACGGAAACACCGTTTACCTTCCCGCCGGAGCGGTACCTATTTATCTACTTGCACTTTGATGTGCTTTCAAACTGCTAGGTTGGCAGGAGCAGGGATCGAGCAACGGGAGCTCACCCCATTGCAGGGATTCGAACCACCGACCTTCTGATCAGCAAGTCCTAGGCTCTGTGGTTTAACCCACTAATACACTTTTTGAGGGTGGTGGCCAAATAGAACCAATGTTTGACTACAAGATGCCTTCTGTGTGAATGTAACAGGCGATTGTTTTGCTGTTAACTGCTGAAATGGTACCCAGCATGTTTTAAAGAAACAGAAACAACCACAGAACCATGGCGTTTGACTAATTATCCAATCAGTCTTCAAGAATTCAGGAGGAAGTAGCTGCCATTTAATATTTGCACTACAATGATGTTTGTCCGTGGTATGACACCTGCCTTTTTCCTGTTAATAGAAATGGTCTGCCATGATCAAGCTTTGAATCCTGAACCAATGACCTAGGAATGAAATCCTTTAAATCCCATTAGGAGCCTAAGCTCTCACTCTAAATCGTTTCAAAACAAATGTGTTTCTAATGCTGTACACCGCCCTGAGATCTTTTGATAAAGGGTGGCATATAAATCGAAATAACAGCAGCAGCAACAGCAACAACGTACATACCAGCTTAGTTTTTAATAAAATATTTTTTTCCGCTGCCACTTACTTTCATGACAGTATGTTCCAGTAAAGCCTTTCTCGCAGGCACAAGTAAAATTGCCTCCTGGTTGACTGACACATTGTCCATGGGGTCCACATACACTGGAGGAAATTAATCGGACGCCTTTCCGGGTAGCATTTGTGAAGACCTCTATTGTACAGCTGTCTATTACTAAGAACAAGACATATGGCTTTTAAGTAAAAGAAAACAAATCCTGGATACAGTCCACCTTCCAATGCAGCTTTTTCACCTGCAGCGCACAGCATTTCATTAAGTCTTCCTAATATTTAGTAGGCATATTTAGAATGCTCTAAGAAACTTCATTCACAAGCAGATTTGAGAGCTGGGCCTAAAAGGGTACATTAAAAGAAGGCAATGTTTCCCCCCTTTCATTTAATTTTCCATAGGAAGGATGGCACATTCTAGTTTTTGTACCTTGTTCTATTTTCCTTCCTAGAGTTTTAGTTTTACTGCTAAAAGCAAACTGTATTGCTTGCTTTTACATTTTTAAGCTTGCAAGACTTGTCACAATTAAGAAAAAAAGCAATTTAACCAACGGCCACCTTTCCTGCAAGATGTCCATTTTTATATGGCTTCTACGGTAGATACTTAGCTACTACCAAGTAAACAGGTTTACAGGACAAATATACCTTTACACGAATTATTTTTGCAGTGATCCTTAAGGTGAGAGCAGTTCTTTCCATCATAGTCATCGGAGCAAGCACAATAATAGTCTTCTCGCAGATCATAACATTTAGCTCCATTCTGGCAAGGGCTAGGCTTGCAGAGATCAATATCAAGCTGCAAAAGGTTTAAGACAACACGGGTTAACATTCCTAAAGTATGCCAACACATAACGTTGCATGTTAAAATTGTTGCAGTTACTTCAGTCTTTACAAATTGGTTGCACACACTTATAAGGGCTGTAGCTTTCCAGTAACAAAAGCATTTTCCAGTCCAAATCAAGTTTTTGTTTACACCAGAAGCATAAATTACGGAGTGTCACTTTTGCTAAGACGAGAGGGTGTATTGCTACGTTAAGATTGACTTCTCTCCCCCCCCCCAATATTATGCAAAATGCAATATACAGATAGGGATTACATGTATCATTTTCAGAGAATCTCCCAACAATTTTTTTCCCCTGGGCTGGCATCTTCTCTGCAAGATGGGAAAATGTTTGAAAAGCATGTGCCGACACAGCTGTTGGGAGAATTTAGCAGGGGATTCAGATTGTAGGGAGAGAAAAAAGGCTCGCTCTTCTAATTCTGTGTGTACATTTAAGCAAGGTGGTTTAAAGCTGATTTGTTACTATTATGGTGATGAAAAGGGACAAACTTAAACAAGCCTTGCGCCATGTAAGCATTTACAAAGACAAATCCTTTTAAGGAAATTATTAATCTTAATACAGTATTCTTGTACCAACTGCATTTACTTTAAGCACTATCTACCTGTCAGCAAGGCAGACATAGAAAAAGCATGGCACCTATCTGATAAAAGTTCCTAGATTTGAAATTTGGACGAAAACTTTCAATGAAATATACAATTCTATTATTCTATGTCCACCTGAAAAGTCCTTTTGCAGACAGCGGAAGTTGTCCCTGACCTACTCTTGATTTAGAACTATCTTTCTCAGAACTATCACATATCATTTTCGGAATATAAAAGAGGGGAAATTCAACACTCCCTAGTGGGGAATATTGCAAGGGCATTTGTATCCTTTTAATGAAAAATTTATTTTCCTGCAGCGAAACCCAGACATGGAGCAGTTAGTTATTCCCCCAGGATATGATAAGCTACACTATTTATCTCTGGAACGTATCACAATAGAATATACTTGTCCAAACACATTAGAAAATTCACACAGCAGTATGAATGCACACAAATTGGCCACGTTAAATTTGGAATCTGATTTCTAGCCCATATGAAAGTTTAGCATTTATGAATGTGGCAGGCACATAGTGTAAAAATCAGACCCCTATAAAAAAATCATCACATTGATATTTTCAGTAACTAATAGATGCTTATTCCAAATATATTATGACCTTAGCTACTGAGATTTTACTGCAGAAGTTTGTCTGTTTACATGGGACAGTAAAGTGAACAGCTGAGTGGCAATTATCTAATTACACAGCCATGGGTTGCTCGGGCTTAAATTATAACAGGACTCTTTCCAGAATTCAATCCATCAAAGCTATTAAGAAGGCCAAGGGATCCTTCACCTCACAGAGATCTCCTGAGAAGCCTTGAGGACAGAGACAGCGGAATCCATTCACCAAGTTCTCACAACGCCCTGCATTTTGACATGGGTTGCTCATGCATTCATCAACTTCTGTTTCGCAGTTCTTTCCTATGAAACCAGGGGGGCACATGCAGTGGTAACCATTCACGACATCCTACGGGAAATGAAAGATCGAAAGGAGAGCACTTATGTCAGAAGGTACTGGGAACAGACTTTCGTATCATTTTCTTCAAATAAAATCAAACTAGAATCTCAGAACCACAAATTTTCATTTCATTATTTTTTTTAACAAGAGAGGCAAGATTCTTCTGGATTAACAACAAAGTTATGCTTTAGTACAGAACGAGCGGCTCCTAAGCCCATTCTCCCACAGCTTTTAATCTCTTTCTTTCTCTTTGGTGATTACTCATAGCCAAGTAAAATTGTCTTCCATGAATATGGTGCTAACTATGAGTCTTCAAGTGACTGTGGAGGCCAATTCTGGATCCGCACATCCTTCCACAGTAGGGACATAGGTTTCCGGGAGGGAGTTGATCAAGGTGAAGGTTTGCCAAATATACCTTCCTCTTAGCACGTTTCTCCCTTTTGCCTTTGGTAGAGGCTATTCTCCAATAGAGATTTAATCTAGACCCATGGGGGCTACCTGCTTCCTTTGAGCCTGCTGGATGTTCACGTCTCCACACTGTGAAAAGTGACTGTTTATAGGCCTACATTCTACCTCTTGCCTTTTAACAAACTGATGAGCCGCTGCTAGCTTTCATTTTTTATAACTCTGTTCTCAGGAGAAGGCAGCTTGCAGTGCATCCAAAAAACTGCACCTATGAAATGGCTACATTCATTACATATCCAAATTGGTTATCCATGCAAATCACATAAGGTGTTTTCTTTTACCAAACCTATGCTCACTTTAAACCCCCTAGCACAGCTATTCTGGTTAAAAGTGAAAAAGCTAAGTTTTAAAATCATGTTTACTATTCCAGGATAAATTCCTAGAACCTTTTTAAAAGAAAGAAAGAAAGTTGCTTTCCAACCCTGTAGTACAGAGACTGATGACACAGAGAAACATACCAGAGTAAGTAGCTCAGCAGTTTCATGTTTGAATTTTTAGAATTCTTGGACAAATGCCACCTAGTACTACTAACTTAATCAGTTGGCTCCAAAGCCATCCTATGAACGTTTCAGAGGAACAGTTCTTCCCGTTTGCCATTCAAAATGCTAACATGTAGACCGTACTTCAAATGTTCATGATTATTCTAAGAATCATTTAACAGCAGCATTCCTACCTAATCTTAGTACCATAAAGTCAACAGTCTTTCTTTTTTTTTAACAGAAAGGGAAGGGGTGAGTGTGGACAGAGTTCTACCCAACTGCTCTTGAAAGAAACAAGCCTGCACCAAAATAGTAGGCACATACGGTTCAACAACTACTCAGGTACAATCCACCAAATTTAGACATTTGTCCGTTTGATTCCAATGGAAGGGATATGAATTGCTCCTACTGAAATCAATTGTGCTTCAAAAGCACTCAGGTTGGCTACATCGTATCCCATTTATTTAGATTGTTTGTGGCTTTTATCCCTTCATCAGCATAATTTCCAACTTCCCAAAAAAGAAAGATGCGTGTATGGGATGTGAAGAACAACAAGCAGCATGATACAAGGTCCTCCTCAGTAATGCGGGATGGAATTTTTCCTCATTTTGCAAGTTCTTTAGCAACAACGAATGGATGCTAACTGCAAATTATGATATAAAACAAGCTTGGCATCTGAAAAAATTCTCATGCAAATTATCCAAATTTTCCAGAAAACCCACGTCACTGCCCTCAAATATGGTTTTGTGTAGGCTGGCTTGATTTACTCTTTAAACTAGCAATGCACAACCAACTTAAAATATATTGTGATAATCAATGCAAGGCTAAATGCTGCCAGAAGAAAAACAGCTCAAATATATTGCAGACCTCCCAAACACTCAAACTGTTCCTGAGGAGCTGTTAGGGTGGGGAGAAGAGGAGAGTGGGGAATTACAGGGAAACAACCCCTGGAGGGTGAGGGGCAGTTCCAAGTCTGACAACCAGTGTTACCTGCTCTGCCTCATTCAGATGTGGAGCTAAGCTAAACTATGGCTTGGCAAAGATGAGCCAACGTGTGGGCTTCCAGAGGGGAGATCATGGTCACTTAACTCCTCCTCCAGTTGTTCTGCTGCTGCACTGAGTGGAAACTATGGGTTGTCTTAGTGCAGGCATGGCCAAACTTGGCCCTCCAGCTGTTTTTTTGGACTACAGTTCCCATCATCCCTGACCACTGGTCCTGATAGCTAGGGATGATGGGAGTTGTAGTCCCAAAACAGCTGGAGGGCCAAGTTTGGCCATGCCTGTCTTAGTGTGAACCCAGGCTCATGGCTTAAATCTCTCATGCAAACCATGAACTGTAAGCCCATAGGATAAACCTTGGTTATAGCTTGTGGTTTGTCTGGGGGAGTGAAACCAGGAATCTGGGTTAAGGCAACACTTCAGACCAAACCATGGCTTCACTCAGCACAGCAGCAGAATTGGAGAAGCAAAGCTGTTGCAATTTTCTTTCCAGGAGCCAGCACACCTGCTCATTCACAGTAGTAATAATAGTAATATTTTTATTATTTGCACCCCACCCATCTGACTTGGTTGCCCCAGTCACTTTGATCGACTTCCAGCATATAACTAAACCTTCATATGGCTTAGCGCATGCTTCCTCAACCTTGGCCCTCCAGATGTTTTGAGACTACAATTCCCATCTTCCCTGACCACTGGGTCCTGCTAGCTAGTGATCATGGGAGTTGTAAGCCAAAAACATCTGGAGGGCCGAAGTTGAGGAAGCCTGGATTAGCGTTAACATGTGAACTGGGCCATAGGTTGAATTTTAAGGAGCAGCAGCTCCAGAGCACCTCAAAACAAGAAAACAAAACAAATGCATTTAATCTTACCTTACAAGTTCCTCCATTTTGACACTGCCCATGACAATCATTAATATCTAGGGATAAAATACAAATGAGATTAAAAATAAAAAAGACTGGAACTCAATTGCAATGAATAGACTGAAGATGAGTTAGCAACGTCTGTTCATTCTTAATAAGCAATCTGAAGTCTTCCAGAGGCAAGGAAATACAAGCTGTATGGGTGATGAAGGTTTGAATACCAGGCAATATTCAAGCAAAAACGTCAAGTTAGTCTTCCCAAGACCAGAATACTGAAGCTACTCCCCAAGTTAGTTCATTCCACAACTCAAACGTTAAGGCTTTAGATGCAAGGAAACATCTGCTAAGGGAGTCACCATACATGGTTCTTTGAAAGGCTTTAAAGATATCTTTATCATTTCTAAAGATGTCTTAAACTAGGAATTAGGAATGTTTTGATATATTCTATAAATAAAAGCTCTTTTAGGGTCAGAGAGATATATATACGCAAGATTAAATACTGACTGATGTGACAATTTACTCCTTTCCATCCTGGAATGCAGTCACAGTAATATCCACCAATAAGATTTTTGCAAGAATGAGCATTAAGACAGGGTTTCCCTTCACACTCATTAGCATCTGTGAAAGAAGAGAAAGAAAAGCAGGGAGTGAAGAACAAACCCAGAAATAGACTGCCCTTGCACCAAAGCAGAGCCTCCAAAATATCAGCTACATGTCACGGTGACACATGTTTGCTGATATTTTCAACATGCATGCTGCAGAATTTTCCCTATAAAGCAAGCACCAATGATTATAAGCTTCAGACTTTGTGGTTCTATTAAACTCCAGTTATGCAGCTAAGAGAGATTATGCAGCTAAGAGAGGCCAGCTCCCCAAGTCTTTGAGCAAAAGTATAATAAATACTAGTTTGGGGAACTGTGAACAATGACAGCTACCGTAGGAGTTTATGTAAATGATATCCAGCATCGACAATGCCTATGAATTTGTATAGAAGTGGTAGTAAATGCAACAGATTGGAAGAATGAAACTGGAAATCTGCCATGTTGGTTAACACGAGGGCCCAGCAGCCTCTACTTATGGATCCATTGACTTGTTCCCCTGCTGTCCTTGCCCATTTCCTGTGACTTCCCTCGTGGTTTGATGGGTCTTGGGCACAATACAATCGAGGTTGGGGGAGTGCTTAATGGTGGATTGCGCCCAAGGGGTGGACTGCATCCAAGGAATGACGGACAGGTCTAGCCTGCCCACACACCTTCAGAGACTACTTAAATGCTTCTGCATAGCCCTGAGGCATGCATGTAGTACAGGAAAAAATATTTTGGGTCAAGCAACGTGCAGGAATAAGGGAGCAGTCGATAAGCACACACCCCAAGGCAACAGGAGCCAAGTGTAGTAGCTTAACAGTGCAAGCATGCCCTAATTTTAGCCACCCTAGGAGTTAAGTCCACCACTATTATCATGCTGAAGACAATTTCATACGTTGCTCAAGTTTGCACCAAGTGAGGGAAGGATGCTTTTCAGAATGCAACATTGCCTGTTCCTGCACTCAGAGGCATTTAAAAGCAGCACACACTCTGATTCTCACAAGATTAACTCAGAAGTAGCTAAAACATCAAAGGAAGCATTTATACAAAATGACTCGGAAGCAGCTAAAACATCAAAGGAACCATTTGCACAAAATGACAACAATATACTTACAATAATGAACGCGACTAATTTTAAAGATAGCTTACAGTCTTGACTTACCAAGCTGGCAGGTTGCCCCAATCCACTGCTGTGGACATATGCATTCAAACCCATTAATGCGATCAACACAAGTTCCACCACTAGCACATGGGTTAGAGGCACACTCATCAATATCTGGGGAGGAAAAGAATGGTCTGAGACAACCGTACATGTTGCTTTCAATGCAGATAAATGGGCATAACCATAACTCTTTAGGAAAAGAGTTAATCAAGGCATGTCCAAAGTCCATTTTGGGGCCTAATCCGGCCCTCCAGTCAGTTTAATCCGGCCCCTGTGGCAGGTTATTTCCTGGGGTAAAATTAAAATCCAATAAAAAGCTCAACAACTTCAATCCTAAAAATGGTCAAGAACTTTGGTCGGCCCTCACACATGTTCATTTCATCAGATCTGGTCCTCTTTGAAAAAAGTTTGGACACCCCTGTAATACACCCTCCGTTTGCCCCTAGGTTTGTTCACTATTTAATTCAACATCTATTGCCACGCTGGCTATAAATGATAAAAAAGTTTTAGCAAACTCTGCAAGATGAAGAAGCCTGAGAGTACACAGCAGCACAACACAAGATGCTTGGCACTCTTGCCATTGGATGCTTCCACTGGAACTGAACAAATGGAGCTGCTAATCCGGTTATAGCACCTTGTTTGTGTAGTGGTTAAACACCAAAGCGATGCAGTTCTTCTTGCCTGGTTTAGAAACAGGGTGTTCCCTGATTCTGTGAAAAAGCTAAGAACGTAACTGCGTTCCTGTCACTTCTATGCTTCCAAGAGTCACATTTGGGATACCCACCATGCTCATGGCAGCAACAAAATTTATTACAGAACCCTTGCTGAAAGAAGGTTTGATCCTTCTCATCAGTAATTCCTCACCATATGCCTTTGAGAGGAAAGTATTACATCAAGGAATAGTGATGCACGCCCTCGGCAGAAACAGAAAAACACAACTTGCCACTACTGATTATTTTGCTACCCACCACCTCCCAAAATATACCACTCTCCTCCTGCACCTCCTAGCAAATGTGCTGCTGGCATGAAGAAATCAAAGAGTTTGCTTTTTGGCTCAACTTTCAAGAGAGTTCTGTTGTTACGATCCTATACATGTGTAATCCTAAATGTGGTGCTACAGAGGCCACAAGGAAAAGGATAACGGCCCCCAGATAACACTTGAAGTGAAAGTTACTTTGCCAGGAACTTTTTGATTATAAGCATGTTAGCAAGGCTCTTAAGCACTTGCACTCATTAGGTGCTGTGCAATGCTCGATTAACTATTAATCTGCTACATCAACCAATTAAGCTTCTGACTGACCAAGAAAGGCATTAATAACTGAACAACCACAAAAAAATTCTTAAAACTACAATGGCAGCCGACAACTTAAGTAGCCTCTGCCCTTCTCACATATGATAGAACCAATGCGATTTCTAAGATGGTGCCACCTGTGATAAATACATGCACACATGACTAAAGATGTAGAAGCTGTTCTCCTCCAGATGTGTTGCTTTATTATTCAGATTTGATCCATCGACTGACAAACTCATACAACTAAGATTTTATTAGCTAAGTGACAATCCTGTTATTGTATCAAAGTGGAAGTGCGATTTCAGTTCACTCAATGAACATTCATTTTCTATAGTTACAAGCACCTAAGAGGGGCTTTTGCATAATCAGTTTGTTTCATGTGCACATACAAGTCATAATACATCTGAAACCAAGCTGTACCTACCAATAGCACACGTTGGTCCACTCCAGCCTGCTGGGCACTGGCATTTGAAGCCTGATGAAATTTCGTGGCAAACTCCACCATTAGCACAGGGATTTGATACACAAGCATGCTCAGCTAATAAGAAAAGAAAATTATCCTCAGTACACAAATCCAGGTTTAAACACTTTTATTTCCAAGTATGTAATGAAGGCCTTGTCCTTCCTTCACAAGAGCCTTTTGCCTATCCATATGAAACAACAAACTGTGGTTTGCTTCAAACAAGCACTGGGGATGGGGGAGAGGAACAAGAGGAGGAAACAAAGCTCCTCAAGGCTTGTTCATATCTAAAGGGGCCCAGAGTCTTATCAATCTGCACAGAGGTTTGGTATTTAGCCATCTGAAAAAAACTTATTTTAGATTAGTCATCAAGGGTGACAAATAATGACAAAATCACCAACAGCTATGTTTCATTTAATCATGAAAGGTATATGGAGGAACATTCTTGTCATCATAGAAAGTTGAACAACAACAACAACAACAAAAAGACATGCAATTGTTTGTCAGTACCAATTTCACAGTTCTTTCCAGAGTAACCATCTTGGCAAGCACAGCTGTATTCGTCTGGTTCCGTATTCATGCAGGTTCCACCATTCACACACGGGTGATGATTTCCGCAGTAGTTTAAATCTAGACAGAAGGCGAAGGTGGAGTTGGGTTATTTGACACAAGAAGATGCAGAACTACTACGTGGAGATCTTTCAAGAGAAGGGTAGAGGCAGGCAGAGTATCTTTAACACCCATACACCTGTGCCCACCTTCCCCCTTTAATTCATTTTGGCTTCATATCAGTCACTGGGTATATTGCCATCTCAACCAACATCTGTGACGTAAAGACAAGATAAAGCAAATCTCTTAGGAATAAATGCATTACACTCACACTGGCCTGGTTTGCACATTGCACTAAATCAAACCATGGCTTAGGGTGAGCCTGAAGGATCCAGAAGAGGACATCACAGCTGCTTTGCTCCTTCCTGGCTGTTTTGGTGCTGTGCTACACTGAATTAGCCATGGTTTGAACTTAGCATTTTGTCCTGACTCTGGCTTGTGGTTTAGCTTTCTGGACAATCCACAAGCCGTAAGCCATAGGGACAACCTTGGTTAGAGTTTGTGGCTTGTCTGTAGAAAGCTAAACCACATAGCTGGGCCTGGATGACACAGTAAGCCAAATCATGGGTTAGTTCACTGTTGGTGTTGCAGCAAAACAACTGGCGAGGAGCGAAGTGGATGCATTTCTTCTCTGGGAGCCCATGTGCTCATGTTAAGCCATGGTTAGGGATGGGGTGACATGCAAACCATGCAAGGGCAAGCTTGCAAATGGCAAAACCTGCCTGCTTGCTTAAATGCAATAGGCAAGTGCCACCAGAGAGTTAGAAGACAGATGCTCTCTGTAGTGAGCACATGCTTGGCAAAAACAATCGAGATCAGGTTACTAGTTAGTAATGAGATTTAAAATTTAACTATGAATGGAAGTTCAGTACCTTTGTTGCAGAGCAGACCACCCCAGTTGGTTTCACATTTGCATTCCCAGGGGACGTTGCAACTCCCATGAGCACAGCCTGGGTAGGGGACACACGCATCGCAGAACTGCCCTTCCCAACCATAATTACACCTAGACATAAGTGCATGTTAAATGTTAGCAACATGATGCTTAATTATCTATAATACACATATTCAGAGCACTGCATTTATTATTTAAAGCAGGCTAATTGTTCCACATGTAACAGAATACTGGAGTATTATTGTGTTCCCCTGTCAGAATGCGCATCTCATGATGTGCTAGCCATACTCTACAAGGATTAAAAAAACAACCTGGCAGTTCCCAGGTGAATAAAGGACTTCTGCCCAGAAGAACTTCCATATACAAAAGAAATATAGCTCCACTGCAGAAGAAACAACTGACAAAGTGGAATTTGTTTTAGGCATAACCAAGAGCAGCTTAATTGTACCAAGATGTGTGATTCGTTTTTTAGACCCAGAAATGGCCCAAAATGAAAAGCTCTCCAAGTTGCCATTATGATGCTCAAACTCCATTTACTTTGATGGCATTTCAATAGACTGTGTCAGATATGCTGTAATCCCAACCATACTTATTGCTTAATACATCCCATCAGTTTCCATGAGGCTTACATGTGCATAGGACTGTAAAGTTAATCTGTCTTCACAACGCTCTTTAAGCTTACAGCAGCGTCCCTGCTTACTTACAATAAGTTACAAGATAGTCAAACCCCAGGGCTCATTTGAAGGCCTAAAAATGGCTTAGGCCAACCAGTCACAAAACAGGAGTACAAGGGCAGAGCAGTAAAAAAAAATAAAAATGGAAGCAGATGGAAGCAGAGATTGGCTTAATCAACTGGAAATTACTGGCATTGTTTTCTATTTAATCCCTTTTGGAATTTTTCTTGTAGCAGGTAGTTCAGCTTTCCTCAAGCTATATACAGTTATTGGTTTTGGAGGTATCGATTTTACAAATCTGAGTAGAGAAGGCTTTCTGCTTTATGTTTTTCTTCCTCGTCACACGCTCCTCAAAGCATTTTTACCCATCTCCTCTCATTTCTTCTTGCATTCTCCTTTTGCACTAAAACCGGAAGCTTGGGAGGCTGGCATAGGGTAACAGGTATTTGCTGTCCCTTTTACATTCAATTCTTGCTCTTATGAAGCTCCCATCTCTTACTCACTTCCTGTCTATTTCCATTTTATTATTACCATTACTCTTGGAGCCGCTGCTAGACAGTCTAATCCAAAGGCTACTGAATGACGAGGGGATGGGCTGCATCTGAAAGCAGACACACTAGCAGTCCCTGGCCCAGTTTTGAGCACTGCCGGTCTCGGGAATACTTGGTTCATTACAGATTGCCTTTTTTATTGGTCAAAAAACCTATTCACTCCCCCTGCAAGAGCTTGAGCACAACAACAACTCAATCACAAAACAGAAAATGAAGGTGACATGGAACCCCTTCCAATGAAATGCTCTGTCCATGAAGAGCAGTTGGAAAGAATGGAATGATGGAGGGCAGTTGTGGAGCTACATGTGGGGCACAGAGAGTCCCATGAGGATTTGCTCCCGCCCGCTTAGGTTGTGCATGGCTGCTAAGCAGGCAACTTTTCATTTCTGTCTCCAGCTTTCCTTCCCTCCCCCCTACCTGTCACCAGGGCTGTAGCTGGGGGGGGGGCAAGGTGGGCCACCTTCAGGGGCGCAAGCGTTAAGGGGGGGTTTGCGCAAAATTGTCTAAAAATATGTCCATAAATATAAATATCCATTATTGCCTCATAAGAAATGGTTTTAAATAGAGGGTACATTGAATGGGTGGGGGGGGGGTAGAGGAGAGGCGGAAAGAAGAGCTAATTTGTCCATGGCTAGGGGGGCGCATTCTGGACGCTTCTGCCAGGGGCGGAGCTCTATCTGTCATTCCGTTTCTTGCTGTAGCTCCTATTTAATTCCTTTCCTTTTTGCTTCTGCCGTGTTCTTCCCTTCCTCCTTCCTTTATTTTACAGGGTTTTTTCTTTTCTTTGCTTGCCTCTCCCTATCACGTCTTCTACTGCCCTTTCTGCTTTAGCCTCCTCTCCCCGAAAGACCCAATGAACACACTGCCTCTTGGCTAACATGCAACTTTTGCTATGAACAGGAACTTTTCAAGACAGGTCTTCTCGCCTCATTTGCTCCCTTTTCCTCCCACCACCCTAAAACATGTATCTTCAAGTTTTTCTTTCTGGCTTTTTTTTTTTTTTAAACAACCCTCTTTTCATCCTGAACCTTTTTCTGTGCATCTCCTGGGATTTCCAAACACTCCTCCTCCTGCAAGTCTGCCAATGTCACTCCTCTTGTGCAGGGGTAGTGCTGCTTTGGCTGTATATAAACAACAACACTCCCCCCCCCCCACCACTGGAAATGATTACATGAATGACTGCATGAATGGAATGAGAAAATACTGCATGGGTCTATCCCACAAAGCACAGTTGGCTTTGAAACGTGGAAGGCAAATGGAACATTATGAAGCCACGTGGGAGGAGTCGTGGAGGAATCTCATTTCTTTGGGGAACAGTCTTTCCATTTAAGAAACAGGTATTGTTACCAGGAACTTACCCGGTGGCAGTATAAAGCTAAAGACCCAGTAGTACAAAGCAAACCAGAGAGAGGTTCGTTTACATTCGTTTTGTTTACCTACATGCAAACCAGCTACCTGCACATGGAAAAGGCTTATGGTTTAACTGCCGAATTTCTGCAGGAACCAAATAAGCAAGCCTGTGACTATACACAGTATCCACATTTTCCATGCTCCCTTACCATGCAAGTTGTAAAGATCTAGTTGATTTTGTGCTGCACTATCAACATGTTTCAAGGGACAGCGAGTTCATTTGGATAATTAAAGAGTTTTGGTAAACAGGGGTTGCTAGGTGCTTAAACGACAAAAGCTCCTGCTGTATTAGCGTGGCATGCGTCCTTGCGACTACAATCTAGAACAGCAAGGGATCCTTGCGAAGGTTTTCCTCCAATGTGGGTGGGTGGGGGAGGCAGGCATATATGGTAATTGGGCGCCTCATAAACCTAAACAACAAAGCACAGGTTTTCCCAAAGTGCAACCTCCCACAGAGACTGCTGAAAGGGGAGAATGAGGCTGCATGTTCTTGACTGCTGAGGCTGAAGGCTTCAGGTGCAAGATGAACTGGCACAGTGAATGGAAGGAGGGAAGCCAGGCAAATATGCCTTGTGAGGTTTCTACGCCCAGGAACTGAAGACCTAGGGCATCATTTCAAGAATTTAAACCACTGAGTCTAGGGCTTGCCGATTGGAAGGTCGGCAGTTCGAATCCCCGCGACGGAGTGAGCTCCCGTTACTTGGTCCCAGCTCCTAGCAGTTCGAAAGCACGCCAGTCCAAGTAGATAAATAGGTACCGCTCCGGCAGGAAGGTAAACGGTCTTTCCATGCGCTGCTCTGGTTTCGCCAGAAGCGGCTTAGTCATGCTGGCTACATGACCCAGAAAAACTGTCTGCGGACAAACGTCGGCTCCCTCAGCCAGTAAAGCGAGATGAGCGTCTCAACCCCAGAGTTGTTCGCGACTGGACTTAACTGTCAGAGGTCCTTTACCTTTACCTTTTAGCCCTAGATCGAATGTCTCTTCCCTTTGCATCTTCCCTCCCTTGATCAAAGAATTGTAGAGTTGGAAAGGACCCTGAGGACCACCAAGTTCAACCCCCTGCAATGTGGGAATATGCAGCTGTTCCATACAGGGACCAAACCTGCAACCTTGGTGTTTGATCAGAGCGAATGGGGTGCTAAAACAGCCTCTCCCTCACTATTCATTTGTCCTTGCCATTGCTGCCCTTCCGAACAAAGAGTAAGGCAGAGGCTCTTTTAACACCATATTCCCCCAGTGTCCCTAAACTTCTTGGCTCAAACCACCAAGATAAGCCAGGAACCCCATTCCACCTGGACTGTGAGACAATCCCCAGTGTCTTATGACAGTCTGATTGCGCATGTGGAGCTATTTTTCTGGAGTTGCTACATGCCTTGCAAGAGCAGTAGTGTCAGGAACACCAGAATTCGAAAGAAACCAACTTTTGCATGCTGCAACATCAGGAGATGAGTTATGGGAATTGTTTTCAGGGATGCCAACTGGATTTCCTAGGCCCGTTAGGCTGTGTGCGGATTGGGACCTCCACAAATCCCCACCAAGAACTGCTGCTTACGTACATGTATTAACTTAGCCTAGTCTATCTCGCAGGACAGTTACAAAGATAAAAAGGGGGAGAATACGGTAATGTACGAGACCCTGAGCTACTGGGAAGAAAAACAAAACACAAATATATGATGCCATGAATGTAAAGAAAAACAAACAAGCACAAAGCTAGAAAAGCAACCCCTCTAGCTTTAACTGTAAGATTTCATAGTCCTGATATTTACCACAAAACACCCCCTTCCCAAAAACGTTTGCCAACCCTGATAAATAACAAGCCAAAAATAATCTAAATAAGTGCAATTTCACCATTTTGGTGTCTGAACTAGAAACTCCCAGCTCGGCCTACCTCACAGGGCTGTTGTGAAGATAAAAAAAGGACGGGGAGTAATGTACAAAAGCTAGAGGTGCCCTTCCTATTCCCTTATACACCCTTTTGTCAGCGTGTATGTCAGTATCTAAATTTGCTATAAAAGCAAATGCCAGAAACCCTTCACACTTTTTTATCTATTAACCTTGCAGATTTTTGACACTTCACAAGTTAAATGGGAAAAGGGTGGGAAGTTTGCACTGGCACCAACGTGCAGAGAATTTCAAAACTGCTCAGGAGACTCCCACCTGCTACTCTTTTTCTGCCCACACATCAGAAAGGCAACATCTGTAAATAATGCAAGAGGACGTATGGGGAAATGGGAATTTGTGTTTCTCTCCCCATCCACCCACTCTCCTCAATGCCTTCAAAGATACTCCTCACAATGATGTTCCAGAATCAAAAACAAGTAATTGCCACTATGCAAATGTGCCCGTGGGACAGGGAGTCCTTGATTCAAATTTCACGTCAGCCATAAACTCAGTTAAGTATCTTTGACCAAGCTATTGTCTCTGCCTCAGCCCACTGTCTCTAATATTATTTGCATACTCAAATAATGGAAAGTTAGACACAGGAATACGTAACTGAAATGCGGATAAAGATACACATTAATACAGCTGAAAATTAAGGGATAGGATATAATTAAAGTGGAATATTTCAGTTTACTTCACCACTACAGCAGATTCGGTATACTGTCACACATCCCACAATATTCCACAACAGCCCACTTCTATGCTAATTTATATATTAGGAGGGGGATGCGGAAACAACTATCTCCCTGGTTTTTTAGCTTCATAACATCAGAACTGGTTCAGTTTAATGCCATTACTTTAATTTAGAATGCATTTGGCTAAATAAGGGTTCTTGTTATCCAAACATGCTGCTGCTTTACAAAAATGCATTTTCTCAACCTAGTTCGATTATCAAAAGGAAGTAAAAACACATATTGCTGCCCCTGTGGCTGATACGCTAACCAAGAAAGCAGTAAGCGCATAATATATATCACAACTTTTAAGAAGCAGCTAGTTTTGAACATAAACATCTGCAGAGCTTGCATCCTACAGTACATTCTGGGGTGGGGGCTCCAGGTTTTGAGGGGGCTGGTGCCTTGTCTTCCTAAAATCAGGTGGCTATGAGCCACCTGTAATTTTAAATTTCCCATAGTTCCCCAACATAGCACAGCTTGTGGGCACTGTGGGAAATTTAAAATCACAGGCAACTCACAAAACCAAAGTTGGAGGTGGGGATGGAAAAGTTAAGGTCCAATCCAGAGAAGGCATCAGGACCAATGGGCCCTTGGTAGCTACCAAATTTTGCCACTGCATGTGATCCTATTGCAAGAAAAGACCTAGCTTCCTATTACAATGTTGTACCAGTAAAAATGATTGCCTAACCAAAGGAACACAGTGTTTACAAGTCAAAAGGTTATGTACAGCAAGCTGATTAGTTGTCACATCTATAAAGGAAGGATAAATTGAAGGTTTCCTGCCTAACAGGAAGTCTGGTCATATTCAACATGAATAGAAGCTAGAACAGCTTAATTTCATTTCTGTATGTGAAATTGTTCAGGAATTACTACACATCCCCAGAACCTGCTGAAAAATTAAAATGTTGACAGGGAAAATTAAGAGGATGTCTAAAGAGAACAGTTCTTCATCATGACTGAAACTAAGAAAGGGGAAAGAAAAATGGGAGTCTGAGCTCATTGCAGCTTTAATTCACTGCTGAACTAATAGGACTGTTCTGTGACTGGCTACATAAAAACTGCTACTGCAAAATGTTTATTACGAACCTTATTATGAAGAATTAAAAGAGTAACTTCTGTATCACCAAGGCACCACAAATACAGTGTCACACAAATTCCCCTTTGCCTCTGAAAAGCCCCAAACTATTTTGCCAGCAGTCATAAAAAACAATTGAACTTTGGTGCGTGCGTTTGTGTGTGACACTATTCATGAATTCAAGAGCTTTCTTCACCATACAATTAACTTCTAATATGTTGATTTTCTGCATAATATTCCCTTAGGAATCATTTAAGAGCTCTGACTAAGCAGGATTCTTCAACATCCCCATTCAAAGATCAGAACGGATATACCAGAGTTCCATTCAAACATTTCAGAAGCAGAATGAATCCAAGGATTTCTGAAGAGAAGGCACTTCAGCATAAAACAGGGATGGCGGACCCTGCAGCTCTCTAGATGTGGCTGAACTACAACTCCCATCTTGCCTGACCACTGGCCATGATGGTGGATCTCAATGGGAGCTGTAGTCCAACAACATCTGGAGGGCCACAGAGTCCCCATCTCTAGCATAAAATAAGAGCCATAATGCATTCAATAGGGTGGAGGCTAAACAAGAAAAAAAACTACGAAATACTCCACACTGCTGGTGGACCTGTAAAGTACACAACTGCATCCGATGCACATTATCTTTTTTAAAGAACTACCACGGCCATCAGCCTAATGAAAGCAAACTCCTACACATATGCTTGCACTGGAAAATTTAGGTAAAACATTTCAGACAGGAAAGGACTAGTGGAGATGTGTGTGTGCATATCTCAATTTCAGAAGCCAACTGCATCATAGGAAGGGGTAAACACACACCCAGTTCAAAACATACCACCGCCACTGCCATTGAGTTAGGGCTTATCCACATTTCCTCTTGTCATGGCAATTCCTGTTTCCTATGGATTGACGTTTGCTCCAATTTAGCACTAAAGAGCAGGTTTTCCCTGAGAAAGGAGCAGGGCAAGGGGGAAACCACCTGGGCTTGTGCCTACAAAGCACAGAACAAGAAGTGTGGACAAGCCTTTACTGACATGCAGATGATGGTGCTGGTCGTTGTTGTTTAGTCGTGTCTGACTCTTTGTGACCCCATGGACCAGAGCACGCCAGGCACTCCTGTCTTCCACTGCCTCCTGCGGTTTGGTCAAATTCATGTTCATAGCTTCGAGAACATGGTCTAACCATCTCGTCCTCTGCCGTCCCCTTCTCCTTGTGCCCTCCATCTTTCCCAACACCAGGGTCTTTCCAGGGAGTCTTCTCTTCTCATGAGGTGACCAAAGTATTGGAGCCTCAGCTTCAGGATCTGTCCTTCCAGTGAGCACTCAGGGCTGATTTCCTTCAGAATGGATAGGTTTGATTTTCTTGCAGCCCATGGGACTCTCAAGAGTCTCCTCCAGCACCATAATTCAAAAGCATCAATTCTTTGGCAATCAGCCTTCTTTATGGTCCAGCTCTCACTTCCATACATCACTACTGGGAAAACCATAGCTTTAACTATATGGACCTTTGTCGGCAAGGTGATGTATCTGCTTTTTAAGATGCTGTCTAGGTTTGTCATTGCTTTTCTCCCAAGAACCAGGCATCTTTTAATTTCGTTACTGCTGTCACCATCTGCAGTGATCATGGAGCCCAAGAAAGTAAAATGTCTAACTGCCTCCATTTCTTCCCCTTCTATTTGCCAGGAGGTAATGGGACCAGTGGCCATTAACTTTTTTTGATGTTGAGCTTCAGACCATATTTTGTGCTCTCCTCTTTCACCCTCATTAAAAGGTTCTTTAATTCCTCCTCACTTTCTCCCATCAAGGTTGTGTCATCTGCATATCTGAGGCTGTTGATATTTCTTCCAGCACTGCCTTGTCATGGCAAAGGGGCTTGAATAACTCAGAGAAGCTATGAGCTATGCCGTGCAGGGCCACCCAAGACGGACAGGTCATAGTGGAGAGTTTTGACTAAATGTGATCCACCTGGAGTAGGAACTGGCAAGCTACTCCAGTATCCCTGCCAAGAAAACTCCATGGACAAAGACAACAGATGGTGCTAGTACAAGGCTGTAATTCAGTAGCTGAGCACCTACTTTGAGTACAGAAAGTCCATGTTCTATCCTTGGCATCTTCTGGTCGGACCACAAAAGACCCACCTGTAACCCTAAAGAGTCACTACCAACCAGAACAGACTAACTGCTAGACAACAGTGAGCTAGATGTACCCGTGCTATGACTTGGATTAAGGCACTCATGTTCCTAATCGCCATTAGTCAACTCAGACTAACTACCCTAAGGAGGTATGTAGTTTTGTGCTGGAAGCTCAAAGCAGGCTAGTGTCATTACACTGAACGGTTAGTGTAATGGCACCAGCCCATTTTCAGCTGCCAACAGTCAGTAATAACAACTCCATGTAACTGAACACATTTAAGCAAACAAATGTAATTCAGTATGTTACTGTAATACCCAGGCTCTCCTGCCACACACATTCAGCTGATCATGGAGACAGTCACTTTGCTTGCTAGAAATGTGAGCAATAGGGTTCAGAATTGCCTGTTCTTGGAGACAGGCTGCCATACTTTCCAGAACAGGTAAAATGGAAAAAGGAGACCAAAATAATTACCACACCTCTCAGATTATTTCGACTATAAAATAAAAACACACTTTGGGTTTGCTGCTATATGCATTTTTTTAAAGCACCAGTTTTGGAAATCTAGGGTCAAATTAAAAAGCAGGACATAACATATCTGAAATAAAAAGATCAACCTTAAGAAGTCAATAGCCTGGTTTGCATGTTAAAGCCAACCGTGGTTTATTGCACTATGGCTTGTTTTATCATCCAAATCATGTCCAGCACCTTAAATATGGCCTGTGTACTACTAAAAAACCATAACCTGAAGCCATAGTCTGTTTTTGAAGCTTTAATTAGTCTGACATTATATGCCAGAAATCCATTAAGCTACAATGGGACAAGGCAAGAACATCTGGAAAACAAACCAAGCATTCATGAAACAAGCCATGGGCTGAACATCTTATGGTTGTTTAACAAACCATGGCTTGGAGTTGTGTGTGAACCAGACCAATATACCAAATCTAGAAGGTCTGCTTAGCCACTGCATCTTTCTCACAAGAGCATAAGGTAAGATTTAAGAAAATACACCCCCCAAACCCAAATCTGCGTATATACTTACTTGCATTCCCCAGGTACAGTGCAGCCCCCATGGACTAAATTACATCCTTGTTTGCATACAGCTATCAAAGAAAGAGGGTTAAACATCAGTGAATGCCAACACTTTAGAAAATTTAGTTAAATGGCTTCATTTTGAATACTGTATTTTCTTCATGAAACAAACCTCAGTAACACATCTTTCAAGCATTTTAACTACTTCTCAGCATCTCCTGAATATGAAAGCTGTTTTCTCCAGGCAGGAGAGATGCAGAAGTTCTATTTCAGACACAACAAGAAGTGCAGAGGGAAAGGAAGCACAACAAGACACTTGTGCTTCCTGTTCCTCTAGAGTTTCATGTCTAAAGTGGCATTTATCTCTGTTCTTATACAGCCAAGAACACTTTCTAATTCTGGAAAGATACATATTCAGTGATATAAGAACTCCTACGAACTATTATATATTGAAGCTCTGCAGCTTTTAAAATATGCATCGCTCTAAAAAAAAAACATCAACCAGAACTGTCTACACAAAAATCCATTCCATAAGTATCTCAAGTTGCTACACCACAGTCAGACTTCAGGTTGTCCCCTCAGATTAAGCTTGTAGAGCAATCCAGCCTCTCATTTGACCATCAGTTTACATGTTCAAGTTGTTAAAGCTGAGGCTGAAATATGTTGAAAGGAGAATGTCTTTGGATAAAAAAACCCAACACCCAGCTACAACCAGGGTATGTGAAAAATACAAAGTGATTATTATTGGTACATCAAGGCGAGTGAAGTTACCTTGCAAGCTGCCTTGAGCATTTTTTAAATTGAAAGGTGAGATAAAAATACAGCGGTACCTTGGTTCTCGAACTTAATCCGTTCCAAGAGTTTGTTCAACTCCCAAAACCGTTCGTAAACCAACGAGCGGCTTCTGATTGGCTGCAGGAGCTTCCTGCACTCAGGCAGAAGCTGTGTCGGACCTTCGGCTTCCAAAAAATGTTCGCAAACTGGAACACTCACTTCCGGGTTTTAGGTGTTCGGAAGCCAAGCCGTTCGAGTACCAAGGTACCACTGTATTCAATAAATAGCTTAAGGAAGGCCGATGGTGGGCATGGGAAGAACTCAAGAGGAGGACTGCATGCAGCCAAAACTCCGGGATTCTTTGCCCATCTAGGGGTTTCAGATTTGGTGGAGAACACTGAATGAACATAAAAGTTAATCTCTGCTTCATGATTCAGTGTAAGAGCACACGGCGAGCATGCAGACCTTCCCAGGTTTCATTCCAGGCATTTCCAGTTTAAAACGATATAAGACTGTAGGGTCAGATGAGTCCTCCCAGAGCTTGGAGAGTCATTATCGGAGAAGACAATTGTAAACTAGTTCAGCCTTTGCCAACCAGGCATCCTCCAGATGTTTTGGACTACAAGTTCTGTCAGCATAGCCAGCACTACTGATGGGAGATGCAGTCCAAAACATCTGGAAGGTGTCAGGCTGGTCTAGAGAAATCCATGGTCTGACTCTGTATGCCGCAAACTTGGGCTTTTTAAACATTATTATACAATGTTCTCTGGCATGATCAGGTCATGAACAAGGAATCAAGAATTTTAAGATACGAGCATAATATTCAGTTTTAAGAATGAGTAGTGTGGTACCTTGTTTACATTCGTCACCCATCCAGCCTTCCATACAAGCTTTATTTCCATTTTGGTCACATGTGTAGTGGCCCACAAAGTCATCACGAGGGCCACAAAATTTATTGCACTGGGGGCCATAGTAGTTTTCATCACATTTAACTCGTATTTGTGCTTCAAAATGAACAACATGACCATTCAACTGAAGCGCTTTCCAACGATCTTCTGGGTTGATCATACCAGCAAATGGCACTCTGTCAATTAACAGTTCTTCATCTGGAAAACAAAGAGAGAGCTCAGTATCCAAAGTGTGCATATCCATTCTGACACAGAGTAGCTCCTATCATAGGGACAAAATGGTCAGCGTAAGTCAACTTGTGGCTTGTTCACAGGACTCTGCACCAGGAGGTGTTGACTCTGAATGGTGATTTGCACAATCATCAACAACATTAACAAATCAACAATCCTGATCCTGCTATGTTGCTGCTGCTAAACTGAACTAAATATGATACCATTGTGTGATTCCCCCACCCCCATGAGAATTCAAAGCACAGGGCTCCAGGACAGATGAGACATGCTGGGTAGCTCAGTTGGTGGAGCATGAGACTCTTATTTTCACGGTCATGGGTTCAAGCCCAGTGTTGGGCAAAGATTCCTGCATTGCAGGGGGTTGGACTAGATGACCCTCCCGGTTGCTTCCAACTCTATAGTTCTATGATGCTTTGATTTTTAACCCCTTTATACACACACAGCACAGTCTCTATCCGGTTCACCTCCTGCCCTCCATACCAACTTTTAAAACAAAACTAAATGCATGCACGCAAGGGCTAAATGCACTTAACAATGTCACAGCTATAGTTTAGCCTTTACGTTTGCGGTCCTCCGGGGTTTACTTACATTAAAGGGAAAATACCAGAGGCATGAATAAGTTGGTACATTCCTGTAGCCAGTTTCTCAGAAGTACACCCACTTGAGAATACACAGCTAGCCTCTGCTAGAGTTGAACTCAAATTTCATCTCAAACTATTTTAGATTGTTTGGGGGAAGGGAGGAGAGGAAATTCTCTCTCATATGCAAGAAGAGGCATGTTTTTCACTACAAAGGGCCAGCTTAAAAATGTACCATGAACCAGGAAGCTGCAGCTAGTTTGGACAGTGTCAGAGAGAAGGGAATCCTGAAATCAAAAATGCAGAGGAGCAGCAGTGAGGAAGTCTCTGTGTTGCTCTCTCAGATACGCAGTAAACACAAAATCTAAGAACAATGGCTTACAGCGAGCAAGCTTTTCCCCCTTTTTTAAAACCCTGTAAAATATCTACTGTACTAAGACATGCTCTTGCAACTCCAAACTGCAGGATTCCTGCATGTTCCAGTATAGGAGGGTTAATTCCAGTTTGACCTTCTCTTGTTGCATTGGCATTTTGCCCTTCAACCCACCCAGCACCTGTGCAAGCAGAGAAGGGAAGCTAGAATTAGCCCTTTGTATGCAAGGCAAAAGGCAGCATCGTTGCTACTCAGTACAGTACAGCTTAGCAGGGTTCTCACCAGGCCTTCTGCTTATACCTCCTGAATACATATTAGGGTACTACTCCCTTCAGCAAGGGTGCTTCCAGATGGGCTTTGTTGTAGAGCTGGCACTTCTCATACATGCTTGTTTTTTTGAAGGTTCGCATAAGGCTATCATCAAAATCCCAGCTCATACCTTTATTATTAATAACCCATCCTTCACCCTAACCTCCCAGGGTGCGTCACCATCATCTAAGCACGGTATTGAAAACAGTTCAAAACAACTTCCAGTCAAAAAGGTATTTAAATATACCTTTCTGAAGAAACCAGAGGCCTTTCTCCTGGGCATGGTTGGCCAATTGGTGCCAAAGAAGGATAGAACTAACTTTATGTATGCCACAGCAGCAGCAAGAATTCTTATTGCAAAGTACTGGAAGACACAAGATCTACCCACCCTGGAAGAATGGCAGATGAAGGTGATGGACTACATGGAACTGGCGGAAATGACTGGCAGAATCCGAGACCAGGGAGAAGAGTCGGTGGAAGAAGATTGGAAGAAATTTAAAGACTATTTACAGAAATACTGCAAAATTAATGAATGTTAGTATGATGTCGGAATGAAGTTAAGTGGTTTTAGCAGCAATGTTTCAAAGGAGTATGTAAAAATGGATTGTTAACAGGTGAGAATCTAAAGTTATAATATATTAAGTTAAAGGATTAAGATAAAAACAAAGAGGAAAGGATTTGCTGAATTAACTAATTGAACTGGAATACAAAAAAGGGAGGTGTGAGGAGGTCAGGGAAACAAGTAAACGAAAGACAAGACATGGAAAGATTGATTTGTTTTTAAGTGTTTTTATTTTTCTGTATTTTGTATTTTTTCTTTTTTTTCTTATTTTTGTAATCTTTTCTGAAACTTTAATAAATATCATTTTTTAAAAAACAAAACAACTTCCAATCACATCTGTAGCCAGATGTATAACTAATAAAGGGATGGGTGCAGGAGCCTGCGTGGAAACTGCCTTGCCTGAAGTTGAAACCAGATGACTGCAGGTACTGCATAGTTCAAGCTTTTAAGTGCAGTACTCTGATATGCATTATGGTCCCATTCATTTAATATTTATTAGGTATGTTACTCAGCATCCTGTTTGCCAGAACCTCATTTGTTACAAGTGCTTTGCTGGAGGGAGGATTTCTATGAGTTTGTGAGCACAGAGATGTAGGCAGCCACCTAGACATTACTGGGGAAACTAGCCGTTAAGAGCAAACACTGGGTTTTCAAAGGAAATGAGGGGTAAATGGTCATTTTAAGGGAGAATCCTTACCCTTTCTCCTGCCTGGCGATTTCTTATTGCACATAATTTCATAGCTCTGAAACTGGAAACCTGTGCAGCTTGAATGGGCAGGAAAGAAGGAGCCTTGGGGGAGAATCAGCAGGTGCTGAATTGCACGGGGGTGACTGGGAGGTGCGCTCTCTCTCTCTCTCTCTCTCTCACACACACACACACACACACACACACACACACAGCCTGGCATACGCTGCTGCTACCCTTAGTTTCTGCTTACATCCTACCCATCACCCTGCTTCCGGCTCTAATGATACATGACTAGGCACTGGCAATTAACTTCTCCCCACATAGAGGTATCCACCAGGCTTCTGCTAATGAATCTTGGCTAGGACGCAGGTGCCCATAACTTGCCCCACCCCCCACCCCCGTCACAACTGTCAGCGTCCTATGCCTCCTACACCTTGGACCGCTTAAGCTTTGCTTCAAGAGCTCAGATTCAGAAACTGCATGTGCCAATTTGGTAGAAAACAAAGGAAGCACTTATTTGCTCTGGCTAGGAACATTCACTGATATCCGTCTGTCTTGGGAGACAATGGAGGAGCGTGCCTTTGGGGGTGAGGAACAACTGGCATTATTTAATTGCCCCCCTTACACCTTCTGGGGTGTTTTAAGCCCACAAGTTGACTATTAAGCCACAGGCTTTGTTCATAGACAACAAGCTAACTTTTGACGGATCAGTAGTTGTTTTGCTAACGTTAGTTCTTGATATTAAGCGGGCGATTGCTGCAGTTCTCCAAAGGCCAGCAGTAGAGGAACAAGTTACTCATTCACACCCCAAGCACACAAATATGATAACTTGCTCAATAAAGAACCGTGGTCATAAATCAGGTGCACAGCCAACTAAAGATGCACTGCTTTGTCTTCAATGGGATGTTCACCTCCATTCAATGGGATGTAGCAGGTTTCCCATTGCTACATAAGTGCCCTCACTAAAAATGATTTCTTAATCAGCATTGTTTTACAGGGAAAGCTGTATGCTGTTTTAGTAGTATAAGCCAAAATTCTGAAAGAGACTGGAGGCAACAGGTTGTCTACAGCAAGCCATTTCTCTGAATGCTACTTTTTCAGAAACTACTGAGCCAGCCTTAACAAAAATGTATTGAATGGAATTCAACGTGGTGCTATTACAAAGATTCTTTTTGCACATGCTTGAAGCTTGATTATTACCCTACCCACCCCACCTGCTGTTCTGGGTGTTCTCCTGATGCCCACCCCGAGCCAATTTGGAAGGAAGGGCACGCGGGATAGCCTCATTGTGTAAGTGGAAGCCCTTTTGCAGGGTTTATACTGGTGGGGTTTGTTAGGTGAAATCCCATTTACATTGTACATTGACCAAGATATACACCTTGTAAGCTGGCATGCAATTAAGGAAAAGCTGGCAGAGAAGAATTACCACACAATTTTGGAAATCTGGCGGGCTTTACCAGCAAGCATGCTATAACCATGGTTTTTTAGGTATAAAACCAGGACTCCTAAGAAAGACACACCATTTTTCTAGAAGAGTTGCATTCTCCTATTTTGATCCTTACCAAGGTACAAGAAGTCAACGACAAACAGCACAGAAACGTCCAAGGAGTGGCAGGGGTTTCAATTTAATGCTAATGAAGTAAAGTGAACCATAGTATTGCAGAACCAGGATCAATCAGATTGGCAGTTTCCAAACCGGAACAGCTATTTTTTTGCTGCTTAACATTTAGATAAATATGGGACATGGGTGGCACTGTGGGTTAAACCACAGAGCCTAGGGCTTGCCGATCAGAAGGTCAGCGGTTCGAATCCTCGCGACGAGGTGAGCTCCCGTTGCTCGGTCCCTGCTCCTGCCAACCTAGCAGTTCGAAAGCACATCAAAGTGCAAGTAGATAAATAGGTACTGCTCCAGCGGGAAGGTAAACGGCATTTCCATGCACTGCTCTGGTTCACCAGAAGCGGCTTAGTCATGCTGGCCACATGACCCGGAAGCTGTACACTGGCTCCCTCGGCCAATAAAGCGAGATGAGCGCCGCAACCCCAGAGTCGGCCCCGACTGGACCTAATGGTCAGGGGTCCCTTTACCTTTACCTATGCATCAACCAGATTTTCCTTGTCCTGAGCCATAACTTTAGCAGGCAACGAAGAATTTAAGGAAAAACACCTCTCGGCAATTTTCCTATTTTCAGAGATTTGAAGGTGTTGCTAGTGTTGATTCACAGAAGATGTTATGAGTCCCAAATGCCTCTAGGTATATGTCCAACAGATAATGAATCCAATGCAGTGAGGCCCATAACCAAAGCACCAGGGGAAAGTGCTGTCAGTGGCCTAAAGGATGTTTCAGAATCTACTTTTGTTTCTCCACGCATTTATGGGATCATACATTGATTATACAATAAAGGCCAGACTGAATAAATCTAAAGACAACAAAGCATGCGTTAACTGACACCTTGTCTTCAGCCCCAACCAGTATTCCCAGCATAACTTTCAATTACAAAAATTAGGCAAATAATCAGCCCCACACAAAATGATATTCTCATTATCCACCAAGCTGCAAGCTTGAGAGCAACAGCTGCTCTTCGCAGTGTTAGAAACTGAGATATGAAAGCTAGAGCCCAGGTTATGGGTGCAACAATGGAATGTCTAGGCGCGCTTCTTTAATAACAAGAATACAAAGCTGAAAATGAATGAACTGCAGCTAAAATATTATGTTCATTTTTCATATGGTCTAGTCCTTCCCCTGTCCACCCCTCCAATATTCTTAAGAGAGTCTCTTCTCTAGTCTTCAGACAGTAGCTGGAAGTGGGGAGGCAGAAAAAGGTCCTTCTTTCCTTCCACTCTGCAGTTTTAATCTGAAAACTTAGGCGCTGTACTGCCCAGAGCTCAGAAGCTAATGAAATTCCCTGAGGTAAAATGTGCCTAGAACAATGGGAGTTTCGAACACTGGCTCTTAGAATCGAAGAGTCATAAAATCGTAGAGTTGGAAGGGACCCCAAGGGTCATCTAGTCCAACCCCTTGCAAATGTGTTAGAGAACACATTTCCAGGTTATAGTGGAAGTATATTGATGCATTCATAAGTGCTGTAGTTTAATCTGTAATGACACCCTCATTTCACATGCTATTTAACTGGCCACCCCAAGCTTTTTAAAAATGGCAGGCAGCAGTTTTTCCTACTTTTTTCTGTTTCATAATGTTAAAGTTTTAATGATATACTCACCAGCTTTTGTCTCATTATCCCAATCCCAGGCTTCTATTATTAACGTGAACGATCTCTGAAACAAAAACACAAATTAATTACTGGAGAGGAACAAAATAAATTATAATTCTGAGCGTGGCAGGAATCTGATTTGGTAGAAGCATCTATTGTTTTCACAAATGTTATTTTGCTTCTTCCAACAACATACAAGTCATTTGTGCAAGGAAAGCTTCAAAAGGCAATCATCGAGAATCTCACGTACTGTAAAGCAAGTTTTACAGTTACACTTAAGTATTGATATGTGTAGTAACCAAATTTATTGTACGTTAGAAACCCAAGTCCCATATGGTCAAAAAGACTCTATTAAAGGAAAGCTATTTAACACTGCAACCATGTAGGAGATAATACCTTGATGGGGTCAGATGAGCAGGGTACAAATAAATTAAATTAAATTTATTATTATTATTATTATTATTATTATTATTATGGCTAACCTGTGACCATCCAGATGTTATTGGTGACAGATTATGGGAGTTGTCCACCAACATCTGGAGAGCCACAGGTCAGCCACTTTCTGACCTGAAACAGAAAATTTCCCAATTCAAAATTTCCCATAAAGCCCATACCACTTGTTTCAACCTTGCTGGGGGGGGGGGGATGCGGGTGGCGCTGTGGTCCAAACCACTGAGCCTCTTGGGCTTGCAGATTGTAAGGTTGGCAGTTCGAGTTGCTCTGTCCCAGCTCCTGCCAACCTAGCAGTTTGAAAGAACACCAGTGCAAGTAGATAAATAGGTACCGCTGCGGCTGGAAGGTAAACAGCGTTTCCGTGCGCTCTGGCACTCATCATGGTGTCCCACTGCACCAGAAGCGGTTTAGTTATGCTGGCCACATGACCTGGAAAACTGTCTATGGACAAACGCCGGCTCCCTCAGCCTGAAGCAAGATGAGTGCCACATCTCATAGTCAAGTTTGACTGGACTTAACCGTCCAGGGGTCCTTTGCCTTTACCATGTCTAGGTGGGCTGGTCATGGCCAGGATATGCTACATTGGAAGCCCATATATGTTGTTAATTGAGCTCTTCTCAATGAAAAGTGGGAGGGAAGCTGAGCAAATACGGCCTCCCAAAATCTTCACCCAATTTGTGGGGGATCATTTTGCTAAATATTCACCAGATAGAATTTCTTAGGGGTGAGGTTCACCATTATTAGTGACATCAGCACAACCCTTGCTTCCTTCCCAATGTTTTACTTTTTGCTGCCATTGCAGGAATTGTGTTGGTAATTGGGCCTACATTTTCTATCCTTCATAATGTCCCAGACCAAGTATCATCTTGGGGGCATTGTGGATTAAAAAGTGGCAGGTTCCATAAAGAATAATGGAGAATTTCTAACAACATGTCTCTCCTTTTCACACTAGATAAACACAAATAATGCAAATATTCGGTTTTGCCAATAATTAATGCACACAACTATTCATTCACGGCATGAATTATCCACGTGAAGTCATTTCAAAGTTGCTCATAAGAAAGTCTTCACACATATTGGGACCTAGGAGTTTTAGCGTAACAGTTTCCTTGAGTGACAGCAGCCTCAAGCAAGGTATTTATCTCAATGGTGCCACTGGTATTCGCGTGAAAGGTGTTTCTAAGGAGGATCTAAGACACTACCAAGCATGATATCATTATATACTGCTTGAAGGCAATATAAATAAATAAATGCCATAACTCCTAATCGCTTCTGTGTTGCCTCTTTCCCGGAATGGGGTATTAATATCACGGCTGACATGGCCATAGCTGGTTTAGCACCTGGGTTGCTGTGCTATTTGGACAGATCCTGCGAGCAGCAATCCCTCCCAGCTGGTGCAAAGGGAGAAAACCAGAGAGAGAGAGAGAGAGAGAGAGAGAGAGAGAGAGAGAAGATCGAGTGCATGGAATTAGGTTCCTTCTTGTAATCACAAAGTTGAACTCAAAAGCTAGGTCAGAGATACAGTAAACCGGAACTCAGTCTAACTTTAAACCTGCTCCCCTTGAACCCAAACTGAACCCTATCCCCACACCAAAGCTGGCAACCATGCAAAGTAAGGCATTATGTAACAAGTGCTCAGAAGATTTGTTTGGGGACAACCGTATAGAAATGGAGACCTGCTCTATCAGGTTTCTGCGTTTACCTTGATCCTAGGCTGTGCTTTTTTTAAAAAGGGGGTATTCAAGGGTACGCAGTACCGGCACCACTTTTTGTCGTTTAAAAATGTGGCACTTATTGTAACAACTTCATGGTGAGTACCAGCACCTATCTTTCCTAGAAGAAGGAAGCACTTTCTTTTCCTACAGGAGGAGGACAGAAGGAGGGAAATGTAGAATTTAGTACATGTTTTGGGCTAAAGTTTTGTTTCAAATAAATTGAGTGACCAGGGTTTGGGTCAGAAATGTCTGGGCGGATTGCATTACTCCTCAGAGTATACTTGTAACTGGTCCTTTCCTCGTTCCTTTGGACTGTCTGGAGTCCAGCTTTGCTTTCTGTTTTTCCATAATTCTGTGTAACTTCTGAAGTGGAATCAGCACCTCTTCCCCTATGGGATCAAGTGAGAGCTCCAAATGAAGAGGGAACATGCACTTTCATGAGGAAGATATGAATGAACCCCTGCTTTACATGTTAAAACAGAAGCATAAAAACAGGAAGCACAAGTTCATTTGCACTTTCCGTTTCCCTCAATTGTTCAACGTCTGAAGCCACTCATATTCTGTGTCCTCAGTAGTCAAACATGACCGGATATGAGAATGTAACATGTGTAATATCTGAGTTACATATTCACGATTGTCTTAGTTGGTGCAATAAAAATTTTAATGATGGAATGTTATGAATCAGAGGGGATAAACCAGTTTAAGAGTTAGCGTCCAAGCCAAAATCAAACTGGGAGACAGTGTGGATAGACATGAGCCCCAATTTTTCATGCTTTGACTCTGTTGAAAATAGCAGGTGCGCACATGTCTCTGTGCAACAATATAATAGAGTGGATTCCAACATTTTTATTTCTGGGGTGCGGGGGAGGAAGGTTGATTTAGGAAAACTATTTAAACACTTTTAATTTAAGGCTGAACATTTAAGAGGCTAACATTTAGAATATCTTTTTGTTGGCAAGCGTAGCTGAATACTGTATGAGTTTATTCAAAATATTAGAAAATTCCATTTGCAAAACTAAAAATATATTATTAGCTTTAGTTCTAGCAACCACTGCTTCTGTGGGGCAAAAGAGTGTTTGCTTCAAAACATGGTGCTCATACAACATAATGTGCATTGCAACAGCACATGCATAACTCACTGAAAAATGTTCTGCGCACAGTAAACAATGCCCCCCCCGAAAGCATATATGCACTGTCAACTGTTAAAACAGAAAAACATTTTACAACACCTGATCAATTTGATGAGCATTTTCCAGCAAGACTGGCATTAACAATCTTGTGCTATACTAGAAAAGCACACAGCTGAGTTACATATTTCTCGAACTGGGAATATATAAAAGCATTCCCAGAGCATGTAAGCACAACACAACACAACACAACACAACACAACACAACACAACACAACACAACACATGCTTATAAAATGAAGACATATGACCCAAAGCCTGGTTTATTCACTGAGGACTGTTCTGCTTAAGTAAACTATGGTGTCTTGTTCAGTCTTGAAGTTTCCCCCAAATCATATCAGAACTTCTTTTTATGCTCCAGCTACCTTAACGCAGAGATTTGGCTATTGTGAGCCTATTGGATTTCAAAGGAGCTAGCACTTCATTTCACTTTACAGTGCCTGTTGAGTATTTTAATATTTGCTCTTTGTATATACAAATATGTTAAGCTGTTACCTGGAGGACAACTCCAGAACAAATAAATGCATTCTTGGCTGTCAAGCAATTTTAGATAGTTTTCATCAGGGTTCAGACTTCAAGAGCAATCTCCTTATACACACATGGTATGCATAAAAGGGAACTAGGCCCAGGTATTCTTCTGAAAGTTCATTAACCGAAAGTTCACTAGGAACAAGTAGATCAGGATGAATTCAGTAAAGCAGATATGCTCTCCAGAAATGAAACACTGCGTTATTCATTCATTTTATTTCTTAAAAAAAATTATAGACCGCTTTTTCATGAAAAGTATAAGAGCGGTTTATAACAAAATGCATAAAACCATACAGTAAAAACAGAAAAAGTTAAAAACAAAGGTTTTCAGCCAGCATAGGCATTAAAAGGCAATTACAGTTGCAGGCTGACCCCCCCTACAGAAACACTGGCTTTTTAGTTTACAAAGGCAAGAGACTGCACACTGCAGGCTCTCAAGTCCTTTCTGATCAGATCCCAAGGTATCAGAATCAATCATAGTGTCTAAAAGTTTGATGGTACCTATAACAAAAGGGTTGGAATGCTAGGCCATTTTGGATTGATTTTCCCAGTGATTTTTTTCTCTTTAAAAAACTGAACCCATAGGTTTTCCAAACCCCCAATACTAATTTTGTTTAAAGTACACCATGTTCAATCTATGCACTGTATAAATCCATAAAAATGTTCAAAATGCTGAGAGGAGCTGAACTAAAGTATGTGATAAAAAAAAATCAATTAAGTGCACTTACAGTGGTTTAAATGCTATATTCAAACAAACTAAAAGCTAATATGTATCTTTTTAAAGACACAAGACAAATGCAGCAGCAGCAATGTATATACTTCCCTGCACTGCTTAAAATTTAAGCAAAACAAATGCATAGAAAACAGATACATCATGCATAACTTTTGGGGTATGTTAGTATACATTTAAGCACAACTAAAAAACAACACCTGTGTGCTACATAGGGATAATCTGCAAGCCTGTGTGAAAACCGCACGATTTGACTGGTACTGCAACCAGCCATTCGTTTATGAAGAAGCATTGTTATAAATTTCCCCCTGAAAAATGTATTTTTTTTCCAGCCTACATCCCTGATTCCACCCATTAATGACTAGCATCCAACCTTGATCAGCACATCATAGTGTCAGGAAAAACAGTAATGTCTGCATAAATACTTCTCTATTAGTAACGCCAAAGCAATATCGGCTTCACCTGGGAAGCAGCAAAATTTGCTTTATTTTTCCAGGTAATCACTAATCCCTGCCCTGAGACGTCATTTAGAGGATGAGATTGAGAGTGTTACATACCGCTTCCTAGTACACTTTATGTCTGTGACGTTACTCCATCAAGGGCACCCACTTTGAACACACCATACAGTGTGGCCCAGAATCCTATCAAAGCTTCAAGTGAAATACACCAGTGGATCCGCTGAAACACGGCTGTTGAGACTTCCAGAACTGCAGCTGCGATGGGCCCCCTGTTCCCTATCAAAGTGCAGAAACAGAGGGAATTGCCTTGCACCAACATCAGACTAATCAGAGCTCAGTATCGCCTGCAATGCCTGGCAGAGGCTCTCCAGAGTTTCAGACAGGAGGTGCTGGAGACTGAACCTGGAATCTTCTGCATGATAGCAGATACTACGCCATTGAGTGATGGCCCTCCTGAGTGCACATCTGCTTCAATAGTCACCTGTGCTGATCCTGTCGGCAGGTATATGCACTATCAGGCTGACTCTGACACTGTTTTAGCATTGGTGCAATGCAGCTTGGGTGAAGGCTGCTGCTCTGGCTGGTCATTGCCAATGGCTCCAGAGGTGAATAACTAGCAAGTGAATATTAAGGACAGGCATCCCCAAACTTGGCCCTCCAGATTTTTGGGACTACAATTCCCATCATCCATGACCACTGGGTCCTATTAGCTAGGGATGATGGGAGTTGTAGTCCCAAAAACATCTCGAGGGCCAAGTTTGGAGATGCCTGATTAAGGACTAGCAGGCAGGAAACGAACAAGGAGCAATACTGGTTGCCCAGCCCAGATTTGTTAAAATTGGCTCCCAATTGCTGGCATGTCCCCCATTCTTCCCTCTGCTTTCCAAGGCCAGCCACTCCCAACCTCATACACCTATAACCAATGTAACGCTGATCTACTTTACAGGGTGTCCATAACAATCAAGATATGTGAAGCATGTTGAACATTCAGAAGTACTGCATCAAATAGGATGGAAACCCCTGTTTTTAGGAGTTCAGGTCAAAGTTTTTAAGCTTTTTTAGGGGAGCAAAAGTTGATGAGCTTCTTGGGGGGGCAGTGATCTACTGGTGATCTACCACAGATCTACTGGTGATCTACCTGGGTAAGCGAGGTGCTGGGCATTGGGAAGGAGATATGAGGGCTCTGACAGAGTCCTTCCAAAAGCCTAGTTAGCACTTTCCCAGCTTTGGGAAAGAGATGGGAAGGCTCTAGGAAAGCCCTCTGGAAAGGAAGTGAAAGGTCTAGGGAGGGCATCAAATTTAGCCTTCACTCCCCCCTGGATGACAAAGCATTGTGTGGCCTACAGGTTCTGTGTCTACTGTAGCCCACTTGGTATGAAAAGCTGGACCACCCTAACTGAGAGTGTCTGACTAGGACTTGGAAGACCAGAGTTCAAGTCCCTCCCCCAACTCAGCCATGAAACTCACTGGGCGACACTGAGCCAGTCACTGAGCCTCCCAACCTAACCTGCCTCAAAACGTTGTTGTTGTTGGGATTAAATGAAGGGAGGGAGAACGGTGTATGCAATCTTGAACCTCCTTGGAGGAGGTGGGGTATAAATATACAAACAAAAACCCGCGTATGTCCTTTAGCAGCACACTACATACTTATTTGTGACAGGCTTGTTGAGAACAGCAGGCTGCCTCAGCAGGTTAGATCACTACATAGCTCCATCTGAAGCAGGGCAGCTCTATGAAAGTACAGTGGTACCTCTGGATGTGAATGGGATCCGTTCTGGAGCCCCGTTCACATCCTGAAGCGAACGCAACCTGCGTCTGCGTGTGTCATGATTTACCGCTTCCGCGCATGCGCGTGACGTCATTTTGAGCGTCTGCGCATGCGGCGAAACCCGGAAGTAAAGCACTCCATTACTTCCGGGTCGCCGTGGAGCGTAACCTGAAAACACTCAACGTGAAGTACATTTAACCCGAGGTATGACTGTACACACATGGTTCTCCTTGGTCTTTCTCGCTTCAGAGCCAACAACCCTAAAGGAGGGCGAAGAGTTATAAACAAGGCAGCACTATGAGGGAAGTACATGCGGTTTTATTTGTCCCTTCCCTCTCCTGCTGTGGAGTTTGGCATAACTGTTATAGTAGCATGGGGGTGGGGAGGAAGAATGGAACGGGTGCAGGCAACTGGCGGCCGTCCGGAGTAGTTGGCTGAGCTAATTTAAGATGCCACAGATTGTACTGGTTACTAAATCCTCCCTGCCTCACACACTAACAACCAGCCTTCTCAGGTTTCACTATAAATATCTGGTATTTTTTTAATGAGGAACCTCGCTTCACAGAGGTAACAGTTCAGTGTGCCATGGACAAGTTGTTTTCCAAGTCCAGGAAAGGTTCCTCCATCATAGAACTTTAACTTAAAGCATGACACTGAAGTCTGAACAGACAGAAACATCACGTTTTTAAGTGGTTCTGACTGACAAGGTCATGGTGAGGCATCAAGGCTGCTTTTTCATTTGAAACAGCAATAAGATCTATACAAATGTACAACTTCAACCCAATGTTGTTGCCTCCCAAGGCTTATTACAAAGTTACTGAGGAGACAGATGCATTCACATTTATTCTCCCACCAGTATTTATGAAGATGTGAAAAGTAAATTTAATTCACAACTGTTATTATTTTTGCAGCTGACACAGAGGTGGAGTTAAACTATTGCTCCGAGTTTTATTTTTGCTTCCATGCAAAGAAGGAGAAGCTTGGGTCACCTCATGCTTCCCTGCATTGGAAAAGGATGTTGCTGCCTGGAAATGGGAATTCTACCCATTTTGAATTCTACCAAGCATGACAGCAGTGACAATATGCAGAAGGCGATCATACTGGTGGCCAGAGGAAAATGCCACATCAGATGAATATTACCAAGAATAAATGGCAAGTAGGTTTGTTTTGTTTTGTTTTAAAAATACCTTAACATTAAGCTTCTTCTTTTACTGCATTACCAGAGTTTACCAAAACGGGCACTTCGCAAATCTGTTTGTGTACGTGGTGCTGAGCACTATCAATACTGAATTCGCACGCACACATCCCTAGCCCTGTACAAAAGCGGGGAATATCAAGTCAGGGCAGCATCTAAGCTGGGTGGACTTCATAGCTTTGCATATGCTTGTCTTTTTTGAAAAGTAGTGGCTGAGGAGGAAGGGGGCCGCCAGGGAAAACCCCCACAGAAGTCACTACATGTGCCCATAAGCTCCTGCTGCCAAGCAATGCCATTCACAAATGATCTCGGGCCACTACAGACCCAATACAATCGGAGACAGCTGTGTCACAAGTACAAATAATCTGAAGCAGACAACTCAAGTAGGTGAGGTAAGTCACTAAGGGATGGATACATCTGTTTGTTTTTGCTGCTCATTATTTCAATCTTAAATTCAGTTTTCCACATCAGTTTATTTTTTTTCCCACCAGCATTTTAGTGTGAATTTGTAACACACATTCTTTGCAAAGCTACCCCTCCCCAAGCTGTAGCTACAGGGGGGCTAGCTGTTTTTTGACCCAGGTGAAGCCTCCAGAGGGGCGCCATTGAAGCTTTCAGCCTGTGTGTGTGTGTGTGTGCACGCGCGCAAATGCACTTTGGGGGTGACAACTGGGTCTTTGACCTGGGTGAAATAAAGCCTAGTTTTGCTTTAAACCCCGCCCCCCATATAACACCTTTTTGTATGTTCCCTAAAATATGCATTTTTGTACATATTACTTGGCTGGAGAACTGCACTGCAAATAATTTTGGTGAATGGAGAACAATTTTGGTGAATGGCTGTTTCAACTAGCTTATTTTTTTAAACAGAAACGACGCTGACTTTCCTTCCCATTCCTGTAAGTCACAAAATAAAGGGTTTTTATATATGTACATATATAACACAGCTGTAGTCCCACTGCCATGTGGTAGTAGAATGCACCAGTGAGCAGACCATCCCATATTGGATTCCTTCCTATTAAATCTTATTTGGAGGCCCATTTTGAACAGGACCTATACAGAATCAAAGAGACCTCTAGAACTCATTGTGTTCCTCATATCATGCAATGCAGTCCAGAGGAGTGGCCACAAACTTGGTGCCCTCCAGATTTTACAGACTACAAAGCCATCATCCTTGATCATGGGACTATATGTTGGCTACTCCTGCTAAAACAGAACTCTTTTTACCACGCCCCCAAATGAGCATTAACAGAATCCTCCCTGCAGTCTTTTTTCATGATAGCTTCCAGAAAAAGGATACCCTCCATACACTTGCATGGAGGTGGGCCTCAGTCTCAAGTATAAATGGCTACACATCATGATGGCTACCAGGTTCAGATAAGGAATGTCTTTGAATTGCTGGGAACCAAAAGTGGGAGATGACTATTGCCTGAGGAATGTATGGAATTCACTGACTAAATATCTTGCAAATTCTACCTATACCTTGTCAGACATATGGAAAATATGGCAAAGCTGACTCAGCAATAGGGGTTCTACAGATGTTAAGACTCGTTAGTTTACAGAACTTGCTACTAGAGATTTAACACAGCTAATTTCAGATTATAAACTTTATAAACTCCTAATTCTAGTTACATTTTCAGCCTTCTCTGAAATACATTGCAAACTAAGCTTCAAGAATATTCCTCTTTTCCTTTTTTAAAAAGGAAGACCTTAAAAAGTTAAGGCTGTGTAAGTTAGAAAACAAAATGTTATGGTGATGAATGGGAGGAAAGCCTTCTTTCAGATAAAAAAGTGAAGATCTAAAAGGAGGTAGCAACACAATTCGAAACTTTCACTGTTAAAACATAATCTCTGTAATACCCAACTTTTACAACACAATAGCAATTCAGCTTCAAGCTACTCAAAACCATAAAAATGTAAATTTTAAGTTAGCTTCCAGAATGGCCACCAATGAAAACTCCTCTACACACCCTTTACCAATCTACACGATTCAAACTCTGTATAGTATACAAATATTACATTTAAAGCACTGTTCAAGCTGCTACCCGAAGCTCTTTATGATGTCAAACTTCGCAAAGTACACTTGGAGAGTTAATATCAGTGAGAATGACATCACATCTTCTGCCTGCATAAGCTGTTATAGCCAACAGATTTAAAATGTTCAGGACTTGCATAGTAGCTAAAGTGGTTCTGATCAAAGCATCCTAAATCCACCATCTCAATATAAAGGACACCTGAGTCTCCAGCTAAACTCAGGAGCACTCCCCTGCTGCAGACCTGTTCCTTCCAGGCAAGTGCAACCCTGTCCAGGACTGGCAATCTCCCCACCTCCCAGACGTGCAACTTCAAGACATACTTGGCTATACAGGATATAACCTCAATGTATTGGCCCACATCCAGCCTATCAATGCCTCCAAGGACTGGTCTGACACCTCCAAATAGAGGATAATCCTTGCTGTAGTAGATCAGCTACAGAAACGACCTGCTTTTACTCTCCCATTCCATTCCCTATTCTTCATTCTAAGAACAATTTGGGACAATAATAGACAACTTTGCAAAGGAATATGGAGTTTTAACATTTGGTTATGCACAGTATTCAACCGTTGGCAGCAATTCCTTTGAATTCTAAATATGTTTACAGTACCCCTAATGCTGGACCTTCTCATTGGATGCTTGGAATAATGGCTTCCCGCAGCAGTGCATACATCTGAATTGGCACTAAGCCACCCCAGATCAAGTACAAATTCCAAAAGTGTAGCGGCTCTTGCAGCACTAGTTTGAGTCGTAAGACCAGCACTAATGAATGTACACAACCAGTGCTGCCGAATGGCTCAAAGGCGCAGGTGCCTAGGAACTTTGGTTCTGGTACCCAGGGAATTTTAGCAGTCCTGACTGTAGTGGCCCCCTGCACAAATGCTTCCTTTGATCAAGGGCTCTACAAATGCGGTGGTCAGATGAGACTAAGCCTCCAGGCTCATTGACAGAAGCCCCCGTCCTGGATAGAATACACGGCAGCAAACAAATCCCCTTCCCCTCTCATGAATTCTCCTAAAACTGCACAGATTGGAGGCTGACCCTGCTCCAAAGCTTCTTGACAGTTGACTTTCCATGACTCTTGCATCTGCCAGCTTTAGCAGTGATCACAAATAATGGCATGGAATATCCACACAAGACTGAGGCATACCTCAAACCATATTTTAGAATATTATTATGCAACACAGAGATAGGTCTCGCCAAGTGAGCATACATCTATCACACAGCCCTGGCCAAATACAGATTTTTCCCCCTTGACGCTTACACTGGGCACATGCAAGTCCACATTTTCATTATGCATTTCCCCACTCTTTGTACATGCTTATGCAATAATATACCGGTACTCAACCCACATTTACTGAAACATATACAATTCAGATGGCCTATGCCAGGAGGATAAGAGCCTGTTTAAAATACTACAAAGCACTAGAATATAATGCGATGTTAGAATCAAGATCAAACCTTTCAGTGGTGGCACCCCTGCTTTAAAACTCCTGAGGTACAATTAGAACAAATGGCAGCTTTTGGCATCTGTTAAAAGACCTGCCTATTTACACAGGCATTGACTGAAGTTTAATGTCAAATTTAATTGTTGTGCTTTATTATTTGGTTGCAATTTCCTGCTGTACATATATAAAAATTTTAGTTGTCATCCACTCTGGAATTGGTTGTGTGTGTGTGTGTGTGTGTGTGTGTGTGTGTGTGATGAGCAGAGATAGAAGAGCTTTAAATTTATTTTTAAAAAATGCTTCTTGTACCTCATTTTGTAAGCATATTATTATGAAAGCAAGCCAATCATTTCAGAAACAGTCAAGTGGATTAAAAGGTCAGTTGTGTCACCACAGGCCTGGCCTCTAAAAATCCCTGCTCCTGAGTAGCACAACATGGGAGCCATGAAGTAAGCATTAATATTGGGGCGGGGTATGTGGAATTGCTGGTTGTGGTTTCTAATTTCACAGAAGGGGAACCATAGAGCACTCATGAGAACAATTCCCCCCACCAAAGTCATACCAGGCATAGCGTCTGTATCAGCTCACCATCCTGCAAGAAATTCACAAAAATATTCACAACACACAATACTGACCATTAAACCAAGGCGAGGGGTTTGTATATCTATTATCAGAACTGCCATTTTTATACTTGTTTTGTTAGGTAACTGCTAGCAACACGAAGGAGTACAAGGACTATATGCTACCAGAAAAGTAACAATGGCACATCTAGTTGCTCAACCTTATTAACTTGTCATTAGAGCTGTTATATATATGAATGCTGTTCATATCTTCCAGGTAAGCAACACTGGCATCACAACATGCCGACATATCTGATCAGGGCTGACTACTTCCTCAGGTCTTGTCCACAAACAACTAAACAGGAAAAACTGATTGCACCATCCTCTGGATCCACAGGATGCGGCCCCATTAACCTGAGCCTGAAGCAGTCACCTTAATGCAAATAACGTTTTATAATTAGGACTGCAAGCCACAGTGAGTGTCTCAAATGGATAGAATGGCATGCCACGAACGGTGTAAATAAATATGTAGTTGACATATATAGCACCATGTTAGGCCAGGAATTTATTGACTTGCAGAGTATTCTACATGCTTCCAGCTACCAACCTGAATACACAAGCTTTGCATTGTCTATTGCAAACAGGGCCGTAGCTAGGGGAAGGGTGGTGAGGAGGGCCAAAATCGCAAAATCGGCAAAAATATGTCCATAAATATGTCAAGTAAAATATCCATTATTGCCTCATAAGAAAAGGTTTTAAATAGAGGGTGAATTGAATGGGTGGGGTTGGAGTTTGGAGGAGAGGAAGAAAGAAGAGCTATTTGTCTATGGCTAGGGGGGCGCAATCTGGACGGTTCTGCCAGGGGCACAACATCACCTAGCTACGGCTCTCATTGCAAAACTTTTTATTCTCCCACATGTGCTCCAGTTAATAGAACACAACACTGGCCAGGTTTAATAATGCCTTGTGTGTTAGATTGTGCGTGTGTCAAGATGCCTAACTGTGCAAGTCCATGTGGTCCATCTGAATGGCTCCCACAAATATTCCAGAGAGATATTGAGCTAGAAACTTAACCTCTGGCCTGAAACACGTGTGTGTCCACAGCAAAGCCATTTCTCTTTGCTAAGAGGTAACATCACAAGACATCACCTACCAGGTTATTAGTATTCATGATTTTAAAGTTTGCGTAAGTTAGTATGTCCTGAGTCAGAGATTACAATGAACATATTTTGAAAGATACTCCTCTGATAAATGGATAAATTCATCGTCAAAGATTAACATTTTGTTTTCGGGAATGAATCATCTCTGTTCAACTGAGCAAGATACTGGTGATGGAAGAGTGATTAATTGATACTGCTGGTTTAATTCATGTTTGCACACAAGCAGTGAGTCTCTCAGTTATCAGAGAAGGGAGGAAACACAGTTTAGGGTGGGTGACATCTGAAGCCTCTCCCCAGTAAACCAATGAAGAGGCTACCCAATGCTGCTGAGGAAGGCCTTGCTCATGTGCGTCTCATTACAGTACACACATGTAAGTTGAAGAACGAAGGGGAGATTGTCCTGAATGTACAGGTTTTGCACTCTGAAGTGTGTAGAGAACCTTAGAGACAAACTGAACCACCCTAAATTCTGCACTGGCCAGGAAAGGAAAGCAATTTATATCAAGGTTTCAGAAGTGGGGCTCCCCCCCCCTTTCCAGACATTATTAAATCTTGGCCAGAGATTATCACCAGCATCACTCTCACCTCCCAGACCCACAATAGGAAACCAGTTTGACAAACTGATTCCTGTGTAGTAAAACATGTGAGGGGAGGGAACGACGACCAACTCTTTTCCTGTTAATAAAGTAGATCCACTTTTGAAGAAGGAAGTGCAACACAATAGTTTTCAGCTCTTCACAAGAAATGTGAAGGATTGGAAAAAAATCATTTTTTCCCCATTAGAAAATCTGGAAAAATTGGGGAACACCGGGGAAAAACCCCATATAAAGAATTTTCTCCTTTGGAATTAAACACTTTTAAAACAAGGTTTTATTCATCCAACATGCGCAGTATGAATATTTTACACACAACAGTCTTCAGAATTAGACAGTGATATGGGTCTTTTAATATTCATCTGGGATTGTTTGTGCTCTTGATACTAAAGGGGTGTCATATGCATTCCTGCATTCAAGGTAATTTGCATCCTCATCACATGACACCATTAGGAATCTGTGTATGGACAGAAGAACTCTCAGATGCCTCAAATACAGAATCAAGTTCAGTTCAGGTTACCTTGCTGTGTGTTCATCAAGAAAAGAAGAATTATACCACTTGTATATATTATGCAAAGTAGAATAGGTTTTTTAAAATATCTGAAACCTTGGTCAGCATCTCCACCAACCCCTGCTGCTTGAGGTTAACATGGATGATATACAGCTAATTTCTTCAAAACATCTGAGTCAGAAGAGACTGGGCATGGTCTAGATAGAAGGATGTCTGGATGCAGTTGTGGAATGGATGAGGACTAATAAACTGAGTTTTAAGCATGAGAAGGTGGAGGCCCCAGGATGTGTGTGTCCCATGTCCAGGAATTTTGCCCATCCTTGATAGGGTTTAATAACCCTCTGAAGTAACAGCTTCATACTTTGGGAATGCTCCTGGAACCATGCTCCAGGGCTAGCAGCACCTTTTACAAGCTATGGCCATTCTTGGTCAGGCCATGATGATTCAGGCACTAGTAATCTCAAGACTGAATTATTACAATGTGTTCTATGTGTCTGGCTACCCTTGCACCTGGATCCTTGCACCTGGTTCAGTTGTTGCAGCTGGTACAAGACAGTTGATGGGGATAGATTACTGCCAGCACATAACTGTGGTGAATAAAAGCTTGCACTAGCTGCCCATATGTTACTAGACCCTAAACAACTTGGATCCATGATATCATAAAGACCACATGTTCCCTTATACTCTTGCCTGATTCACTGAGATCTTAGTGGGAGTCTCTGTTGGTGGTCACCCTTGGCTCGGATGTGTGATTCCTAATTGCCAGAAGACATACATTTAATGTTGTGGGGCCCAAGTTTAGGGAAAGCTCTCCCGACTGAGATTAGATAGGTACCCTTCTTCCTTAACTTCAGGCACTTGACAAAGACTTCCCTTTCCAGGAAGCATTTTAAGGTAATATCTGTTTTTTTAAGATGATTTTTTTCTTTTACCCCCTGTATTTTATGTACACCACTTAGAAATGCTAGTGCCTTAAATAACAAAACCATTAGTTAATCAAATGAACTGTTTGTGTGCGCGCACACACAAGCCCACACAATCTTCTTCACAATGTTTCCAAACAGAAACGCCAATCACATTGCATGCTCATATCTCATGCGCTCCTATCTTTGCAAAGAATCGCAACAAAAAACAGTGGGTCAGCTACTCAGATTATATAGAACCAGTGGTCATTCATTTAGCCTGAAATGGCTTATATAGCACTGACAATTTTTACAATGTGTTTACAGTAAACAAAACCAATTAAACAAAATCCTTTAAGTTTACATATTGTCATCAGAACCTCAATACAAGTACAGTGGTGCCTCGCAAGACAAAAAGAATCCGTTCTGGGAGTCTCTTCGTCTAGCGGTTTTTTCGTCTTGCGAAGCAAGCCCATTGACGGGATTAGCGGATTAGCGCTATTAGCGGCTTTTAGCGGCTTTTAGCGGCTTTTAGCAGCTTATCAGCTTATCGGATAAGCAGATAAGCGGCTTAGCGACTTAGAAAAAGAGAGGGGAAAGGAAAAAAAAAACCCAGGAACTCGCAAGACATTTTCGTCTTGCGAAGCAAGCCCATAGCAGATTCGTTTTGCGAGGCACCTCCAAAACTGAAAACTCTTTCGTCTAGCGAGTTTTCCGTCTTGCGAGGCATTCGTCTTGCGGGGCACCACTGTAATCTGATATGCTGGTGAGTAAGGCAATTTAAAAACAAGCTACAGTATTCCATCAGGCTACAGAAAGGAAGACATAGACACTGATGCAAAAGATGTCCACTTTAATTGGCCTCCCCTCACCCTTGAATGATTTCCATTCTAGCTTGTCTATCTCTGTCCATCACTGCACAGCCCTCGCTGGAATCTTTGTAGTGCCACATCACAAGCCTGCATTTGCATGAAGTCTGGGTGGGGAAGGGGCGCAAAAGAGAAGGAAGGTTGTACAGTAGTGGATGAGACATGGGAGGAAGAAGGGATGAACGCTGAGAGGAGGGAAATGGTGGTTTAAAACAACAAGAAGGGTTTGAACAGACTGGAAAGAGAGGAACACTGAGGGGTGCTTTAAAAGAAAATTGCAAGGAGAAATAGCAGAGATAGGTACAATACAGAAGCCAACTCCAAAAAGCTAGCACAACAAACTCCCTTCTTGCTGTACTCAAACCTTGTTTTAAACCACATTTTTCTCCCAATGTTCCCCTCTGATTGCTCTACTCAAACCTTTACAGCTGCCACCCCTTTTCCTTCTCAGTTCCCCCAAATATTATTTTACTACTGTTACCATGTATTGTCTTCAATATGACGCTCCAGATTCAATTCAGTCATTTAAAACACAGGTTATTATTAACAAGCTAGCACCCACATACAGTAGACTTGAAGCATGTGCACATTTAACTTGTGTGATCACAGCTTTACACACTCTTGGTGGCTGGCCAGCTGACATCGCACAGTTTAAAAGCTCTGTATGCACCAAGTTTTCCCCCACAGAAAGAGCTTTTGAGCTCTCAGGCTTGCTTACCAGGTTCTGGGAAGGTCTCCTGATGGAGCCTCCCAGAGCCTATGCTTCCCAGAGCCTGGCAAGCAAGGTGGAGAGCTTAAATGGACAATTCCAGGGTTGCTCTGACTATTAACTGCTGAAGCAGGAGGGCTGTAGAGTAGGAGAGGATACTGGCTTCATAATTCAGCAAAGGGTAAAAGGGCGGTGAGGAGTTACACTGTGTGAGAGGAAGAATATGCAGGATGTTGATGGTTTACGTGTCTTCTTCCTTGGCAATCACTTGTAGCCAAGTAAGATTGTCTTCCATAAACACGGTTTTAACAATGAGTCCGTAAGTGACTGTGGAGGCCAATTCTGGAATCACAATTCTGGCCTAAAAAAAACGGTTTCAAAAAAAGGAGGTGGGGGAGAAAGCGGCATGGATATGGGAATGAAGATGAAAATGGGTCTACAGAAGAGAAGGGAGAAGCTGGGAAGCTTTCTTGATTGGGTGGACAATTCAGCAAGCAGTGTCTTGTCTGGGGGAAGAGTCCCCTACTACATATAATAAAATTGTTAAGGGTGTCATCACCATGTAGTTTACATGTCTGCTGACAGGTGGCACTGCAAACTACAGTGTAATACCAGCTCACTGACCTCCCTGCCAACTTTCCAACAGCTACACCCCAGCTCTGCTTTGCCACTGCTGACATCCACCACTTCTCTTTTCCTCACCTTCACTGGTTTGTGTGTGTGTGTGTGTGTGTGTGTGTTGGCGAGCTGTGCAGTAGCAGGCAGTGCTATTATACTGACTGCAATTATACAATGTGAAAGCAATTTATACTGACAAAACCCAGGGTTCCCTTGACTACAGAGTTATTGGGGAAAGAAGAGAATGGAGAAGAAAACACACATTCTAATATACAGTTCCATGCTTCCCTGCAGAGACTTCTGGAGATCAAAAGGTACTATCAGTTTATCAATATATACAGCGAATAAGCAGTGTTATAGTCTCAAGAGCCAGGTCTGACTAAGACCATATCCAGAATGTGTTATGGGAATAGTTGGTTCCTCAGTGACAAAATGCTAGCCTTCCCCACAGTGTTCCTCATGGAAGAACCTTAGGGTGGAAAAGGCTTATCACCAAGACTAGATATGCCCAGAAGACCCTGTGTGCAGCTGGGACAGGGCATTCATATACACACAGTGCGTCTCCCAAAGCAAATGTTCATTCCAGGCTTGAGATGGGTTATCTCTAAGACAGCAAAGTATTATTATGCCTGGAGACGAATGAATTTTTTTAAAGGACTTGGCATGTGAGGTCCAGAACTATATTTAAGCTACTCATTACGTTTAGGGACTGTTGATTTGTTTTTCATTTTTCCAATCTTAAATTCAGCTCATTTTCACATAAATTCAAGATTTAAAATGTGTTCATTGTGAAAATTAATCAGCATTTTAGTGCTAATTTCTCCTAATCTACACACTTGTATCCATTTTTCCCAATACAATACATTTCTGTATATTATGTTTTACTGTATATTGTTTTATCTACACTGCACCATAGTACATACATTTTTGTACACAATTAGTTGGCTGGGTAATCATATTGTAAAATTGAGAGATGTGAATTTTGAAGGATGGATGTGTGAACGGAATCAAATTTCTACCCCATTCCTAGCTACTTTACTATGGACAAAAGTTCAGTGCCAGGCTTCATTCACTCCAGTTTTAATATACTGTAATGCTTTGCAGGACTGAAATAATACGACATGTCACTCAAACAGTAATATATTCAGAATCACTTAACATTTGATAGTTCTTCAGTAGCAGCACAGCAGGAAAGGGGATGAAACAATAGAGATCTACTGTTTCTGTACCCAACAAATCTTGTTCTACAATTCTGTAAGATCATTTCAATCTAATGCCTCCAACTAGGGCACCTTAAAAAAGGAAGCCATCTGTTACTGCCAATGTAAGTTGCAGAAGTATCCAGAATATTGAGTTACACGCATGCCATTTACTGTTACCATAAGCTGTTCTAACTTAGTTACATCTTCATTCAGAACACAGAACTGAAATACCACATGCATGCATGTACAAAAGAATTAAAATACTGGCAAACTGCAAGTGTCAACATTTTACTCCTAGAACTAATAAATAAATAAACTTAGGTTCTAAAACATGTCTCAAAAGTCCCTAAATTTGCTGATGGCTCATAGGAATTTGAAAATGTTCCATTCCTGGTAATTCACATTTAAGGTGGACTCCTAAGAACACTTACCCTATTTCAGTAGAGCTCATTTCAATCAGCTCATTTCAGTCATTTCAATCAGGATTCACTTAGTGTAAAGAACTGGAATGCAGGTTGGATTCCAGTCCAGTCTGCCAATGCCTGCTATTCTTGTCTCATTTCTGCAATACCTTTAAAGCTACAAATGTTCACTTCACATTTCCCCCCACATTTTTATGTCATATATGATTTTTGTTTCTCAGTTCCTTCCATTCCCACTCCACTGCAGAAAGCGCCAAGTGAACTACGGAAAACTCCGAACAATTCTAATGGGGTAACTACAATTGGTATTGAAAGACTGAGGGCACAAGGAGAAGGGGATGACAGAGGACAAGATGGTTGGACAGTGTTCTCGAAGCTACCAACATGAGTTTGACCAAACTGCGGGACGCAGTGAAAGACAGGAGTGCCATGGGGTCACGAAGAGTCGGACATGACTAAACGACTAAACAACAACAACTGGTAGTATTGCTATATAATGGGTGTGCATATGGAAGTGTTAAAACACCAAATTTACAGTGGTTAAATAACTTAAGTTAACTTGGGCTGGCCCCTGTATGATGGACCAATGTGCCTTGCATGGCTCCATATACTGTATTGGCCTGAATATAAGCCACACTTTCCCCCCAAATTCCAACCATGAAAAGTTAAAGTGCAGCTTATATTTGCAACCTTACTGTATGCAGCCAGGAGCGCAGGGCAAACAGCGCCAGGAGCATGGCAAAGTGGCGCCCACCCCACGCGTAGTGCCCCATCCTCTCCCCCAAGGCTGGGAAGAGAGCGAGGAAGGGGAAAGGCCATTGGCAACACCGTGTGGCTCCCCGCCCCCGCTCCTAGTATGTAGCCAGGAGCAGCGAGGAAGGGAGTGGCTTATATTTGGGTATTCCCCCCCCTCCAATTTTAAAGGGGTGGCTTATATTTGGGTGTGGCTTATATTCGGGCCAATAAGGTAACCAGGCTTCCTCAACCTCGGCCCTCCAGATGTTTTTGGCCTACAACTCCAATGATCCCTAGCTAGCAGGACCAGTGGTCAGGGATGATGGGAACTGTAGTCTCAAAACATCTGGAGGGCTGAGGTTGAGGAAGCCTGCTCTAAACAGAAAGGACAAAAGACGACATTAACTGAAGGGATGGGAAACAATGGATAAGCAAGCAGATGGGACAATTGAAGTCAGTAGTTTATTGGTATGTGGCAGGATGAAGTAAAGCCAGGAAGAACCTCACAATAATTTAGAAGAGATATGGGGGCTGAATGTACATATTTCTAGATCACAGGGAATAATCACAGAGATAAAGATTAAGGCAACTTTGCACTTCCCGCAGCAAGCCAAATTATATGTACACAGCTATGTTCCACAGCAGATGTGTGTCTTCCATTTGTTTGCTGCAGAAAAACACCAGTATGCATGCAGTAGTTTTATCTCCTCACAGTCTGCTTTTCACAGGGATTTTTCTAGGCTGGGCTCAGATGAACAAGAGTGTTATCAATCTGCAGGGCAAAGACTTGGCTCCCTTTTAACCATATAATCTACCTAACTGGTCTGCTGAAGTCAGGGTTCAGTTGGACAGACACTAAAGCTCACTTTGATAAGCTCCACTGAAATCAGTGGGCTTCTATAATATGCACAGAGCCACTAAATATAATTTTAATAGCATGCCTGAACATACTTTGGATTCCCCGTTTATTTTCCTCTATAGGGCATCCCAGTGATGGATCAGAGCAGCCCCTACCCATAGATCAAGACTATGGTGCAAGAGGAGGGAGAAAAGAAGTTTGACTGTTCTCCATTCCACTTTCCAGCTGAAAGTCTCTCTTTTTCCAAAACTATCAGAAGGATCATTTCCAGCAGGAAAATGGTATGTGCAGGATTGAGCATTATTGGAAAAAAGAAGACACTATTCCAGTTCTGTAGTTTCTGCATCAGCAGAAATTTAAAATTTTTAAATTTAGCATCTCAATTTCTAGCTCAAGATCTCTTCTTAGATTTTGCAAGTTATGTTATGAAAAAAAACAGTGCTGAACATTAAATACTAAGACTCCAGAATCAGTATTAAGGAACAGAGGTTCCTATTTCAGAAAGATATGTAAAGCTACTTAAAACATGCAAAGCTAGCTGCGTGCTTAGATATGAAGCAAGCTATGAGCCAGCAAGAGAGCTAAAGTCTTCAGAGAGCAAGCTCATGCCTCTGGCCAGACAACACATAACTGGTTACTCTAGAGACTATTCATCAGTTTCTTAGCAACCTCCCCATGAAGCAAGCCTAAGTTTATAATTTAGTTATCAGTACTCCAACATGATCTTTCCAGTTAAAAGAAGATTTAGTATTAACAGTTTTATTCATTGAGCCAAAGGCTCAAACACACAGGTCTAGTTCACACATCACCTTAAACCAGGGTTACAATTAAACTGTCATTTAAGTATGAACACGCAGCATACATGCAGGAAGTACAAAATTGCCGGTGCTTCACTCATTCCTGACCCTTGCTGGGAAACAAGCCCTGGTTTGGTTTAGTGTTGTGTCCAAACCCAGGCTTGTGATTTATTTTGTGGAAAGCCAATATGAGACTTTGGCCAATGATGGTTTGTTTGGAGATTCAGACAAAATGCTAAACTGGATTATAGCTCGTTTCCCAGTAGCAGTTGAGTGAAGCTTCCATAATTTCAGCAGTGTGCATGAACACACTGTACATTCACATTTAAAACATAGTTTTCCAAGTGATGTTTGAATGAGGTCAGGTTATTGCCAGCACCTATACCTAGCAGCTAGTAGGTCAGTAAAAAGGTTACAGAATTTTAATGATGAATCATACTAACAGGCACCAACAAACCCTTCAAAGCTTCAAAGTACATTCCTTTATACGAGTTCATATTCCATTTCACTATTTATTATACATGTGCATACACAAACCCCAGGATAAGTTTTAGGCATGGGTAGCAGCAGCAATGCAGTGAATATTTCATGGAAATATGACTAACTGTTAATGAATTGTTAAGCGACAGTGAGGCAACCTCTTCGCCACAGCAGCTCATTGAGTGAGTGATATCTCTTCATATACAAGTGTACTATCCACATATACTGTGGTTTATGGGGTTAACTGCAAGCAGCTGACCAGAATCCAGCCACATTCACATGATCCATGACTCAACAAGAGCTATTCAGTTAGGCACAATGATGACAAACATTCAAATTGGATAGTAAAATATGTCACATGTGCAGTCAGAGCAATACCTGCAACCAGAACTACTACCTGCCAAGTTCCAGGACAATGCAAGACTATGGGTGGGAGGATAGTAAGTCAGACTCTGTGGACCCCTATAGATTTCAGCTAGCCAAGAATTAGTCAGAGCCTCAAAGCATACTTCATGGTCTTAGAACAGCTCCAAAATACAACCAACAGCAGAAAACGGGGTGAACATCTTTAAAACAATTAAAGTTCCAAGTTAGCAACCAAAACAAGGCTACAGGTTGAAAGTTTCATAGCTGAGACTATGAATATTTAAGGCAGATGTTTACTAAAACAAGACAATGTAATCAGGGGGCCTGCTGGTAATGTTTTCTCCACGGTCTATATAGTAAACAAGTTGAGAGAATAAATAAAAGTGTGGAAGGCGAGTTTTATTGCATGTTGTACATTAAAAACTCGGGGGGGGGGGGGGGAGAGACACACACACCTCTTTCATAAGCCAGTGAAGTTTATAATCCTAACCATACAACAAATACTTTGATACTTAATTGGCCTCTGTACATCTAATGAAGAGAGTATATTAGCAACAGTTCTAATCATTGAGAAGAAAGTAAACAACATTCTAAATATGAGTAGCCATTAGATTAACGTAACAGTATTCCAATTAATTATTTCTACCCGAAGAACCTGTTACACTAATGCACAATGCAAAGACAAAGTGTTCAATAAGCTTTCTACTAGAAAAGTGTCTCTAGTAACTCGTTAATTTGCAAATAAATTATGAGTCCAGGATTACTTGCCATAACATGTGCTGCTTAGAACTTCAATTTTAACTTCATCCGCTGTTTTGGTGCCCGTTCTAATTGGATCCTGTCTTGTTTTGTGTTCTGCTATTCTAAATACTAGAGTCATTTTCCAAACTTGAGTACAGCAGACTCATAACTTGTGCAGGCATTATGTTCTGGAGCACTGAGCATAAACCCCAAACCATGTCTACTCAGAACCCTGGAACCGCCCTCACGTGACCATCCCTATCTTTCTGTAGCTGACACACTGAGCAGGCCATGCCTACCAAGCAAGGCGGGAAAACCCATCATGGAAAGCGCTTTTAAGCTCTCTGCCATGCATGTGTTTAATGTGTGAGATGTCATCTGGCCAGCCACCAAGTGCATAAAGTTGCAATTGTGCAAGTTAAATGCACACAAGTTGCAGGTCTATTGAATATCACTCTTCAAACATCTTCAGATCATTTTGACCCTAGTCCTCCAATTTCTTCCGCCTACATGATGTTGTCTTGTACTGTAGCACACCTTTGGTCCATCTAACTCAGTACTATCTACTCTGATAGCAACTCAGGTCTCAGGAACTTTCTCCAGCTGCATTTCCAAAATGTAGAATGTGAAAGTGTGTGTTCTTTTCATCAATTTAACCCACCTTAAATTCCCAACCGATTTTAAATCACCGCTGCTTCCGGGGGGGAGTGAGTTCCATAGTTTGACTAAATGCTGCATGAAGCACTTTCTTTTACGTATCTCATATCTTCCAACATTGAACTTCACTGGATATCCATGAATTTTAGTGTTGTGCGAAAGGGAGACTTTTTTCTCTTTCTCTTCACTTTCTCCATGTAAGGCATAATTTTATAAACTTCTATTATGTTGCCTCATACTTGCTTTTTCTCTAAACTAAAAAGTCCCAAGCACTGCAACCTTTCTTCATAACGGAGTCGTTTGATTCCCTTGATCACTTTAGCTGCCCTTTCATATTTCTGAACCTTTCCCAACTCTACAATATCCTTTTCGAGGTGAGACTACCAGAACTGCATACAGTACTCCAAATAGAGCCACACCATAAATTTGTATAATGGCAGTGCAATATTGGTGCATTGGCAATCCAAAGTCAAAATTTTAATTGAATACTGCTCAAGTTTTGTTCAGAAAAGATCCACCGAAATTAATCCACTGAATTAATCATAAAACATGATTAAGTGAGGTCCTTTAATTTGAATAGTAAAACATTTGTTAAATACCACCCCTTGTCTTTGCCATCAACTTAACAGGTGGCCTTTGGCAAGTCACCAATGCTCTGTTAGTGTATGAACACACATGTCTATTGTTTGGATTAATAATGGCCTACCCTACAAATATATATACACTATTGGTTCTCTCTACTGTTTACCCCTGCCTCTGTTTCTCTGTTGCATCTATTTTTAGACTGTAACCCCCCGGGGTAGTAGAATGCCTTAAGGTGGCACTACATGAGCATTATATAATGCAGAACAACTCAAACTGTTGCATGGATTTAACACATATTTATATGGTGCAGTTTAATCTATTTAATTTACAGTAGCACAAAGTAGAAGTCAGAAAGTCCAACTGAACCTGCTTTGTAGATAGTGTACTTCTGTATTCACTAAACTTTACAAAGAAAAGCAGTTAGAAATCCAAACACTGGCCATAAAGCACACCTTCGATCTTACAGGAGTGCGGATATCAGACAACTTTTTAAAAAGATGTATTATAGGAAAATCTAACCATAACCATGGCAAGGCAAGTAAAGAAGCCAGAAATTTCCAAATAGGGTATGGTCAGTAAAAACACAGGTGGGGTGGCACACATCAGAAACCCAGTGTATATAGAGCAAAGGAGATCTAAAAATGCAAATATGTTCACCCACCAGAGTCTAGATTCTTCGAGAACAAAACGGATGGCAAACAGTAACTTGTAAAGATGTAAAGCAAACGGTGCTCTTTTTTTTTTTTGCCACCCGAACTCAACAGGAAGCTTTCATCAATTCAGCGTACAAACATAATGCCACACATTCCCATGTTATTATGTTCTTGAGTTTATGCAGGAAGGGGGGCATTGACTTTCTAGCACATGGGTGTCAAACACAAGGCCCGTGGGCTGAATCCGGCCTGCCAGACCTCGTCATGTGGCCCGTGTAGCTGCCGCCGGCCTTCACCTTTTATTCTCGCTTTTTTTTTTTGGACACAAGAAGGCCACCTCTTCTGCGCATGCGTGGCAGCCTACAAGCCAGAGAACGTCTGCCCTCTAGCGGCGCCGGCCGTTCTACGCAGGAAACCTCCACTTTACATGCATTCAGGAAACCTCCACTTGTTTTTATATTGAGCGCATGCCATCCTGTGATGTGACAGATCTAACGGCTGCCTGAACCCTTCTCTCCTGTACTGTAAGTACATATGATGCATGTGGGGGGGGAGCGGGGGTCTGCTTATTAGGGAGGGTCTGCTTATTATTCTGCTTAAAAGTCTGAGCGGTAAACTTTGGATATACTGACCACTTCCGCGTCACTTTACAGTGGTATAGGGACCATAAACTACAATCAAATAACCCAAAAATGTCAAAGAAAAGAAAAGTTGATGCAGAGGGAATGCCTTGTGTTTGCCATATGTGTAATAAACAGTGTTTGGCAATATTTGTATGTTTAAAAAAATTACTGTCTGTTACCAAAAATCATTTTTCAATAAATTGTACAATAATTGTACATTTGAATATCTACTTGCCATTATTCTGACTATGTTTCTGCTTTCAGAGCTAGTTATTACTTACATTATTACAAAAAAAACAGTAATAATTGAATGCAGTGACAATAATTTATGATAATAAAGAGTGGACACATCATCCTATAGATACAACAGGTCCTTTGAGGGTGACCAAACTGCTGATGCGGCCCCCGATGAATTTGAGTTTGACAGCCCGTCCTAGCAGATCTCCATTTACAGGAAATGGGCACATTTGCATAAAATGACAGTGAAGAACCTTGGGATGAATAGTGCTGCACACACTGCCTGACTGCTCCTCCTGTTTTGTTCCTCCTTTCACACAATCAGAGAGGAATGATTAAACTGTGCTTGCACATAGTATGTAGCCTATTAAGGTGCATGTTTAATACTTGTAATAAGATGCTGGGTGATAGATTAAGCAAAGTCTGGTGGGAAGAACTAGCTGCAGAAATGTAAGATGGAGGACACCTTGCTTGCCTGTAGTACATGTGAAAAGGATCTAGCGGTCTGAGTAGGCCGCAAGCTGAACATGAGTCAACAGTGCAATTGCAGCAGCAAAAAAAGCTAATGCTATTCTAGGCTGCATCAATAGATGTCTACTGTTACAATCAAGGGAAGGCATAGTACTGCTCTATTCTGGCTTGGACAGACCTGGAATACTGTGTCCAGTTCTGGGCACCACAATTTAAGGAGGATACTGACAAGCTGAAACATGTGCAGAGGAGGGAAACCAAAATGATCAAGGGTCTGGAAACCAAGGAACAGTTGAGGGAATTGAATAAGTTTAGTCTGGAGAAGAGGAGACTGATATGATAGCCATCTTCAAATATCTAAAGAGCTGTCACATGGAGGATGAAACAAGCTTGTTTTCTCTTGTTCTGGAGGAAAGGACCCAAACTAATGGATTCAATTTACAAGAAAGGGTATTCCAACTAAACATCAGGAAGAACTTTCCAATGGTAAGAGCTGTTTGACAATGGAACAGCTTCCCAATAGATGCAGTGGACTCTCCCTCATTGGGGTCTTTAAGTAGAGGTTGGATGATAATTATGCCGAGTATTTAGGGTCCTTGAGGGTTCCATCAGACCCCAATGAGTATCTTTCAACCAAGCAGCCATACTTTCCCCCTCCATATATAAATATCACTAGGTGTATATGTGGACAAGAAACATCTATTCCATGCAAGAGAAGGCGCTTCAGTGAATGTAGACGTAATGTAGATGTGCCCATAAGAAGCCACAAATCTCAACCACAAACTAGAAGCTTTGTCTTCTGAAACTGCAGATGTGCAGGACCAGCTGTTGTTTCTCTATCTGGCAAAGATACTCTACACATGCTTGAACAAGTTCCAGGATTTCTGAATTGCCTTTGACCTGTCTAGAGCAGCCAGCTTTTGTTTATTGATACTGAATAACATTAAGTGACTTTAGCAGCCGGCTCTTTATACAACTTATGCTGATTTACTCAGATTCTTTTCATTATAATTTAGTATCTTAATGTGCCTTTCCACACTTCACCTTGCTTATGTACTAATGTCTCAAATGCTCATCATCGTGACCACCGACCCTTGCTCCTTCTTTCATCATTACCAGTACTTCTTCATTTTAACGTGTTGATTTTCTGCACGTACACAATCCTACCTAGATCCTATGAAGTATCTTAGTAAGGTGTTGCAAATGTCTTCATACTCTTTTGACATAATTCAGCTTATTGGTGTATGCTTTTAAAAGTTACTACATTTTTCAAAAACCTGGGAGCGGTACAAGGATGAGGGTTAAATCTCCCCTACACATGTCCTTCAATGAAGACGCATCAGAAGACTCCTACTTGAAATCTAGAAACAAATGGGAAACTTCAGGGAGGAAATGAAGTAACTTCTGTGATACTGGAAGCCACTATCTAAGTTCAGCAAGAGGACACAAGCATAAACACCATACTGTTCCCACTTGAAAGGATGTCACTAGTGCCCATGTTGAGAATTGCAATTTATTTAATCCCTTCCTTTGTACCCCCATCTTTCATTCCTATGCAGAAGAGTCAATTTTCTAATTTCTTGAACACCTTTAACTACAATAGAATATCCAATTGCCACATTACAGTAAGTTGACTGCTGCAACGAAAACGAAAACTTAGGCAAAGCTCAATTATCCCTACTTATTACTGGAAGGAGAGAACGTGTTCCTATTTTGAAAAGAAGCCAACAGGCAGCTAAAGAAATTTAGATGCTTACATAAACAACCATCACCACCACATCCATCCAGGGAAAACATGCAAATCTGTTATTTAAACATGAGCTCTTACTGAAAGAGTTCTGTGTTCAGATTCACACAACTCCAGTGGATCCTCAATTACTCGAAGCTGCAACAAGAATTTTACTACGTGGATATGACTTGCAAAAGTCATATTTATAGACCATGTGTGTCATATTCTCATAGACCTGTGGTTCTCTCATACCAAGCCCTATCCATGTGCAAAGGTTATCTCTTATTAAGTGATCTTTGGAGATGAGTCATGGAAGAGTTAGCAACATGGAGCATTCATGCTCTTTCTCTTCACTGAAATTCATTATCTTCATTCTGATGGTTCTAAACATAAATGATAATGAATATGTGATCACACAAGGTAAGTTAAAGCCTCCAGATATTTTCAATTTCTATGCACTTTTTAGGAATCTATAAGCTGTGAAGAATCCACAAATGTGAAATTATAGTCTTAAAAAGGACTCAGTTTTGCCAGTGAAATCTACTCTGTGATGCACAGAATACAAATGTTTATCTTCTTAATTTAAGGTCTTTTCAAAGAGCTGCATTAAAAGCAGTTTAAAATTGGGGGCTAAACAGCCCTATTATCTGTTTCCCCCTTGATTTAAAATGGAATATTTAGCAGTGCTGAAGCTGAAAAGCAACCGTCAACTTTCATTTAAGAGAACTGCTAAAGTGCATAGAAACTTGACATTTGGTTCCCATGTAGTTGAGACACATTAGACAAGCTTGAAGACTGAGAAATCTAGCAGTTAAAGGACTCTGAACATAAAGTTTCTCACATAGTAGAAACCCAACCAAAGCACACCCGGCACAGGGTATTTGGTGAGGAAATACCACCTATTTGAATTTTCAAGGGAGAGAGAGATTGTAGCTGCTAGAAAAAGAGGGCAATGGTTTATAGAAGATTTGAAAAAGTAGTCAGTATGCAATCAGAAGATTTTGTCATCAGATAAGTAAATAGAAAAAAGGGTTCACAGTTCAGACACCCTCCAACTGGTAATAACTGTTACGATATAGAAGCAATGCGGCCGCGAGCTGGTAGCTTGAAAGCAAAACATAATGGAATGTTGGGACTGTTCCGTGGGAAACAGAGGGACAGTCAATTCACAGTGCAGAGGGCACCGAAATTAGCTCAGAGTGTAATATGAGCTGTACAGGAAGTACAGGAGGAGTTTGTCTCTCGACTGCTGGAGCTTGAAGAGAGCAGTCATGATTTTTGTAACGCTGCAAAGACAGAAATAAAGGAATGTAAATACGTTTCTGTCTATCTCTTTCCCCTGCCTGGGGGGGCAGGAAAGAGGGGGTGTGTTCTTCTCACTCTGAGAAGGATCGCCTATCGTGACCTCTGCCTGGATCCTGCTGGGGAATGCAGACAGGGAGGTCAACAGGAGATCAAGCCGGGTGCCTGGAGAGTGGCCAGTTTCTCCTGATAAAGGCTTGATTCCCAACAGCCAGGAGAAAAATATTTTAGGAATAAAAAGGGAAGAAAAAGGAAGAATTAATACTATACTGTATAGCAGTGCCTGTGAGCCAAATTAGACCTAGCACAGGTGCCAATCTGGCCCATAATAAAGTTTTCCCCAAACCATGTCCACCTGCCCACACTTGATGTTGAACCGAAGCTGGCAATGCAAAGGATCTTCCTTTGCAGGCATGGCTCTATCATACCCACTAAGGAAAAATGTTAATTTGGGTGACCTGTCGTCATTGTGATATCATGTGATTGATAGGTGCCCACTTGTCTAAATGACCCAAGAGAGGTGAAGGAACCTAGGGCCTGGCCGTGCAGACCCAAACTATTCTATGGCCCATTTCTATTAACTGTAATGCAATGCATCTAGAAAGACTTGTCAAAAGAGTTATTACTCATCAGAATGAATGTACAAGGCAATCATGAATGGAAGGCCAAACAGAGGTTAAGTAAAAGCCATAAAAGACAGTAAATCCAATCTTAAGATTTTATCAGGAAAGATAGCGATAATTAATATTGCTGTACACAATACCAGTGAAGCTGTTTATAGTAGTACACAGAATATTGGTCTGCTTCATTTTGCACACTGGAGAAGGTTCCCCTTTTCACCCCACCATCCTCTCTCATGTCAAACTGCCTGACAACTTGTAAAATGCTACCTCCAGCTCCCTTTGCATCTCATGATGCTGCTGGCTTGAGTCATGTGGCTTTGTTAAAACTTATCCCTTGCCCCTTAGGCACCTCTGGCTTTGTGCCCCTTCATCTTTCCTGCACTCTGTTAGCATCACGTTAACCTGAGTCAGAGGATGTGTTCTATTGTATGGATGATCTAAGAGGAATGTGCAGGCTTGAAGAAACCTGTTAAATGGAACAAGACAACAAGATCGTTTCTGACCTTTACAAGAGTAAGCCCTGGAATTTTACAGTAGTAAAAGCCAAGTGCTCCAAGGGTTCTCTTGAGCAACCCTTTACTTGTCCTTGAAAACAATACAAATGCTGGATGTATCCCTTGCAAAAAAATAGGGGTAATTCAAATTATTAGTGATATATCAGACCCCCTGAATTATAAACACCAACTCAAATACAGGTAATACCAAATAGAACATGCCCTTAAGATTAAGAGGTTCCTCTCAATAGGGAAGAAAGGATGTTAAAAGCCAAATTACACAAAGTAAAGGATAAACAACCCTAATTAAGTGCTGGTATCAGGCAGCATGTCATTTACTGGTTGCTATAGCAACTTTTATTCTAGTGAAATTTGTGAAGTTCTTGACGGCATTTTTTAAAAAAATGCATTCCCTAGCAATTGAGGTCCAGAAATTCCCAGGAAACTCTTTGCCTGCCAAGTATGGAACTAACATAAAAGAAGACTGCATTGTAGCCATTCAGTAAAGTTCTATGCCAACTATGAAACCAGAAGCCATGTAGATGGCTTTCAAACTATAAGCCATTTGCAGGACCATTAACTTCACTTGAAAAGTTTATGAAAGCCAAGAAACTAAAAAGCAACTAAAGCTTTGATTTTAGATCCAAGTCACATTTAAACCACATTTAAACCATAGTAAACCAACCGTGTGGTGTTCTAAGAGCCGGTTTTAGTCATTTGCTTATCTAACAGTTTGTCCGCAGTGTTTGTATAGTAGCTAATAAAGTGTCAATTAAAGTTAAAGCTTTTCAAGCAAGAAAACCTTAAACGAAGTTTAGGGCAAGGAGTATGGAAGAGCGGTAATGAAAGGACAGCTGCATATACAAACCACACCTGACTCACTCTACCAGATTTCTACAAAATGTTCCCCGAGGTAGCAGTCTAAGCACTTCTAAAGAGATCAAGATGTTTCAACAGCTAAAGGCTTTGGATTTATGACAACAGAAAAAGAGCACACCATCACCGACAGTGCAACATAAAGAATGCTTACTTATAAGTTCTGCTGAATCCATGGGATTTTTTAGGATTGCAACTTAAGTGAAGTAAGACATTAGGTCCCCCAGGGATCAGTATTGGGACATGTGCTTTTAAACTTACACATAAATTATCTAAAGTTAAAGCTGTACAGCAAGGCAGCCAAGGTGCCAACAGCACCAGATTGTGCAGGGCTGTAAAACAGAAATGAATTGCAAGGAGCCAGGACTGCATCTGCTATCATCCCTGACTACTGGCTGGTAGGGCTGGTAGAATTTCTAAATACAACACGATCTGAAGAGCTGAGAGTTAACTGTTCTAGATGCATAACTTGGGAGCCTGACCCTGATGTATTATCTCTGAAGGAAGTGTCACTTGGGAACTTATCCTTAAGTAAATTTGCATGGAATGACAGCCCCAAACATCGCAAACACCTTTCAGACATAATAAAAGCCTATTAGTAAGTCTACTGAGTTACTCACCTACAAATATAATGGCGTCTTGCCAACTTATACCCATGTAAATTATTTTGTAGCATACCAACAGCCTGGAGGACAGGTGAAGGAAAAGAACTGGCAAGCAATATGCCTGGTTGAATGCACTATACTTTCCACAGGTGACCAGGCAAGTGGTGATTTACAAGCCAGGATTAAAATAAAAACACACATGTGCTTTAGATTAACTGCGATAGTTTTAGCATCAGAGCAGAGGGTAGGTTCTATCCAAGCTGAAGAAAGGGAATTTTCTGTAGCTGGCTGCACCATGCAAGAATTAAATGCTGTTCTATCCCACTCTGTTGACTAGACCTACAACCATAAATGTAGCACTCGTCTCTTTGAAATCAAATAAGGGTAAGATCAAAGGGTAGAAGGTATACATCAAATGTTTAGGAATAAGTGTATCTGCAACATTATGCACAAGGAAACAGAAGACCCAAAGGTAGTTTCAATATTTCTTATTGAATTACAAAGAAGAAAGGGAATAAAACTCAGAAATCATACAAGAAGTACAGTAGCTGCAATAATACACCAATTTTTCCAGACTAGTCCAAAGAGATTGGGACTCTGGTATCTGAGAAGCTGCCTGTCTGTTCTATACTCATTTATCTGCAATAGCTGTAGTCACAGTCAACACAGACCAAGGGACAAACGTAACCTTAATGGCTAAATGTTAATATAAACAAACGTAAGACACAAGCATGGAAATACAATAACCAGTTGCGTTTAGTGCTCTAAGGAACCCCTAAACTGCTTAACAGTGGCGATCCCCTCCTGCAAGTTCTCCAGGAATTCAACAGCACTAGGGAAAGGTATTGCCTTTTCATACCAGCATTGCAGAAGATGATGAGGCTTGTGGTGCAGTCCAAGCCTTGACAGAAGAGAAATCCATGCCATTTAGCGCCTACTGGAAAGCACTGCAAGAGGTGAAAGCACACCCCATGCCCTCTGTGCAGATCAGAAAATTTGGGAAGAGGAGAAACTGGGCTTGTTTCCATTTCAGTGGGGATGAAACAGAAGCAACATGAGCCAGCACCTCTCCTCACCTGAATCACCTTGCAAAAGAGGACTCAGGGTGGGGGCTGTTAGAGATCATGAATTAGGGCACTCTTATTATTATTATTTTGGAACGCGGGTGGCGCTATGGGTAAAAGCCTCAGCGCCTAGGGCTTGCCGATCGAAAGGTCGGCGGTTCGAATCCCCGCGGCGGGGTGCGCTCCCGTTGCTCGGTCCCAGCGCCTGCCAACCTAGCAGTTCGAAAGCACCCCCGGGTGAAAGTAGATAAATAGGGACCACTTACTGGCGGGAAGGTAAACGGCGTTTCCGTGTGCTGCGCTGGCTCGCCAGATGCGGCTTTGTCATACTGGCCACGTGACCCGGAAGTGTCTCCGGACAGCGCTGGCCCCCGGCCTCTTGAGTGAGATGGGCGCACAACCCTAGAGTCTGTCAAGACTGGCCCGTACGGGCAGGGGTACCTTTACCATTATTATTATTTATTGAATTTATATACAACCCTATACCCAGAGGTCTCAGTAAAAGTTACAGTTCTGTTAAAGTCCTCAAAAATACAGAGGAGGAGCAAAGTTAAGAACAGACAAACAAGACTTATTTTCACCACTTTGAAATATTCAGGTACATATATCTACAAAGACACAACACTTCTAAACAACACACTTCTCTTTCAATGCTAAATTCATCCTAGCCCCGATGAGCATGACATCCTGTGGCACCTACATAATCAAAGTGTGCAGGTGCAAGAAAATGCAAATCACTTGCTCTACAAAAAGGCTATTCCGTCTATTTCCCAGGATGCCTTAGGCTTCCACAGAGGCCATTCAGGGATTTCTGACTTGGATCAGTTGTTGCCCACTATTGAGCTTAATCTTCAGTGGGCTATTACAGGAGAGTAATGATGCATTCTAGGGCACAAACACAGTTAACACGTACAGGATATCAGCAAGACAACAGATATGCTTAGGTTCTGGGATATTTCTTTAAAATGTGCAGAACGTAACTGCAGTGCAAAGGTATTTCACAGTAGAGCTGTAGAGGTATAGCTATCTTCCTGTTTACTGCTTATAAACAGTGTGGATAGGTGGAGCTGAGACTAAGGAAGATGATCTCAGAAATTCTTAAGCTATGCCTGTCTTACAACATGATGGCACTTTGCCGAGTGGGGAATAAGAAGCTTTCTTGGTGGGAATATTTGCTTCCCCCACCCCTGGCTACATGAACTCCCCCATGAGAGGCATGAGGGGTACACGTTCAGTCTCTAGACCAAACTACAGCTTCTTAGAATTCATAAGGGCACGTATGGCACACCGTGTATTTGGCAATTCTACTAATGTAGCAGGCAACCTAACAGGTTTTCATCACATTCACACAACTGTATTCGACAGAACAGAACTGCTATGACGAAGACCATCTATTTTGGTTTATTAGAAACTGCAATACTCCTGGCAATGGAAGCGCTATCCCACATAAAGACCTGGATTTCCAACTAATTTGAAAACTGTACTCTGTTTTTAGCAATAATTGTGAAGATTCTGAATCGCTTTCTGTATCCTCTGCTGAGAATATCAAGGCCAGCCACAAGTCTTATTCAACCAGGTACCCTTTAAAGAGAATGACTATGGCAATCAGACTAGCAATCCATAAAATGAATACCAGCAACAAATATTTGGGTAGGAGATGGATATTGGATGCGCTGCTCTCAATCAGCTCCACTGCATGTTTGCCCAGAGGATTGCCACAAGACTGAGCAAGTTACTACATACACTCTGCTGAATACAGAAGGTGGCATGGTCTGTACTTGTTAGCGCTGAAACGACTCAACACACAATCCTTTCTTCAGATTTCTAAGCTCAGAGCCCGGCCCCTAACAAACAGCATTACTATTGGAATTTATATACCATCTTTCTTTTCAATAAGAAATACAGAGGTGGTTCGCAAACATATAAAAGCCAACAGCAAAGTAAACTATAAAGCCACTTGCAAAAATACAGCCACCCATAATTAAGATGCACAATAATGAGCATGTACAAGATACACAGTAAACCAACTTCATCAACACTATAAAACATCCATCATTAAAACATGTAATATGCCCATTAAAACAGTTTAACCATTAAAACAGAAATTAGAACTATTAGAACACAGCTTGCCATCAAGTTTCTTCCACAACATTTAGCTGCCTAACTCCCAGCCCAAAGTCCACAAAGCAAATTCTCTAAGTAACAGAACATACTTCTATCTAGAAGCATGAAAAAGATGTGTTCCAATATATACAAAACCATCTACCAGTCTGTCTTTGGCAGCTGGGCTTACTGCTAACAGTTATGTACTATAAGAGTCCAGAGGAATCCATTCCAAAGCTCTTCTAAAGATCAACCAACGTGTTTTAGACAATTCCTTTTCATAGCACACAGGACACACCTTGTTCTATTACCTGCTATTGTGGAGTTGCGATGTCATCCTGTGGACACAGCAAGAGAAGACCAAACTACATGACTACCAGTATTTCCATAGGTCTATTTGACTGACACATGTGCACACCAGCTGATGAGAAATGGACTATCACACAGCTGTTGAGAGGCTGAAAATGGCAATTAAAAAAAACCCCATGCAGTTGCTGTGTACTTGATGTGCACACTTTTTTGGGAAGACATAGTAAAACTCTGAGTCACACATGAACGTTTACTTATATTTTAGCCCCACTTTCCTTCAATCATGGAACCCAAGGTTGTGTATATGTGGTATTGACCAGACCCAAACCCTCATGAGCTTTCACATGGTCTGCCCATTTAGACCAGGTCGAGATCAAAAAGGGGACACAATTTTATAAAAACAAAATGAAGAATGCCAAACTTCTACCTCCAAAACTCTGGTAATTTAATGGCCAAAACGCCGAAGTTCACCGGATCAGAATAACCTCTCTTAATCACACATTGTGGCAATAATAGCAGCTGTTGGAGTTAAGGATGTTTTCTGTCAGTCACAGGCCTCTGACAGGAAGGAATTGGGGTTTTTTTCTCTCCCCCCCCCCCCCTGGCTGTGTGCATATGGATAAACTTAGCAGATTCAATCCGAGCTTAAGATTCATAAAAAAGAGACCTGTGGCCTCAGACAAATTCTCAGGTCGCATCCTCCACCTGCCACCCACGATTCACTCTGCACTTGCTCAGAGACACCGGGCTTGCGTGCGACTAACCCACGGGGATGAACATCCCTAAGTCAGTCAATGTGAACAGGTTCACCCCAAGTTTACATTTGTGGGCCACCACACTGCGCCATGACTACCTCACTAGGCGTGCGCCTCTCTGGTTGCTCCTATTAAAAAAAATAATTCAGAAGGCAGGGGCAGTTGCATGGGCCAAAGTTTAAACTTTGGGCATGGAGGGATGCATTTTGAAAAGACCCCAAGTTGAGAAGAGGTGCCTTGCTCCCTCCACAGAATTCCTCCCTCAGAGAAGTGCGCCCTACTGCGACGACGCGCACTACTTGAACCCAGAGCCTGGGAGGGAGGCGAGGGAGAGGCTGGCGGCTCCCTCTCGCGCCCTCCCCGCTCCAACGGTCGCTGCCGAGGCGCGCGCCAGGCGGGCGAGCCATTCCCGCCCCGCCTCCGCCCTCCCCGCCAGGTCTGGTTCCAGGAGCCAAGCCGCTCGCGCCCTAAGCGAGCAGCAGCACGCGCGCCCCGCGCTTCCCCGTAGCCCGCGGCTAAAGCGCAGCTGCTTAGCACTGCGAAACCGCCGCCGCCGCCTCTTTCCACGCCCTGCCGGCACACTTCTCTCCACACACACGCACCCCCGCCCTATGTTCTCTAGGCATTGCATTGAGAGAGGGATGGTGTTGTGCATTTTATATATGCATGTATTCGATGTAATTAAACGGCACGAGCGCAAGGCTAGCCGCACGCGCCCCCTGCTGGAGATGGTACCATTTCATTTTATTTTTGTTTTGCAAATACACGCCCCATTTGGGGGGGGGGAGGGAGACAGAGGACGGGAATTGCTTACAGCATTTCCACCCCCCCTTTTTTCTTAAGAAAACAAAAATAATCAAGCAGCGCCTTGTGCCCCCAAACACCCAAGGGTATGGATCAAAGCTCGTGCAAGCCAGCAGCACCTTCGCATCTACAGTACCCCCCCACTCTAAACAGCCTCGGCCGCTCACACCTGGATCTTGCAAAGCGCGGGGAGGAGGCTGTCACGCAACGCACTTCCTCCTCCCCGCCGCTCGCAGTTGCTCCTATGAGGAGCAGGCACGCCCCTATGAGGAGATGCCTCTGGGTGTGCCCTTTCCCAGGTTTTTTTTATTAGGCAAAATCGCCCCCCCTCCCCACTTTCCATGCAACACGCTGCTAGGAGTTCATTATCCCCAACACCTGGGGCTCCCTGAAAAAAAATCTCCACTGCCCGATTCCCCTGCTCCCAGTAAATAACCAGCCATTTGCACCACCAGCTGCCACATCCTTGCAGATCCGTGCGGTGCAAGTCACTTGTCTGCTACTGTCTGTCGCTGCTCTGAGGAAGCCCTCCTGCAAATCCATAATGTAAGCCTAGCGGCATCGGGGCTGCTCCCCCCCCCCAAGGAAACAAACAACCGCTCCTCGTTTCTCCTTTCCGGGGGTGCAGCAGAGAGAAAACGATCAGTGCGCGCCTCTCGTCTGTCAGTTAGAATAAAACGCGTCGCATTTTCCAAGCAATGAACCGCGATTCAAGTTGAGCCAGTCCCTGCCTGCACTTCGCATAAAACCACAGAGGGCGGAAGGAAAAGCACCTCAAGTTACAGAACTGCAGCTAGCCACAAAGGGAAGGTCATCCAAATAATTCTTCCCCCCCCCACACACACCAAACACCATTCAGCGCATAGCCTATATACCGTGCACAAAACCACTTATGCCTATTGCTTAATGATGAGCAAATCTCCAAACACGCGCACACATTTTTATACATATATTTTTTTTTTAAAGGAAAGTTGACCTACCGGCCACGCAAACTGGAAAGGGATAGCAATCCTGCCCATGTCGTGACTTTTCCCCTGATGAAAATTGCGGTTGTTGAGATAAAAAGTATTTCCACCGAGAACAGGAGTAGATCCGGAGCCGTAGCTGCATGCTCCAGTGGTCGTGATTTTGGCTTGATACTCCTTTAAGCAGACTTTCACGTAAGTGTCGCACTCGTCCCGCGCGCAGTCCAGGTTCTGGGGCTTTTTCATGCCATCACAACACTCCCCATTCAACAATTCTCCGTTTACATTCTTCACCGAGTTAATCTGCAGCTCGAAATAGCCCGTGGACTGGGACACCTAAAAATAAGGGAGAGGGAAGGAAGGGGGGGTGACAGACACATACAACCTCATTACTACAGTGTCTTGGGAAGAAAAAGTGCGCGGAGATTTACAAGCCAGCAGCCACTCCGGAGTTTCCTACGGCAAAGCAAGCCTTCCCGAAAAACTATTACAACTAGACGGTGCTATTAAAAGATGAGATCGAGAGCTATTTGGGTGGGGGTGCAGGGACACGGTGCCGCAATTCCGGCTAGCTGTGGCAATAGAGAGAGGGAAAATATTCACAAGCCGTGCAAGGGAACTGCAGAATGTTCCCATTTGCAACTGAAATAAGCAGCTCCCAAATAAAATGGTTTGGGATTCATACAGTCGTAAGGGAGACCAGCCGAGCTATGCAAACCGGTTTTGTTTTCTGTTATATAAAAAAAAGGAAAGCGTTCCGCGGGTGGGCAGATAAATGGATTATAAATCATAATTGGAGGAGAGAGAAGAGGAGCGAAATTCTCCATGCAAACATTGCACACGGCAACTTTGCCTGCGCTCTTCCAAAGCAAACACGCCGGCTTGGAAGCGACGCGTTTGGAAAGGGAGGCTGGCTGAGATCTGCAGCAGAAGCCACGCTCTCCTCTCTCTCTTCCCCTTAAGCGAGATCGGGCTTAAGTTTCGCAAAAAGGGTGCGCTCCAGATAGCCACTCTCTTAGGGGGGAAATATTATCCAAAAGGCAATCCCCGCTGCAGCACAGGCGGCTGAAGAAGAAAGGTAAGGCGCGCACTGCGATAAAGGTCCTCTCCGCTCCCCTATCCCTTTCCCGTTGTTCCCTTTTATTTGCAAGACAGCAACCCCCCCCCCACAAAAATAGAGACCGCGTTGTTTTACCTGCACCCATAAAGTTAGGAGCAGCCACAGCCTAAGCGCCGCCGCGAGGAGAACCCAGTGCCGCCTGCCAGAATCCAGCATGCCTGCTACCCCGAGCTGAACGCCGTCGATCAGGGAAGACAATCCATCGACCGGCCGCTGCTCGGAGCATCGGCGGCGGGAAGGGCAGCAGGGCGGGCGCCGCGCGCAAGGTGGAGAGCTCCGGCCGGAGCCTGCAGATCGCCGCCGCTCCTTATCGCCAAAGCCCCGGGCTGACGGACGAGGCAGGGCAGATCCTGGCGGGCGCCTGGCGCGCTCCTGCAGCCGCAGCGGCAGCCAGAGGAAAGCGCGGGTCCGCCGGCAGCTCAGCCTCGCCACTGCGCTCGCTCCTCTGTGCGCCTCTGCTGCGCGAACAGCCAACAAGTAGGTGCCGGAGTGACAGCTTCATTGCCCATTAGACGGCGCCGCCACTGCCTTCATATTCATGAGGGGGAAGGGCCCGGGGAGGAGGAGGAGGCGGCGGCGGGCGGGTGTGGCCACGCGGCTCCCGAAAGGGCTGGGCGAGCGAGCGAGCGGCAAGGCCGGGCCAAGGCGGGGACGCCGGAGCGTGCGCGCTTCCCAGCGAGCCGTCGGAGGCGCCGCAGCCGCCGACCTGCCGCTCGCCGTCCGCCCCGCGGCGGGCTGTTGCGCAAGCCACTTGTTGCGCGTGGGCCGGGCCCGACCCAGCACGTGCGCGGCTGCACGGGGGTGCGGATCGGGCGTGTGCCTTCTTGCGCCCGGCACGTCGGCTCGCGCCGCCGCCCACGAACTAGGGAGCAAGAAGGGAAAGGGGCTGCCCTCTCTCTTTTTTTCTCATTTCTCGCGCGTGCAGGTAGAGCCTTTCGCGCTGATGGTTGCGTGGCGCGCGCAACGCGATCCTAAGCTTCTTTATACCTAACAAGGTGCCGTGGTCCCTTCGTTCACTCTAATATTTGTGCTGGCTGGGCCGCCCCCCCCCAAAAAAAGTTGATGGGCATCGCGATTCAAATGGCATGTTTGAGCCACGTCTTGTGATCAATAATGTGCCCACCCCAATATTTTATTCAAGTTGGCACCCCTGCTCCAGAACTTCTCTCGCAAGGGGCCTTAGGATCGGCTCCTGAACCAGGCGGTGGTCATCCATTTTTGGATCCGGGATCCCCTCTAAACTCCAGCGACCAACGTCTCGATTCACTGTTGTTACTCTGAATTGTTTTAAGTGTCGAGCCTTCGAATAAGCAGCGGAACTCTCCCCTCAGGAAAAGTAGGAATCGGAAGAAAGGCCCTTGGTACAATAATAAACCTTACTCCCAAGTAAGCATGCATCGGAGTATGGGCTTTATAGGGGGAATTAGGAATATCACACTGTGTCAAATAAGGTAAGTGGAGGAAGCCCACAAAGTATTTTAGAGCCCCAACAAACTGCAAAGTTTATCATTTTGGCAGAAGTACAGACACCATTCCTAAGAGGGCCTTGGCCTAATAAATTAGAAAATGATCCTAATGAGACAGGAATGCCCCCCCCTTACCAAAGTGTAGCAACGTTTAGTGCATGGCCTGAGGTAACTGACTTGCAGTGAGTAATACATACTTGCAGTGAGTCCTAGTTTGGGGGGGAGGGGGCTTGAGCAAGACACCCTCAATGGCCCCTCCTTGCTCAGTGAGCCCACCCTCTCGGTGTTATGACTGCCAGCTGCTGCTGCTGCTGCTGCTGTTCTACTGCATTGTTGCTTCCATCTGCCTGCTTGCCAGATGGAGCCAATGAGCAATTTGCTGGTGGTAGCAACCAGTATCCCTTTCTCACCTTTCTCATCTCCTCTGGCTAGAGAAGGAGAAAGATGGAGCAGGCAGGTTGCAATGCAATGGCAAAGAGGAGGAGTGGGTGTGCTGGGGATATGGGTTCTACGTTGTGCCAAACCCTCGATGCCAACTCTGGAGAGACATCCACAGGGTGCCGTTGGTCCATCTCCCAAGTAAGTCAACGCAGGTTTGCAGCCTGGTCCTTTCGAAAAAGTGTGGAGGTGGAATACTCTAAACCAGAGTGAAAGTCTGGCTTGTGTTTGAGGAGGTAGGCTGTGTGATCAACTGCTGGGAGTCTTCAGCACATACATTGTTCTCCTTGACTATTTGGCACACAGACCCAGCAGGATTTGACCCTACCCTGAACCTTCTGTGGTGGACCACAAAAGTCCAAAAGAGCCATACAAATCAATTCTGTTTTAGGGGAGCATCTTTTAGAGTTGAAGGGCCGCATTCCTTTCTAAGCAGCCTCCTGAGTGCCACATGCTAGAGGTGCCTCGGGGCCAGAGGCCAGATTGAGAAAACAATGATAGAAGTCCCTTTGTACAGTAGGCTAATTTCTACTGGTCTGTATATCGCATGCACCTTAAGGCCTTTTAAGTCTCTTCCCAAGGCTGATGGTTACTGTAGTCCAAAACATCTGCCCTTGAGTCTTCAGTGTGCATTTATTTAGGGTAGCGGTCAACTAAGCTGTGATCACAGTCCAACAGAAATGGAATGGTCCGAACTTGGTCATGCTCTTTAATTGCAGTGGGTCTGCTCTGAGTAGTCAAATGCCACCCACAGATAACATCTGCCCTTGCATGGCTCAGAGTGGCTTAGATAGGTCTTAGCCAGTCCGAGAAAAACAATGAGAGCCAAACAGATCTTGCTGGGTAGGGTAATCCAAAAATCAGGGCACAACCACCAAGAATTCCTTTCTCGCACATCCCTACCAATCACGCTTCAGCAATAGGTGGGTCACAGAGAAAGGGGTCTGCAGTACACCTTCAGGAGTGGGCAGCCTGGTCCAAGAGGAGACGGTCTGTCAGGTGTCTCGTGCCTGAGCCAGGGTGAACAGAATGCAGGTCAGAATGGTACGTTTTTTGCACGTAGACTGACAAGGCTTTTCCTCATTAAATTAGGACCTCTCCAGCTGTCCTTTCTATTCTGCATTCATGATTATTTGTGCTGATGATGGTGTCGGGGCGGTTACATGAGACCCCACTTCCAGTTTGCTTGCACTTGCAAGAGTTTCTGGGTGCGCATACTGTTTCGTTTCCCACCAGTGCGTGTCCTGTAACTCCTTGCCGAAATCCCGCAAGTTTCTATACCACCAATGGTTTGGAGGTGGTTTTGCCCCACTTTCCTTGCTCTATATAACGTAAGAGTTCCCCTTGAGACGACAATATTGCGGAAACATTGGCGAAGCATCGCAGGATAACTCCTAAAGCAGGATGATGTGCAAACCGTCCGCTATAAATCTAATGCACTATTCTTGTGTCAATGGCATGCTGTTGCATAATACACTTGCAAAACAACAACAACCTTCAGGAGTCTGTAAGGGATCACTGGATGCTAAAATGAAGAAAGCTGGGCGTTACCAGGTGTGGACTTCTGTGTGAAAGGATTGCAGAAGCTCTGTGGTTGAGCATCTGAACTGCAAGAAGGTCCCTCGTTCCGTCCCCAGCATCTTCAGGTAGGGCTGGGAGAGAGGAGCCTTCTGAAGTTCTGGAGAACCACTGCCAGTCTGTGTAGACCATCCAAAGCTAGATGGACCAATGGCCTGGCTCAGTATAATGCAGCTTCCTAGTTACCTCTGACTTAGCTCAGTTCTGGTACTGAAAATCAATTCCTAGACTTAGAACATGTTCAGAGGAACTCAGTTCTTTGATTCTGCCCTTCCCTGATTCACAGTTCAAAGGGAGTCACCGGTCACCTTAAAAGGTAATCAAATTCAGCTGGTGCTCAGCACCATTTTCTGATAAACTATTTTGAGTTACATGGTTCTATTGAACGGCATTCAACTGTTTTTGCTTCTCCGGTAATGGAGCTGTGATATTATATTGATGGCAATGTACCTTTCTAATGTTCTGCTGTTGTCACGAGCTGTTTTGAGGTCAAGTGTGTCGTTGGGAAAGTGGCATACAAATATTTAATCCAGTCAAATTTTTGGACCATACCCAGAAACAATTTGGCACCCAGTGGAGCTGTTGTATAATAGAAATAAACATATCACTTGGGTGAGTGCCCATTAACATCCTTTCCTTTCCAAAGAGTCTTCAGAAGGGAGGAACGCATTGTAGTAATCCAGTCTCGACATAACCAAGACATGTCCCAGGGTGCGAGCAGAGACACCAGCTGGCCACAGTCTCAGCTTCTAGATCAGAGTACTCCAAAACAACACACCTGATTTTAAAAAGGAAATGTCAGTATCCTGTTCAAAACAAGCTGAATCCCTATTCTAGAGTCCATCACTCTCTTAACCTCCATTTTGTCCTGGTTCAGTTTCTGTTTATCACCTATAATCCACGAGCATCAATGTGTATATTTTATGATTGGCTTAATGACTTCATTGGGTATCTGAACCTAGCTTTTTCTGGTCTTATGCTCAATACTGTGCTAGGGATGGGAAGCTGAGGTCCAGAGGTAAAATGAAGACAAGGCTGCTGCCAACTTTAATAATTGTGTCCCAGAAGGAATTTCATCAGATGTCCCTTGCATGGGAAACTGCCCCTTCTGGAATTCCATCTTGTACGCAATGCTTAAAAGCACAGGAGCCCTGTCCTCTTATGCATTTGTCATCCCAAGAACATCTCCCGGTTGTGGCTGAATCATCAGATACTGGGCTTCAGAGAGACGGCCCCAGCTGATGCTCAGCTTTCCACAGCATCCACTGAGCATGGTCAGTCCTCCATGAGCAAGGTCTTTTTGGGGGTTGGAGGGGGAGGCAGTCATCTACACATGCGCAAACCTCAGGGTTCCCTCTGAATAGTTTAATATTTTGTTAGTAGTTCTGCTTCGGCCCCCTCCCCCTTTGGTACTCTGCTGTTAGGACCGATTGTTGAGATCATCAAAGGAGGAGGGGGGCAGCTGTGAAAGAGGAATGGTTAATAGCTGTGCAGAAGAGGGAATTTAAACAGGTACACCTGCTGAAATTCCCTCTTCTGCACTGCCATTAAAAGGTGCAAGAGCCCCCTTCTCCTCCTCCTCCTCCTCCACCTGGCCATCCTAATAATCAGTTGGGCAGCGACATCTGTATCCTCTTCAAAAGCTGCTCAGGCACCTGTAGCAAAATCCTTTTGCTCCAGCTGTTTGGAGGTGGGGTTTTTTCCTTCCCTCTCCAGAGCAGCAGAAAACAGCAACTTTGATCCATGCCATCTACACAAACAGGTGTGTGTGTGTGTGTGTGTGTTACAACTCAGCTCTCACCTTTTAGGCCATGGGACACCCCCCCTACGTTCCCCTTTTGCCATTAACCCTTCCGTCCCCATGCCCCACTGAAAAGCCTCATTGGGAACAAATAACCCAGAAGTCAAAGGACTGCAGCTTCCCTGCTGGGCTAGGAAACCTTTCACAAAGCCAGCCACCCCCACCTCCCCACTCCTTTTCAGAAGCCCAGCCTGACACCCCAGCCTCGCCAGCCGGCACACCGCTCT